TTTCAATGTTGTATAAAATATACCAACATAATATATTTTATAAGATATTTAAGTACTGAATAAAATTCGATTCTGTCGATTATTATTATTGTAATAATATGACGTTTTTTATACTCATTTTTCGTGTTAAATATAATATATAACATACTTTTAATATTTTAATAAAAAAAATACCTACTCAATGTGAATTTTAAAAATTATTTTATTTAAGTGTTTGCCTTATATGAAATATTATTAAAATTATTTTGTGTAGTTATTTTTGCTTTTTATTTATATTAGTTAGACCAAACTTGTGTGTAATCTGAAAAAAACTGGGGGACACAATTCGTGTAACCCGAACAAAACTGAGGGACACAATTCGTGTAACCCGAACAAAACTGAGGGACACAATTCGTGTAACCCGGAAAAAACATAGGGACGCAATTCAGTATTTGGGACACAACTCGTTTACAGCCGGGACAAAGAACCCCACGGCAATACAAAGTTTAGTACAAAGTGTGTAGTATGAACAAATTTATATTTTAGCTTCTGCAATAATGTACATTATCATATTAATAATTAATAATAACAGTATAAAATAATAATGATAACTACGACTAAGAACAAATCGAACGAAAACGAAATCATTACATTACCAGGACATTGCTATACTATTACCATATTGGCATACTTGTACAATTGTACATAGTAACATAGACACTATGCTATGATGCGTAATTGTTTAAACACTATAAACATTGGTAGGTAGTCAAAATAATATCATAGCTGAACCTCAATACGAGTGTGTAATGTGTATTGACCGAAATCGAACAATATACTAAATGGATTGTACTCGAGGATGTATTTTTATAAAATTAAATAAAAAGATAGGGATTTTCAGAGGTAAATAAAAAAATCAATAATGTGCAAAATAAATACAAAAATCAGGTAAGTGGGTAACGGTCTGCTGTGCATAAGTGTCGAGAGAGTTGCTGTTATTAATGTGTTAAATTTGAATTCAAAAATATAAAACCATTGTATACGATAAATGATTCTGAGCGAAGACGGTCTGTCAGGCTAAAATATTACTATAGAAGGTATTGTATGATAATGTTATGATTAAACTATTAAAGTAATTTATTATACTATTATTAGTATTACTGTAAAAAAAATTATATTTAATTTTTCATTTTGTATCTAAAACAAAATGATAATCACGTATTCACGTGATTCAATAACACTATGATAATATTAGTATGTAATCGGATAACAGAATGGATTAAATTTTGAATTGAATCTATTCTGTGATTGGAACGTTAAATAATAACTGGGTGCTGAAATATTTCGAATTAAACCCAGTGAAGGTGTGAACTTTTTTTCCATGAAACAACTACCTAAAATATAAAACAAGTACCTGCTCACACACCAATTTTTTTAAATTTTACACTTTTTCACACATTTTAAACATCGATCATATTTAACTATGCGAGTATAAATTATAAACTAGTCCAGCTATCTAGGTCTTGGAGACTGGAGTGAGTCATTGGTGGGTACCTCACTTTTGCACTAGTTAGCTGCCTCAAAAAATAGCTACCCGCCACTGCTCAAGACACCCGCATGTGTTGTTTCAGTCTTAAAAATGTGTAACATAGCAAATTTAAGTTCAGTATGACACATTTAGCTTTGGATCCATTAGATTAGAAATTAGAGTGAATCGATCTATTATAAAACTTGATAGCAAGGACATTATCTGTGTTCGTATTTTGGTTTCTTACGATAGTTCAGTTTTTAAGTGAGTTATATGAGCATTTTTTATTTCAGCTATAATATCATATACGCAAACTCGGTAAAAAATTTAATTATTTAACCATTAAACTATGGCAAAAAACCAACATATGAACACAGATAATGTTCTTACCATCAAGTTTCATAATAGGTTGATTCACTCTAATTTTTTAACTAATGGAGCTAAAGCTAACCTAACCTAAATTTGCTATGTTACATAATTGTAAGACGGAGACAACGCATGCAGGTGTGGCGTCCTCTTACACACTTCAATAATAATAATAAATTATAATAATATTTACTCTTGTAATCGAAACAATAACCCAAAATATTCAAGCTCAGTATCTGTTGCATCTGTTTCTTTAAAATTTCAAAAAAATTGATTTATCATAGAATACACACTATACAGTATACATCCATGTTATATGCATTAATAAGCTAATATGTAATATTCCCCCAAATATAGCAAAATATAGAAAGTCAAATTTGGTATTTGAATTCCGTGTGATATCAACGTGTACACACTATGTAAAAAAAATGAAAATGAAAATAATTTCGGGCTCTATGGCATATGAGCCTGTGATAATACTGTAGGCTGTGAACAAAAATTTTTTTTTATTCTTTGAAATGGAAAATAATGTAGCAATAATATTCAAAAGAAAACTATAAGTAATAAAAAATTTACAAATAAACCGAAGTTAAAAGGATTTAAATGTTATAATAGACAATAAAAGACAAAAAGATTTACATTTCCAAGTACACGAAAATTGAGAGGAATTAAAATAATGACGTAGTTTACAAAAAAAATTGCTTAACACCAATTATTAGTCGTGGATGGGGTCGGAGACACATATCCCTAGCTTCGCCCATTGGAATTTATTTCTGGTGGCCTGAATTGTGTTGTAGGAATTCTGAGACCTGACATAGGAAGTCATAAGAATGACATACTAAATATAGGAAAAAGTTGCAAAATTTTAGATGGGTGGGGCTGGAGACATGTACGTCAAAAATAGGGAGAATAATGAAAAATAATTTTAAACACTCAAAAAAGTACAGCGGTACCCGTCACCAACCGTCTCCCCAAAACTCCTGGTAATTAAAAACTGTATGGTAATAGTGTTCTTTGGCCACCCAACATCAAATACCTCGGTGTCATTTTGGACAGAAAACTAACATAGAATCCTAGAATCCCCATATCACCTCCAAGCCACAACAATGCTACCAAAGGCTAAAGCCTAAAAGTACTATAACCATTGATCAACCGACAAACATCACTAAGCTGAAGATGTTCTCTCGTGCTATAATAAGCAAATCCTACGGGCTACGACCATTACTCTTATACGCAGTCCCTGTGTGAGGAAATTGTGCTAAAACCCACATACACAAAATACAAGTATTCCAATTCAAAATTCTGAGAACTAGACATATCTAATGCTCCATGGCTTGTACGTAATGATGAACTTTATAAAGACTTCCAGCAATAACTGAGTAGGTACATAAAATGTTTTCAATGTTTTCGGGATGATAGCGATGCAAATTTTATGTAAAATTATTGGAGTAAGGGTTACTCTGTAGTTCTATAGTAAATCGATCAGTGACCAATGACCATTTCAATTATCATTCAGTTTGTGTTATGTAGTTGCTAATTGATTCTAGTTGGTTGCTTATAATTATTGTATTATTTTATTGTGTAATCTAAATTTTTCTGTGAGTAAATAATGTCATGTATTTTGTGATAAATAAATAATACTACTGTAATAGTGGGCATTGTGGCAGTTTGATAATAAATAAATATTTATTATAGAAGATAGGTACCCACTTAAATATATTTCACTCCTTACTTGTTATAAGTTCCTTAAATTATACGAATTACGATGTCTATATAAATATATATATATTTGTACCCTGCAATATATACACTTAAGTTTTACGTTCAAATATTATCGGCTGTATATTTGACAATCAATAATTTTTGTTTCAAGTAGACACTTAGAATTTTTGATAAAGTTCGTGATAGAACCTTAATTTTAACTTTTAAGATTTTAATTAGGTAGGTTTTTATAGAAATAACTATATAAACATAATATAATGTATAGACGCATATTATTATGAGTAGGTACTAGGTACTAACCGTTTTCATAAATTATACTTAACAACTAACATTTGTACCTATTAATATTATAGTCGATCAACATAGGTTAATGTTGTTGTGATAGCTAAGTGAGTAGGGGGATGAGTACAAATTTATGCCGGTGCGTCAATTGACTTGACATTCCTTTTTTTTTTTTTTATTAACTTTAGACAAAATTTAAATAATTATACTTAAGTAAAATTATAGCGATTTCTCTATCTCCTTCAAGCAATCTTGTGACAGAGATAGATAGCTGTATAATAGCTGTACACTTATTATACAAAAAAAATTAATTTAAGTTCTCATTATATCTAAATAAACTTTGATTTCTACCCTGCAATTGCGAATGCCTCAAGTCTCGAAGCACTCGAAGCTTCGTATAAATATTTAAAATACCTCCCTTTTACCGAGCTATTATTAGTACCTAATTAGTATATTACCATATTATTACTGTAGCCTGTTATCTGTATTAGTATAATATGATCAAAGGTTATATCCCATAATATAATTATTTGTCATTAAGTCATAATTATTATGAATTTACTGTATCCATACCTTATTAGATTAAGTTATTAATTTTCATGTACATTTAAATGGTCTCATATTTCTATTTTTTCAATATCGATTATTTTAAAACTTTTTCATTATTACTAAATACTCTTTACTAGGTATGTTTAAGACCTTAAGTGTTATTAATTATACTCAGATTTATGTATTCCTCGAGCTTTTAAGTTTTGAGCTATGTACGAACTACTAACCGACATACTTGTTAATATAGCTAAGAAAAAAAAATAGCTTATTAGTCACGGCTAGTATCTCCGGCCGCGGTTATTATTAAAATATTATTTTTCGAGTGCCGCGTTGATGGTTGGCTCTACTGTTCGGGGAACGCTCTTCTTCCACGTCCGTCCTTCCAGGGATAACTATTGACTATTTATTATAGTTGTTTGATTATACCAAATTATAATTACGCCGTTATCATCATGTTGTAGTGTTGTGTAAAAACAAAATAAAAATACTCATTAGTCATTAGTCATCACAGTAAGTTGTATTACGCGCGTGCGCGCACACACACACACACACACACACACACACTAACCCTCCGACCGGCACTCTGCCCGTGTATTTTTTCTTTGTCAGTAAACTGTCACATCGTTCACATTGTCGCTTTATTAATTTAACATTAATACTACTTAATGCGAGTCGCTATAGGCATGGCACGCTGATCGTACCTGCCTCTTAAGTGCGTGCGCATTTTTTCATACGCGTTTTCCCGTCTTTCACGACTACTGTTTTCGTCATTTAAAACTATCTACAAATATTTGTGTTTTAAAGTAAGCAGTCAATACCTAACAACACGTGTAGTGTGCATTGCCGTGCCGCCGCTTGAAGGTATAACATCCATGTTTATAATATTGTACAGGTAACCGTTAATTATTTCCTTGTACAACACTGTACAAGACAGTGTTCACCTACCTATTTGTAATAGAAGTAATTAATTCAGTGTAGACTAAAGCTGGAAATGCTCCATACGTCCTGTACGTCTTGTTGACTGTTGTTCGTATTGTGATGATCATAACTCATAATCCTTAACATCTATAAATAAAAATATATAGTTTATAAGCTACATATTATAATATTATAATATAGTTGTCAATCATAGATTGTCACTCAATAGTTTTGTTTCGCTTCTCTTGTTTTTCTCTGATGTGTCTAGTGACTACGTGATCATTTACCATCCACCGTCAGTGCGCTATACGAAAAACAAACATCCTGTAGGAAAAAAGCTCATATTATAATGTAATCTTCCTGATTTCGTTGATTTGTATGGCCTTTTAAAACCTCGAAACAAATCCTGTGTGCATAATAATATAGTAATTATACCACGCCGATGTCACCATACACACATGATAATCGTTTCATCTTAATTATACTCAAATTTACTAAAGTCTTTTCATACATTTCAAGCATGTTTTTCGTTTGAAAATGTGTAGGTACATCAATATTAACCATCCCCAACTCATACACTATGGCTATCACTTATTAGGTTTCTAAAAATTTGTTTTTCATCACAATCCATTGTTATACAAATTAATTATAAACTTTAAAATAGTTATGCTATTAATTATTAACTACCTACATTATTATAGATTATAATTATGATTCCTTAAACAAAGTAAATATTTTAGTATATTTAATTAAGTTGTTATTTTATTATGGTTGTATTACGTGATATGAATGAATTCAATAAAAGTAAAATTAATAGAAAAAAACTATACCTAATATCCTACATTAATTTCATCTTTTAACACACAAATTAAAGCATAACCCGCTTCATGTACAATATTTGAAATTACTTGGTTAGACAATGTAAACCAGTATGACAAACTAGTAAAACCATCCTTAGACACCTAAAATCTAACAGTCACTGCTAACCTATATTTGTTAAGTAAAGCTTTTCTCACATTTGTATCTTTCTCTATTATAGTTGGACCTAATTTGTTCAAGTGATATTCAAAATCTGCTGCAGACAACAGACAGAAATCTTGAAATTTTAATCAAGGTTTACTGTTTAGATCTTAAAACATATTTAAAAAATATTATCTTAAGAATATAAACCCGAAAATATAAAATAGGTAGGTGTGTAACCTACAATAGGTCCATAGAAATTCCTAATAAAGAAAATAATTAAAAAAGAAACTATAATTTTTATTTGTACATCCTCGTTTGTACTTATTCTTTTCATTATTTTTTATTTATTTATAAATAATTTCAAAATTAAAATGACAATATTTTATCATGATTGTTTTAATAATTTCAATTAAAAATAAAAATAATAAAATATATATTGCATTTTAGTACTTATTGTTATATATATAAATAACGCCAACATAATTTTTGTTAAAATAAGTAAGTAAAAATTAAATAATAAATAATATTCGTAGGTAATGTTCATTTTAATGATTTAATAATAATTAATAAATTTATTTATTACATTTATAGCTTAAACTTATTTAGTTGAACATGTAAAAAATACTTACCTATTATTATTTAGACTTTTTTCAATAAAAAACTCCATCATCTTTTTTTATTATTTTTATTATTTTCACTTTTCATTTGCACACTATATGTAGCACACATTGTCTTAAATTGCGATAATATAATTATGTCTTATCTTTGTCACTGTCCATTTTGGAATGACCCTATTGCCGCTGTCATGAATTTCGTACTTGTATTGTTGAATGCCCGAATAATCGGTGAGTCAAGTAAAATTGAAGATGTCAAGGAAGTATATAGAATTGCCAAATAATCGGTAAGTATATTCTCTAGTGATATACTTGGATAAAAATCTAGGGGAGGAAGGCAAAATAATTTAATCACCAAAATTAAATCCCTGAACCCCCCCCCCCCCCTTACCGTTTACAACTCATTTTATGGTTTAGACACAAATTTTAGGTATCAGGTACTGGGTACCCATATTGTCAAATAGTATTAAGAAACTACTCAAGAGTTCATTAGTAAAAAAATGCTATAAATAATTTAAAAAAGTAACTTCTAACTACCTAGTATCAATATTATTTACACATACTTTATACTCGATGAACAATAATTAATAACCAACGAATAATTTAATGACTTTATTATATGCGGTTATTGCGATTATTGCGATAACATTGCCAGCCAGTGAAGTTGGCCCTTCAACTATGTTCAACTATTTCATTGAGTGTTGACGATACGTCAACATATCTAATATTAATATATTATACAACAAAAGAAACATAAAATAAGTGTCAACTTTAATAAAATAGTTTGAGACAGTTTGAGGAAAAAAATATTCTAATATTGTAATATTATATTAAATACCTATATTGCATTCTTTCTTAGCATAAGTATATTCAAAGATTTGAATTTTCAGATTATCTAGGTTGAGGGGGAGCAAAATGATACGTTTGTCCCACCCATAAAAATGTCAGGGGGAAAGTACTCCTCTTGTCACCCCCAATAACGCATAACATGTATAATAGTAAAAAGTAGGTAAATGTTAAGTCAAAATATAAGCCCCCACCCCCAAACAAATTTGTGTACAGGTTACGGTTTTGCATATTACCATATACTTTATTGTGTGAACCCATGAACAGAATAATAGTTATAGATATTTTAAATAAGCTTCAGGAGTTGTGTGTCGAACATCTTCGAGACAATAATCTTTTATCCACTGATATAAGTAGGAATTTTGAGTGAGACTCGATGGTTTTTATCATATAATAACGAGTTATAAGTTATATCATAGTAAATGATGTGAACAGCTAAAGAAACTCCAGTTCCTTCTCTTTCAAATTACGCGCATTCAGCTACGACCCCGCCGACACTTCAACTAAAAATCTCAAATGTCTAGCACTCAATAATAAAACAAGACAAAAAATATGTTTAAGTAGGTACCTAGGTAGTGTAAAAGTAGAATGTTAACACTTCAAAATTATTCTCCCAGTATACACTCTTTTGTTTTAATATCATACTATTATTATATTAATTTTGCTCAATGTAATATAAAATAAAAATACTATACTAACATAAATTTAAAAAAAATCTCAATTAATCTCAAACTTATAAGTATAAAGACCTTTTCATAATTTTCTACTACAGTGAACAATACTAATACTCTATGTATTATGTTTTAGACCTAGGCCTAGGTAGGTGTAAATTACCTGTTAGAATGTTTGTGGAATACTTTTAAACAGCGCACGTCGAGAGTTACCAGTTTCCACCAAAATAATATTGGCTGTTTCCGCTTTACCCCTTCTCCGTCAAAACGGCCCAAAACGAAAAACGTATGATCTTGTTTCCGCCAAAAGACGTTTCGGTCAAAATAAGTTTGGCAACCAATAATTTTAATTTTTAAGCAATATATGTTGTGGTATATATAAAATATAGTATTGTAACATGAAATAGCAAATGACATTTGTAAATAACTGCGGAGACCATAAACACAATAATATACAAAGCGATAATCTTCGATAATTGTTGATAATCGTCAATTAAAGTATAAACAGTATTATCCGGGACATTTGCGGTCGGCTTTTTTTTCGTGCATTTTGCTGTCAATTTATTTCTATTTCCCTGACTATGCAATTTAAGGTGCTATTTATAATATTTAATATTATTTTATGAAAATGTGTTTAAACAGTTTATTATTATTATTTATACGGGATAAACCGCTTTGTGATATTGCCATTTGGTTGATTATGCATATTCGATGTCATAATCGATAACGCGATAACGTCTGATATATTTATTATTATTCGAAAACATCATCGTTAACATTTAACTCAGTTTTTAGTATTTACAGTTCGATCTGTCAGTATTACAGTGTTTTAGTGTTAAAATTTAAATTTAAATTAAAAATGAATAATTCATTTGAAGTGTTAGAGACAACTAAAGGTAATCCTCTAGGGTTGGAAGTTGGAATAGTAAACTTACTAAAATATTAAATACACCACGACCAACGCTTAAGAATTTGTATAGCTGTCTTAAAAAAGAGGCTGATAATTCGAAACTTTTATATACAAGAAGCTACTTAAATATAGAAGGTAAAAGGAGAAAAAAGATGTACATACAATTAGACGAAAAAATTTAAAAAAACATTAGTAGAGTATGAAATAGATACTCGCGACGATTCAGTCAAATGCTTAAAAATAAAAGCTATTATTCAAAAATTAGAATACGGTTATGTTTATGTACATATATGTTTATTAGGAATGTATGTTAGTATTTTCTGTTTATATGTGATGTGATCGACAAATGTATATTATTATGTGCATTTTTTATAATAATTGTAATAAGGTCTTAAAAATAATGAGTAGGTACCCTATTATGTTATGCGATTGATAAATGTATTATCATAAAAGTTATTTATAATAATAATAATAATAATAAGCTTTTAAACACGCCAGTAAAAAATACTGTCAGTCCTTAGCCTTGAAAAGTGTGAAGGGAAGTTAATATATAATTAAATAGTAAGTATGTACATATTGGCACAAATTAAGTTTAATTCAATACATTCATATATATTATATATAGCATCCAAATTTAGTCAGGTAAATAGAAATAAATTGACCGCAAATGCAAGGCTTCTTATAAGTTGTTGTTATGACAGTCAAAAAATATTGAATTAACATTGAAACATTTATTTTTTTTAAATAAGTTTAAATTTTGAGGAAATTGGAATTCAAAATTTATCATGCAACGATTTTTATCTGAACGATTTTTGATATATCTTTGTGAAAGAGATATTAATCTTTGAAACTCGAGTAAAAACTTATGATATATACAACAATATTAATTCAATTATCATTTTAAATATTAAAATTCTTTTGATCAATAAATTGTGATTTTTTAGCACATTGTTTTATTTTATCATCTTTTTGCATATTATTTTTGAGTCTATGTGAAATCATCAGAAACAATACTTTTAAACAGAAAATAATAATAAGTACACCAGGAATTTCACTTTATATCCTATCCTTTATACTGCAGGTAACTTACATGAAGTTTTTAGTAAAAATTCGTTTAACCTACATAAGCCTACATAACCTATACAAAATAAAAAATTAAAATTAAAATTATTTTAGGCATATGACAAGAATTTCAAAAGGTCATCTTTGTCACCTAACTTTATCACATGCATTACATTCTTGAGACAATTTACCAATTTCACCCATTACTGTTGAAAAGTTAGGTGACAAAGATGACCTTTTGAAATTCTTGTCATATGCCTAAAATAAAAACAATTTTAATTTTATATTTTATATACATAATAATATATTATTATACTACCACTTCTGAGTTTCGTGTGTTCCAATGAGCTATACAAAGTTCCGCTAATTGTGTAGTCTCAAACATTTTAATTTGACCGATGTTAGATGTATTTATATTTTATACCTTGTCTGACTTCTTTGTTTCGAATAAAAATGTCTATTTCCCTCAAATTTGTAGGCGTTGAATCCGTTTGCAAACAATTTTCTCTCAAATACTCGAAATAACCATTCATTTGCTTAATAATTGTTGGTTTTATGTTTGTTTCCTTTTCACCAATACTCGCAGTAATACACCATTCTAATTCCTGAGGTTTTATTAAATCTGTATGATTTAATAAAACTCTACAACCGTCTAGTTTTCGATTCAATTGCAGCACCATACACCCTACTTGATATTTTATAATAATCGATTTCGAGAAATATCGTACGTTCATATGTTAGCGATATATCTAATATAAAGGATTTAATAACGTGATGATGTTAATAAATGAACAACTGTTTGAAAAATTGTTCTGATGGATCGATACCGATATGCACAAACTTACGACTGGTAAAATCAAGTGCAGTCCGTGATATACAGATTTCATTATGTATTATTCAATAATAGGTATTTACTTAATTATTATTGTTTGTAAGCGATTAAGACATTTTTACTAATAGGTTAATAAAATATATGTTGGTTGCGTAGGGTATCGGATGGTGATGGATGTGGTGGGGGTTAATCTACATAAAATATATACCTGTGTGATCTGGCGGCGGGGTGATAATTGATAATAATGATGCGACGGTGGTTCAGAGGAGGTAGGGAGGTAAATATACTTCACGTACGTAAGCGATCATCGCCGGCGGATCGGCTCGTAAGGCTAGAAGAACATACCAAATCATACTACTTAGGTTGAATCAAATTTCGATAAAAACAAATCGAGTATTATATGTTATATAATAATTTTTTATTAATTGCATTATTATCTTATAATATAATAATATTAGCTGTGATTAACTCATAAGTCCATTTCGGTTTGCTGAATAACGGTAAGGATACATTCATTGTGAGGTTAGGTTAGCTTAAAATTAATCTAAATATAATATTTTGAAACGTCATAGTAACTAGTAACAATAATATACGTAATGCCGAAAAGTTTTAAGCCCCTGCACCGCTATACTTGAACTCCAACACTAATTGAGGAGTTTTGAAGAATCTTCTCATATTTTAAACTTCAAACGCTTAAAATTAATAAAAAAAAAGAAAACAAGAAAAGTTCACAATGTCAAATGTCTGTTATAAATTTTAATTGCATAAAATGCTAATTTAGTGTATAATTTTTGATCAAAAATAAATGAATGAAAGCATTTGGTAGAGAATTTAGTATTCTGCTTTTTCCGTAAGATTTTTTCATCTTATCGAGATTCTTTTCTTTTCTATGAGATATTTATCATTAATATAAAATATGTAATAATTTAGTAATTTTGAGTTTAGTTACTAGTTTGTTATTTTAAATACCAATTACAATTCCAACACTCAAAAGTATTACATTTTCAATTTACTATTTTTTTTTTTTTTAATTCGGTGTTAACAAAAAATAACAGCAGAAAAATATCTTTAACTCTAAGGTTAGTATAATATGATTTATATAAAGTATAATAATATACAAGGTAATCAATTCACTAAAGTATAGTTAATTGTTAATAATATACTTACAACTTTATAGTATAGCCTGCATAAGTGTATAGTAATGAAAGACACTCCTTATCTACTTATAAGTAGGTACTTATATACTTATGTACTTATGTACTTATATACCTATATACCTATATACATATCTATACTTATACGTTACCGGCAATAACGATAATTTAGAAAATAACTACATTTCCTAAGAATGTTTAAAATCACTAATGACAAAAATGTATCGTTTATTACAATACATACCCGTTGTTTATTAGGAGTTGTTAAAATTATTAATATTGACTAGAAACTATGTAAATTATGTAAACCATCGTAATTTATAAGCAAGGTCATATTAGTAAGTTATGGAAAGTTATTTATGCTAGTATCTATGGAATTGTAATAATATTTTAACCTTAAAGGTAGTCTGGGTTCCGACCTAAACGTGCACCTGAGAAAATATATTTATCGTTTCCGTCTAAATTAAAAATTACTGTTTCCGCCATTGCCCATTGAAAAACATATTTTTTTTAAATTTTTAGTAAGAACAACTTTTGGAGGAATTGTGTGTAACATTTTAAAGCATCGGGTTTTTAAAACTAGGTATTAAGTGTGCCTGTTGTACTATAGTAATAAAATATGTAACTCAAAACTCAATAGTTTCAAGCTTACTAATATTCCTCCTCTGCTGTCGGTTCAAACGGAAAAAAAAAGCTTACTAATATTTGACAATGAATATGAATTAAAATTAATTTAGTTGTATAAAATTAGTTTTATAAAAAAAAATTGCATATTATTATTATATTTCCTTAAGAGCATCAGCCATTTATCATAACTTCTAATGAATATTTTGGTACACTTGTTTAGAAATCTTAGAAATCATTTACTACATATTTTGATATACATTGTCAAATATCACAATTAATAGTATACGTTTCTACATAAAACATTATTAAAAGTGCCTAATTATTATAATTTCTGGTAACATATATTACATGTCTACTATAAGTACTTAATGTATAATAAGTCAATTATTACATAATATTACTACATCTTAATGAATATTTATAGGTATATTTTATATTTGTTATTTTGTTAAAAATCTTTATTTAGGATAGACTAAAGTTTAAAATTTAACGAATGGAGATTGTTTAAAAATAGTAAAAATACAATTAATCGCTAAGATTTATACCTACTACCTATAATGTTAAAATGTAAAACTATTTTGAATAATGTTACAATTTGATTGCGTAATATTTTTTGTGAATTAAATCCGAATAGTTATAAGTACTTAAGTAGTTATAAATTTAAAATACTTAATATTAAAAAAAAAAATAATTTATATAATGTTCAAGGTTAGGTTAGGTTGAGTATTATTATTGTATGCCTATAAATAATTATTCTATTTTTTCAATAAAATTTAAAATTCTTTACAGATTTAGTGAAATATTGTTATAATCGTTTGCGTTAAAAGTAGTCATTCCGTAAAAAGTAACTTTTTTATTGAATCTCGATAAGGGTTCTCCAGTTAGTTAAAATATATGTTATTATTAAATTTAATAGGTATGTATTTACTATTTGATTATCTAGGATGGTACCTGCAGACAAGTAAAGAACGATCAATTATGGAGCACAAATATCAAAGCAAATACGGTCATCCGTACAAAAATTATAACTCTGGGAGTAGACATGGCACGCAAAGAGTGGACAGTGTCAATTATCAAAACATTCAAAGCCGGCAAGAACAGCTAGGAAGAAAACATTTTGGATTCAAGCATCTAGAAGAGTTGAGTGATAAAGAGCCGTCAGATATTGTGTTTGTGGTATGTAATCAATCCAACGGTTTCATAGATTTATTTAATCAAAACAAAGATCCAGATTGGTTATTCTTGCTTATGAAAATCACTGCGAAGATTTGTTACACCGAGTTTTTGGTAAGCAAGCAGTCCATATTAACTGAAATATGTTGGAACTCAGTATTTATTGAGCATTTGAAGTCGTACATTCTCACTACTCCCACTGAAGTAAACAAAAACAGACAGTCAAACTTAGAAGCGTTCTTTGAAAATTGTTTAATAGTCTGCCAGTCTATTGCGGATTTATTTTTGAAAACTGCTGCTGAACGTTTAAACAGCTTAATTATTTGTATGAGAATGGCTCTATCAGACATAAAAAACAACTGTCTTGATCTTAAAATAAATGACATCATGTTATTGGATAAAATAGCAAAAATATTACAACAATTTACAAACCTAAAATCGAACGACGGAACAAAAAATGACAATAAAAATGAACTTCAAAACGCTACACCACCAGAGGATTTTCGAGTACTGTCCGTTTATCCTACACCATTTGATATGGATTACCAAAGACCTTTTTTACGTTCTAACATTACAAAAGGAGCTTATCAGAGTGTAGAACATTATTTAGACGTACAGTTTCGTCTTTTACGTGAAGATTTTATTGCACCTCTTCGCGAAGGGATTAAGTGTTTTAAAGAAAATAATAAAAATCGTAGCGATAGACCGAAAAGAATTAATAATATTCGCATATATCGAAATGTAAAATTCAACGAAGAAAAAGTATTTGTACAAGATAAATTGGGATATTTAATAAATTTCAATAAAAACAATAAATTGAAAATTAACTGGGATATTTCTAAACGTTTAATGTATGGATCGTTATTGTTATTTACTGTGAATGAATTCAATAATTTTTTTATTGGTATTGTATTGGGCCGTGATAAAAGATATTTGGCAAAAGGTCAATTAATTGTAGAATTAATTAACGACGTACATCCAGACATCCTTACTTCATCGTTTACCATGGTCGAGAGCGAAGTGTATTTTGAACCATATAAATGTGCCATGCAAGTTCTCCAGAACTTGAACGGTAATAATTTTCCGATGGAAAAATATATTATTTCAGCCTGTAATAAAGTCGAAATTCCTAATTACTTAAAATCTTTACCAGTGAAAATGTTCAATTTCAATGACGAGAAACCCTTTAATGTTTTAAACGAAGGTGAATGGCCAGTACGAGAAAAATTTGGACTAGACGAAATGCAGTATGAAGCCTTCAAAGCAGCGTTAACTAATGAATTTACGGTCATACAAGGTCCACCTGGCACTGGTAAAACATTTATTGGATTGCTGATAATCGAAACAATTATTAAAAATTTGTACCAATTTCATGTGTCAAATAGATTAAAAAATCCAATAATAGTTGTATGTTACACCAATCACGCCTTAGATCAATTTATGGAAGGTATTATAAAATTCACAAACAATGTTGTTAGAATTGGTGGCCAGACGAAATCAGATGTAGTAAAAGACTATACGTTGAAGAATATAACGAAAAACTATAGGAAATCGTCCGATGTATTTAAAACCATTAGGAGTGTAACCGATATAATTAAAACTATAGAACACGAAATAACATATCTTAAAAATTGTAAGGAATTCATTTCGCAAAATGCTGGTATTTTAGAATTATCCCTATTGAAAAATGGAATGCCAACAATACATACAAATTTCTTTTCCAGCCCAATTAAATATATTTGTTGGCTATTTTGTGATGGTGATTACTTTGATTTTGACCCGATTGACTTGATTATTGAACATTGTCGCTCTGAAGAAACTTTAGCAGTTAAAAATATTAATGAAACAGAAGATGACAATTTGCATTATGAAAATGATGATCCGGACATGGTTTTTGAACACCGCGATATTGTCATTTACAGTCTTACTTTAAAATCGGTAAAAGATATCTGTGATAAAACTATTAACATGCTAAATGAATTAAAACCAAAAAGAATGAAACGTCAGTATAACGATCGTTATTATTCTAATAATTATAATTTACACCACCAAGAATTAGAAACCACTTGTTACAGAATGGAAAAAATACACAATTATATTAACCAGATGTTAAAATTGTCTAGTTGTAATAATATTGATTCAAACTTCTGGAGGACTATTCCGAAAGACCTTTTTAAACTAAAAATGAGAGATAGATGGTTATTATATTTTCACTGGGTGGATACTGCTAAAGATATGTTTGATCCCCAAATACTAAGTCTCGAAAAAAAATATTATCATCAGCACAAACAATATTCTGAGTTGAAGGAAATGGAAAATATTGAAATCTTGAGAACAAAGTACATTGTTGCGATGACTACAACTGGAGCATCTAAACATAGAGTATTGCTTGAAGGACTGCAGTCTCCGATAAGTAATATTTGATGTTGTTGAATATTTTTAATTAAAAAGTTCAATATTTTAATACAATTTTCAGTGGTTGTTGAAGAAGCTGCTGAAGTGTTAGAAGCACACATCATCGCATCTCTGACTAGACATTGTCAACATTTAATACTTATAGGTAAAGTATGGGACTATTTTATTTTATATAGGAATTACCTGGAATTGATTTAATTTGTTTAAATCTGTAACTTGATTATTTTTACAACTTACAGGTGATCACAAACAGTTACGTCCAAGTACTGCAGTCTATAAACTGTCAAGGGAATTCCACTTCGATGTTTCCTTGTTTGAACGTATGGTCAACAGTGATGTGCCATACTACACATTAAGAGAACAGCACAGAATGCGACCAGAAGTGTCGTCCCTAATAACGCCGGTTATTTATCCCAACCTGATAAACCACATTTCAGTACTCAACAGACCGCATATACGTGGTGTTACTAAAGACATATTTTTTCTCAACCATACTAACTTTGAAACTGAGGTATTTTTAATTTTTAGTACTTAACTAGCAAATTTAAGAACATTATGTGATTAATTGTTATTATTATATTATACAACAACACCTTATACCTTAAGACTATAGTTATAATTTGTTGTTGCACCCCTAGGTCGAGGAAATATCAAGCAAAAGCAATGATCACGAAGCGTCATTTTTAATTATGTTTGCTAGGCATTTAATACTACAAGACTATAGCCCCGAACAAGTCACGATTTTGACTACCTATAGCGGACAAATGTTTAAACTACGTTCTGTAAGTCAAATACCTGCATAGTTTTTACTGAATAAGGATACATTTTAATATTTTAATTTTTGTAACAATTTTCTTCAATTAAAAAAACATTTGATTTAAAAATTAACATAATGCGCATATACTGGGTCTAGGGAAAGGGCGTATGGCAAATATGAATCATAAGTAAAAGAGCATCACAATAATTAAAAATGAAAAAATCCAAAAATATAATTAGGTACAGTTGTAAATATGTAACACATTTAACTTCCTACAAGAACAAAACTGGTTCTTAAGTCTATATATGGTTCTGTTGTATGGACAGTGATGAGTATTCTACTTATTTGAGTACTTAAGTGCAATGGACTTGTTAAAATTGAATTGAATGATAAATAACAAAGTAGATAAGAAAAACGATTTATAGAAATAACTTTTATAATATTTATAGAAACAAATTTGACATTTCCTAATACCTATAAGGCTATAGGTAATAGCTTGAAATTTGTCTAAATATTTTGAAAATGTCATTATGCGCATACAATTATAACTTAACTGTTTAAGCAAATAGATAATAAAATGTTTCATGTTTCTAAGATTAATATTTTTTGAACGATAACATGACGAATAATCCTTTGAGAATACATCAACTATTAAATTCTGAAGATCTGTTGCTGATTGCCGATTGGCCTCCTCTTTAGTCATTATTTAGGTATAACAGATTGTAAAATATATTTTTAGTAAAAATAAGGATCAACCATCATTATACGTTTAAATATCGAATGTTGTTCAAATTTGTACTTAAATCACTCATATAAAAACATGTATAGATTAACGATTAACTTTTTTTAAATTCCAGTCAACAGAACTAATGGTAAATCTTGTACATTTTAAGTAATTTTCTAACTTTACTTTAACTTTCTAACTAGTTAGTGCTCAGTTTTGAATAGCGACACAGCAAAGAAAATGTCATAACTTATACATTGTTTCTAAAAAATAATACTGTTGAAATGTCAACCATAATGAAATAATGAATAAAAAATAAGTTAGCTAAATTAATTTAAACAAATTATACTTGGCTTATTAAATTATAATAACTATAACATGTGTTAACTATGTTACAATGTTACATATATTATTTTTATGCTTTAAAGTTATTTTTAACTTTTAATTGTGATGATAATTATAATATACCATAATATTTACCTATTGGTGCTTATATAATTCAGTACCTAGAAATATTTCAACATCTGTATGTATTATGTATATAAAAAAATATAAATTTCTTAATTTGTGTCTGAAAGTAAATCTATCACCCTGGCACACACGTTTTATAACTTATTTAAACTATTCTATTTTATTATGATAAAAGTTTTTTAGCACAAGATTTAATACATAGGTAGTGAATGTTATAACTTATAAGTTATAAGTAATGTAAATCAATAAATCTATTCTAAAAAAAAAAAGAAAGGCATAGGATTAATTGAAGAATTCTTTTAAATGACTGAAATCAATTAAATTTTAAATTCGTCAATATTTCAATTTTCAGTTACAAAAAAAATATTCAAATTTGGATGGTATGAAAATTCAAGTCGTTGACAACTATCAAGGCGAAGAAAGTGATATTATATTGCTGTCGTTAGTTAGAAGTAATGAAAGCGGTAAAGTGGGTTTTTTGAAAACCGAAAATAGAATATGTGTTGCTCTATCTAGAGCAAGGGATGGTTTATATATAATGGGAAATATGGAAAACTTATACAACTCGGGTAATTTATGGAAAGAAATAAAACAAAAATTAGTCGATCAAGATTCGTATGGTAAATATTAAAATATAACATAATACTGCAATGTACACGCATTTTAAAATGTTTTATTGAAAATAGATTTAGTAAATCTCATATTTTACACACAATATTGTATTATATTTATTAACAGGCGATGAATTAACTTTGAAATGTGAAGTTCATCGTGATATCATGACAAAAGTTTCGAAATGTGAAGATTTTAAACCAATTTCAGAGGGTGGTTGTACTATGTTATGCAATGATTTGATGAAATGTGGCCATTACTGTTCAAGCATATGTCATGTCTATGATCGTGAACATAAAACATTAATAATATGCCAACACCCATGTAATAGGTAAATGCATAATATCATTATAATATTAAGGTATTCAAATTGATGTAGGTTATGGTTTTATTTTTAAGAAGTTCTTACCATATTATGGTTTTGTGAATTGTTTTTTTTTTTTAATGTTGTTCTTATTTAGCAATAAATACATATTATTCCGTGATTTTTAATTAAGGTTTAAGGTTACTTTTAGTTTGAATTTTTTCAGTATAATTCTATAACCACTTGTTTTTACTCAAAAATACGCAATTGGTACAATATTATAACGTGAAATAATAAATCTGACAACCCGAATATTTTTGTATGTTTTACATGATATTTTTTTTAAATATTACAGTCATTAATTTATTCTTTTTAAAGTATGTTTGAGAATATCTTGAGCCATACATACAGGTATATTTTAAGATTTTGTATGGAAACATATACCAATATGATCTTAAAGAATTATATAGGTAATTTAATTATAAATACTTAATTTGTAATATTTGTAAGATCCAACGACCAATATTTGCTTAAAACAATGGCTGAACAACAGTGGTTGCAATTAATATTAATTTTAAAAGTATTAGTACTTAGGGTTTTTAATGTGTTAAAAAGAAAACCTAAAGTTATAGCCGATTTTCCAAAAACCCGTTTCAAGACCTAGATTTATGTAAGATGCGTGATTAAAAAAATTGATAATAATGTGTGTTTCTCCCTATAATATTTTCTAGTGATGTAAACCTTCTCTAAATAATTTAAAATGCTAAGTTTAAGTATAAATTAAATATAATGCCTACTGTTTAACTAATTTTAGTATCACTAAATAAAAAAATTATAGTATTTAAGATTTTAAACTTATACTATTTTTTATCATAACCTTACTTATCTTCCATTTTTAAACGTTAATAACGGTAATAATATACTGGTAATATTATTATAAATATCACTGTAAGCCATAAGGTTAAGTTATAACTTTTAAGTAGGATGGAGAGGTAATAATATACTAATATACTTTTACAAATACACATAATAAGTTAATGGTTTATGGTTTTGCCAACATTTAATACCTATTATAATAGGTATAATTCAAATTACCGTAAATAATTGTAATCATATAATAGGTCATTGATTTCATCGTTGTCTGATATTGTAAACATTTTAAATTTATAAAATTTGATATCTCATGGCTTGTGAAAATGATCATCCTTGTGAGAAAAAATGCGCCGAAAACTGTGGAAAATGTATGGTATCCATGGTTAAGACACTACCGTGTGGTCATCAAGCCTCAGTGCTTTGTAATGTTGACCCTAAACAATTCAAATGCATAGAGAAGGTTTGTCCGCATATTTTATAGCAAAATTTTCATTAATAAACTGGTAAAAATAGTTATTAAGCGTAATGGTTATCGTCGAAAGCAGTATGTGTGCATCATGATCTGCAATAATCATTACAAACACTACAACCCGTAGTCTGTAAACACTTTATAGACTAAACGTATTTTAAAAATGATTATTTCTATATTAAAATTATTTATGCTTTTAAACAGGTCGAATTACTGTTGGAAAATTGTGGGCATAAAACAATTAAAAAGTGTTACGAGAAAAAACCCAAGTGTACAACTAAATGCATTGATCGATTACAATGTGGACATGCCTGTGTACTTGATTGTCATAAAGATAAAGACCCGACACATGAAAAAGTAAATCATTATTATTTCTAATAAGTAATAACTATTATATTACATACACTTTGTGCTCGCTATGTTTTAGCTTTATATTTTTTGGTTAAAATTATTTTTAGTATACCTGCTCAAAACCATGTTCAAAACTGAATAAAAATTGTTCTCAAGATCACAAATGTAAGAAAAAATGTTACGAAAAATGTTCAAATTGTGATATAGTAGTTAACAAAGTACTGGAATGCGGGCATTTGAAAAATCGTATAAATTGTAGCGATGACATAAAAAATATCCAGTGCTCAAAACGTTTCCCGTGTAATCGAGTATTAGAATGTGGTCACAAGTGTCGGCTAATGTGTTACGAGAAATGCAAGGAATGTAAAGTTATGGTAAGTTGCTACATGGTGACATTCACTATACGCAATAATCACACATTTTTCAAAAAATAATGATTCTTTTTTTTAGATCACAAAAACACACCAGAAATGCGGGCATACTAGTTATGTAGAATGCCAAATAAATCCCGAAAGAAATGTCATCTGTCCCAAAAAATGCACGCGTACAATGAGTTGTGGACATAAATGCAAGTATATATGTGGAAACGATTGCGATCCCAAAAAATGTAAAAAACTGGTATTGAAAGAGGGGAAGCTCGCGTGCGGTCACAGTAAAATGTGGGTTTATTGTTGCGAAGCGGATAAAGGTAACTTAAATTATATTATATTCGTAATACATAAAATTTATTAAAATCCAAATTAGAGCAAAAAACAATGCAATAATTTTTTTTACAAAATTTATAAGTACTTACATAATAATTTAAACAACTGATAATAAACCAATTTGAAAAATATAAATAAAAATAATAGCCATAATAAATAGAACTACGGCATAGCCTGCACTGCCAAACCCTATCCCAGACTAATCGAACACGTGTTATATGTTTGTATGTTTTGTATTATATATATTAAACATATATAAATATATTCAAAGATACTAAAAACAAAAATTTGGTTTCTAAATAATAAATATATTTTATTATATAGGTATTATAATATTATATAAAGCAATAAAATAATAATATATGACGCAACGGCAAGACATTATATTTGCGTTTATTTTATTGTTCAGTATTCCTTATACTCCAAGTTAGATTATCAAAAAATCTTCGAACTGTATTTATTTTTAAAATATTTAAAATTTCACACATTACGTATGACCTTAACATTGCCTCATATTTTACTTGGGAAGTTGTCCAGTTTAATAAAACCGTCTAGTTATACCTATTTAGTATTGTACTATTGTAGCTAAAATAATTGAACTATGTTTAACATCGGGTAGGTGTAAGTAAACAAACAGAGAAATTATAAACGTTAAGTTTGAGAACAGTGAACATAACGTACCTACGGAAATTGTTAACTCTAGTCGTCAAAATCCTATAAGCAAATAATAATAGGTAGTAGCAGATATTATCACGGTATTCAGGATGGCCTGACGAGGTCTGTGCAGTTTGCATATTATATTATACATTCGATTTGCATCCCGTGGAAGTCTGGTCAGATCGAAATAGCATCAGTTTCAATCACCTTTCAATTACTTTTGCAAAAAAAAAATACATTTCTTAAAAATAATCGTTAGTGGCTGACTGCACGTTGCACTCGAACATAATATCAGTATATCACACGTACAGAGAACTTATGTACCTTACCTAACAGAGATCTCGGCGGCCCATCTTCAGAAATGCCCGATGACGATTAACCTGACGTGATCGCAAGAGACCGATCAGAGGTCACAGTTTTTGTGTGAGTCGAGTACCTATTCAAATTGTATACAATAATGTTTACTTGTTCGTTACTGATCGCTAGTGCCACGTACGAAAACAGTTCTTAAAAAATCGAAACGCATTTCCGTCACACATAAATAAATAATAATAACATTGCACAGCACACATCTCCTAAGAAACTATCGTCATTTACTGATTGATTGAATTATCTCCGCTAAAAAACATTTTTTTGGTATTATACTGCAGGCTATATCGCACTATTCCCACGTAAACACTATAAAAGGCTATATAATGACGCAAGCTGGTGGGGCCACAACCTATCCGTCCTTCCGAAATGTCTTCGTTCAGAAAAATTATTTCAACCAAGTTTTACGACTTTCATGTTTTTACCAATTATTATAAGCACCCACCTCCTCTCCCATTGGTAAAATCCATTTGGGTGTGTGCCCTACTGTACAATTCGAATGTATATATGTAGGTAAAACATTATATTATTTCTGTAAGGTTCGGCTAAAAAAAGAGATGAAAATATGAACAATAGTGCGGTAACCTTCTCAGCCGGTCGACGATTTTACGATAGAAATTTGAATACAGAATGACAGTGAGATATCGATCGAGTTAATGATGTCAGAGTAGTATAGTAGCAATAACCACACATCGGAAGTCGAACGTATATATCATGAGTCATGACGTTTGTTGTACGTGCGTAGACAAGCGTCAATTTGCGGTATAATCAAATTGCATGTACCAATGCTTCTCCCTCCACCACACACCATTAGTGTTTTTTAAGTGCGAGAGGTGTTAATTGGCCTTTTATATAGATACTTACATATTATGCGGTTCTTTAAAAAAAATGTTTGATAATTATCGTGAAGAAAAATACTAAAATCTTATTCGATTTCCCTATTATGACGCCACGGTTGTCGTTGTAGTAATAAATAAGTAATACGATTATACATATTTATGTATAATATATAACTCTTGAGTCCCTTACAATTCATATTCTGAACCTTTGAGGTTGACTTTACAAAAATTTGTTCACGTTTGTCGCTTTCATAAACATTTATATTTTGTTAACATGTTATTATATCCTAACAGTAATAAATTATAATTAATAAAACTGAATACATTAGTATTTTTTCTGAAAACCACTTGAAACCTTAAGTCGTACTTACTAAATAAATCCTATACAATATTGATGATCATTCATTCTATACTTTTTTTGTAAATTACTTTTAATTGGAAGTTAATGATTATACAAAAAAAATATTGAAGGTACCTATGTATTTTCGACAGACTTTGGTAAAATATTTTTAAAAAGTACTTGGAATAAATACTCGAACACTTAAGGAAAATAATATTCCGACTAAGGTATTTAAAATATTTTTATTCTAGCCATTAAAAAACAAGATACTCATCTTAAGCAATTTAAAGCCAAACATTTTATTTATTTTTTCATAATAGCAGCGGTGTTAAAATATAATCTATTTGTATGTATATGTATATAGCTTTAATGATTTATGATTTACCACAAAACAATCAACAATAAATATTGAATAGTACTAAAATATATTAAAGTAAAAAAATTATTTTAAAGCTGTTAGAGCAAAACATTTAGAATATTGACAATTTATTAATTTTGTGTAATGTATATTATGTGTATTTACTATATTAATAACGTTAGTGTGGGAGAGTTAAAATGACTTGAAAATTTAAAATATTTAAAATGCTCTTAAAATTTCCCCCTAAACCTTATAATAGTTAGAACTGCTGAAAGAGAAAGATTTTTTTCAAGTTCAAACCATACATTTGTAGTCTGATTTAAATTGTGTCCAGAGATTTGTATTCATTAACCTTTTTACTAGGTTATGTAAGAAAAATATTTAAAGATTACTACTTAATATAGAATTAAAATAATATATAAGTAATTTTAATTTTGAAAAAAAAATCAAAAAATACACTCTAGAAATCTAGAAAATACTTAGAATAGAAGCTAATAAATTCATAACTACTCTCATTCATAACAGTTAACGGAAATCAGAAAGTATATACACTGACCTTCTACTAATTGGTCTAAAATCACCTCTTTCTAAAAAAAAGAGTGCTCCAACAGCCTTAAATACGCTTTTTAAAAATTCATTTTTTGATTCTAATTTAAAAATAATAATTGATACATGTATAATACTGTTGTAACTAGCTCATTAGCCATTACATATTACTCGTAGCCTATAATAGTCAAAATCATGAAATATATTCAGTGAAGCCGAACCCTTGTGTTTAGTTCACGACCCGCCAATTTCTTAAAATTTGAAAGTGGCCGAACGGCTATAGTTTAAAATTATTCATACCAGAATGTGTATGATTACTAAGGATAGATTCATACTAATTCATACATGGTGTGGACTGTTGATGCAATACAATATGTATACAAAATCACTAATATATGTACACGTAACAATTTAGGTACTTCATACACGTTACTATTAATTAGGTGTAATATGAATTCATTACGTCCTCAATATCTCCTTTAGAAGTTAAACAAATTGAATTTACAGAAGCTGTTTTTGTATGTATGGAGTAAAAATGTAGGCTTGTGACCGCATAAAAGGCTTGGAGCCATTGTACTCTCATTTAGTCTGAGATCAATTTTAGATATTCAGTACCACAAAATACATTGAATAATATGAGTACTATACTAATAATATATGAGTACCTTTTTTTTACACACTTAGTTTTTTACTATTATTTTTTTTTTAGAATTTGATGGTAGCAGTCAGTATGTCCTCGACAAATGCAATGAACCTTGTTTGAAAATGTTGTTATGCGGTGATTTGTGTTCAGGTACTTGCGGAAGATGTAAACAAGGTCGACTGCACGTACCGTGCGAAGAAATGTGTAACAAGATCAATCCTTGCAATCACACGTGCGTGTATACTGTACAATATAATATGTTATATAGTATATTTTAGTATTTATACAATACGACAAATTTACATATTAATTATAAAGTTGTACGGTATCAAAAAAAACTAAATAATCGACAGTTGTGGTTTTTTCTGTTTGTATATGTATACAGATGCAATTATCCGTGCAAAGAAGCGTGCCCTCCATGCGAAAAAAAATGTGCTTACTCTTGTACACATTCTAAATGTCCACTTGCATGTAGTGCTCCGTGTGTACCATGTCAGGTATGGTCGACAAGATTATTGTATATGTATATCATATTCTTTTTTAACAGCAATAATTACACGTATTGTTCTGTCTTATACAATATTATAAATATTAAAAAACAATTTTTTCCATACAACTTTTTTATCTTTATTTCATCAAGCACAATACGGTTGGCTCCCGTCGTGTTTTCTCGTTCCTTGCTTATCAACTATATATTTATATAACATTGTATAACATATGATCTATGTACGTAATGTATCCATATCCTGTGCGTTACATGATATAACGTTTGATAATATAATATTTTACAAATTAATCGAAAATTGTTGCTCTATTAATATTATTATTACCAGGAACCTTGTGTTTGGAAGTGTAAACATTTTAAGTGTTCCAAAGTATGCAGTGATGATTGTGATCGGCCGCCTTGCTACAATCCTTGTCCAAAGAAATTGAAATGCAAACACAAGTGCATTGGATTTTGTGGCGAAACGTGCCCTCCTCTTTGTCGTGTATGCGATGAGGCCGAAGTAACAAATATTATATTTGGTTATGAAGACGAAACAGACGCAAGGCATGTACAATTACATATTATATTATTATTCAGTGGTAGGAAATTATATAAACGTAGATGCACAATACATAGTTTGAAACAAATCAACGCGATCGTGTTGTAAAAACATAAATAATCTGTGTACGTACTCGATAAATTGGCACTCCAAATTGGGCTGAGAGGATCAATGTCCGATTATGATCACAACTCATAAGATAATAAAGACTTAAGTTACTATTACACTGTCGTCTGTCACCGTATTTCTTGTGGTTGGCCATTGCAGCAATAAACCAAGCAGTTGAAAATATTCGCAACTACCCCGCCTTGGGTTAGGTTCCGGTTATATTTTAAATGTGATTATTTATGAGTAATGAACTATAGTAAATTAAATCATAATATATTGACTCGAAAAATATTATTTCAGTAAAAATTAAATTCTGAACACGAACCACACGCGGTTACAGAGTATACCTATAGTTATAGTAACTTTATATACTTATTATTAATTGTATCATCAATTGCTAAGTCATCGGTTATGTTATATTTTATGATTTACATGTATAACATACATTTGTCACGCAGGTTCGTTTATCTGGAAGACTGTAAGCACACGGTTGAGTCCAGAGGTCTAGAACAGTGGATAAATCAGAACAGCGAAGAGATAGCAATGAAACAGTGTCCTGTGTGCAAGATGCCCATCATGAAAACCTTGAGGTTCAAGAACCACGTAAAATCTGTGCAGAAGGACATCTGCGAGATCGTGACCAAACTCGTCGGCGACCGCGATTGGTTGGCGTTCGACGAGAAGAAGGGGGCCCTCAAGCGGTCAGTGATAAAATTGAGCAGTTCCTTCAAGAACGTCGAGCAGACGAGTGCGCGGTTCGCGAACGTGAAAGAACTATGGGCCCTCTCGTCGGGCCGACTGTTGCAGCGCATGCGCAGAATAACGTTGGGCGCCGAGGCCACCATCGACATCGACTCGTGGACGTCCGCCACCCGACTTGCAGGATTGTTCTTCGCGTGCGAGAAGCGCATCCGGAACTTGACCGACGGCGACGCGAAGGACGCGGTGGTCGACCACTTTGTCTGGCTGCTGACCACGACGGTCGTCCACGCGGGTCGTCTATCCAGACAGCAGACGGCCGACGTCAACATGGAGATGATCCGCGGCGCCCGGCTGGTGAGCCTGGCCGAGGTGAAGACCCGTCCCGATTATATGCAGGTCGTCGCCGCCCAGGCTTCCGCCCCCCAGGCCTCCACGTCATCGTCCGCGGCTCCAGAGAAGGTCGATTTCTTGGTGACGGCCTTGGAGGCCTTGCTGACGGCCACTAAGCCGTACGACCAAGACACGGACAATGAGGTGAAAAGACTCACCGGTCAGTTAAGGCCGGCCTTTAGGAACCTGCAGGAGGCCACGGCGGCCGAGCGGAATATGATTCACAGGGCCATGTCGGCGAGCTTTCACGGTCAAGGAAGGAAGCAAGGCCACTGGCTCAAGTGTGCCAACGGTCACATCTACTGCGTGACCGAGTGCGGTGGACCGATGGAGCAGACCAAGTGTCCGGTATGCAAGGTGGACATTGGCGGCGTCAATCACAGATACGTCAAGGGTACTACTGTGGCGACGGAGATGGACGGCTCCACACATGTAGCATGGAGCGAGGCCAACAACATGAACAATTTTGTTTTGGACTGAACAAATTTTTTTTCTTCATATTTTAATACTTAATCATTAAACACAAGTTATATACTTTTAAATAAATGGTAATTTTACCTTATTAAACATTTTACCTCATTACTCTATTCATTTCATTAAATAAAAATTACATTGATTCATTACTAAGTGTTATATTTTTTTTTTTGTAGTTTGGTACGCCAAACTGTGCTCTTGAAATACCGAAAAAACGAACTCTCGACATTCCTGCCCCTAAATTGCCTATCCATGACACCGTGTTATAACATTGTATCGTTAAGAGGACGTGATACCTGCATGTGTTGTCTGAGTATTTTAAAATTGTAAATTTTTTATACATCTTAAAATACTTATAACTCGCGTTAAAATAAAAATATAATAAAAAGCCTATAATGTTGCCTAGATAATAATCTTACCTTTAGATTTTATAAGAGGTCAATTCACTTTAATTTTTAAATTAACGGAGCTACACGTGTTCTGCTGAGCGTACAATTAGCTATGTTACGCACTTGTAAGAAGGAGACAACACATGCGGGTATCACGTCCTCTTAATATTATGTCGGCGCTACAACTGTGTCAATTATTATATTATTTACCATCAATATTTAGATGTTTTAGGTGTGTAGAGTGCATAGTCAACTACCACCAGATTAAAGTTATGAAGGAAAAGTATAATATTATTTATAACCATAAAATAATAATTTGTAACAGCTTGACTAAAATAAGGCTTTACGCATTTTAACTTTTAAATTAATCATTAGCTCGTATAAATGATTAGGTCACCCGCAGACGTTCTGAACATACTTGACAGTGTGTTTTAGTACTAAAATAGGAAAAGTTGAATATGAATAAATGTTTACCTTATTTAATAGTAATAAGTTAATAAAAATAATAATAATAGCCCATGTCTGAATAATTTATCACGTTGTTTCGTGGTCGAAAGTTAGTATGTACTTTTCATTCACTTTAGAGTTTCTCTAACTAACATAAATGTGTTTAGTGTATACGTTATGTTTATTACACGTACAAATATGATAATATATTTTACGACTCGTTTGCAAGATGAGAATATATAATATTATAATATATTTATTCTAAACTATTGAAAACTATAGTTTACATGAGGCATTTTGTTTTTTCTGTACTGTTTCAAAAATATTTTTTGAACTCTGTAAAATTTGAATTATTAATGTGATCATATTATAGTTTTGTATATTCAATACTTGTCGTATTGACTTCGTGATCCTCTCTAACAATAACAAAACCAATTTCACGCGTATTATAATCCATATTTACATATATGAAATAACCTTTTTAACGCTCGCGATATTATATTTATATTATCAAATTATCATAAATCTAAAAACTAAACTTTCAACATATTAAAATATATCTATTCGTGCTGCTCTCGTCTGCGACATCGATTTTAAGTCATCATACTATTTTATATTATTATAGGAAAAATATTTTTCTAGGGATTGTACGTCCAGATCCGGCTTAACGGATGTAGGCACGAAAGAATGACATTTTTAAAGGAGGCGTTTACACTTTGATTTATGAATAAAAAAAAATAGGATGTCTGTGAGCCACGTGCAAGTGATGCAAACTCGGGGTTTAGTCGGTTAGGTTAAGGGCCGTAGCCATTTTCCTCCAAAAACGGGATACCGTTTTCCTCCACTGTCCATTTTCCTCCAAAAAAAAAAAAAAAATAATTTTTGACCATTTTCCTCCACTTTCCATTTTCCTCCAATAAATAAAACAATAAAAAGGGATTGATGATAACGCAACCAGATAATATGTAAAATATAAAATATAGTAAAAAGATAATGAAAATAATAAAAAAGTATGCACGTCGATAAAAATGCATGAATCTATTAATAAAATAATAAATTAGTTAATAATATACTATGTAAAATAAAAGATATAAAATATAGTAAAATCACTGCAGTAAATAATATTAGATTTTTTTATAATTATAAGACATCTCGGCAACAAATGAATACCTGTTGGAAGAAAATAAAAATTAGATATAATATGAATAATTATTTCACTTTTTGTAATTAGGTACATACCTAGACATTTCTCCGTTTTGTAATTTAATAATAGCATCGTCAATTGCTCCACGACGCTTGTTTGCTCGGTAATCCTTTGATTTTTTTGGAACATGTATACTTCTTATTTTACAATAAATATTAGTTTGAGTTTGCTTAATGATATTAAGCCACATAAATATATTAGGCTTTTCTTTATAAAAGTTTTCTTTGAAATGAGAGTGGAAAGACTCGCATGCATTAGTGGTTCTTGATAACGAAGAAGACGATTCTGCCCAAATAACTGGTGGAAATATAGAATTTTCCGAAATATACGTATCGGTTAAATAATCAGCGTACTGACTCACTCTTCGATCGTTTGGTATAATACTCATAAAGTCTTCAATAAAACATTTGGAAACGTTTTGTGGTTTTAGAAATGTGAGTCCAAACGTGTTTCTTATCCAAGACCCAATTTCAGAATTTTTTTCTTTATAGTATTGAACTAAACCGAGATTTTGGATTTTCCGAAACCATGATTGTGTCAGGTGAAACCTACAGCCAACTATTTGTGTATCAGGCCATACTATAGAAACAGCATCATGAATAGCTTGCTCGAAATCAATAGTGATTGATTTTGGATTTATTGTCAATTTTAATTCAATACATTTAAGTAAAATATGGTTAAATGTATTAACATATGTATCAGTAGATTTATTAACTAGAAGACAAAACACAACTGGTATATAATGTCCGTTTTTAAAGCCATGTATTGTAAACATTTGGTTAAAATGTTTAGCACTGTATGTAAATGTACCATCGCAATAAATATTTTCAGATTCACATAAAAATTTCAAGTTTTGGTAACAAGAAAATATTAACACATTTTTATTATCATCATTAACAAGTAAAAATTGTTCTTCGGAAGTAGTTTTAATATCCATATTGTTGATTGCTAAATGTACCTCTTCAATATTTTTCGGCAGGTTCGGCAGCAAAGATTGACGGGCTGCATAAATATTTTTCCTGATTTTATGAATATCGGTTTCATCAAAATTTGAACAGTCGGCAGAACTTTGTCCTAATTCCTTAAGTATCACCTTTTTCGGTCGTGAGAATAAATCGTCAATTGCTTTTCGCTTACATGCATTATTTACTATTTGTCGATTTACTTTTTCAAGTTACAATCGACTGTTATAAACCGCGTGTGCTGTCAGACACTTGGACTAGCGTTTTTCCCTAGCCGATAAGAACGCGACTAGAATTTTATCAACAGATACGCGCAAAATGTGATCCTAGCCATACTCTATTTTTATAATAAAAACACTGACTAAAATATTGGAGGAAAATAGACATCATTTTAGTCAAAAATAATGTGGAGGAAAATGGAAACCAACCTTTTTTTGTTTTTGGCGGAAAATGGACAGTGGAGGAAAACGGTATCTCGTTTTTGGAGGAAAATGGTCCCGCCCAGGTTAAGAGCTATACAAGGATACGGTCAACCTTTAAACTTTGAAAAACATTTGATCCTTGCAACCCTCGAAAATTGGTCCTGTCCATTGTCGGACGTCAATATTTAACACGTACGTGTGCATGTAGAAATACGCGTCAAATGTAAACTGTTATTCGTTAGCTATGTGTACGCGTGCCGCAGTGGGTTGTGTAAAATACGTGCAGAGACGAAAACGAAACAGTTTGTATTAATTATTACACATATATATGCGATTGAATCTCGACGATTCCGTTTGATTTTGACGACCATCATCGTCGTCTGGTGACGCCTCACCGCCTCCGCGCTCGTTGTCAATGCCGAAAAGTGTTTTAACGGATGAAAATAAAACGAAAACGGTTTTCATTGTTTTTCACGGTTATATTTTCATGACTGATCAGCGATCACAGCGGGAGAGCATATATGCATCGACTCCGGTGAAATGCGTCTGTTTTGTTTAAAATAATAATTGTATGGTTATAATAATGCAGTGTACCTATATAGGTGCATGTAGGTAGTATATATGGCGTTCTACGTTCGGGCAATATTATTGAGGTCATAAAAAAAACGTGTTACCACCCACCGAGACAACAAGCGTGTGTGTTATAATAATATCCGTTCAGCGTGCTGTAGGAGTTCATTATATTATTCTCTTTTTAGCAAATTCCGTCGATTATATTTTCACCGTATTCGTCTGCGGGAAATTCGTAATATGTGCAGGCATTATTATTATTATTATTATTTCACTCGCAGACTTCACAGCTTTTGCAAGCTGACATCATATTTATGGCTATACATTATAATAAGGACGCGAACCACCGTTTTAGTTCAAAAAGAATCATAATATTTTTAATTGAAGATTCGTTCGGCGAAACGGTATGGAATATATAGATATATAATAATTATACTATTCGTACAATAGAGCGGGGTGAAATAAGGGCCGCCGCCGAGAAAAACGTACCCAATCAAGTGCGCCCCGCGGGATAAATCCCGACTGGGGTAAAATACATTATTTTTTTTTTATCAAGATTTAAATGCAATTTGTATTCTAGAAATATTTTATAAACTGCGTGTGGGCGACCTAACAGTATGGCAGAATAGTATTCACGGTATCAGAAATCATACGCGGTTTGGAAGGAATGTAAATAGGTTGGGAGACGGCCCCTCTGGCACCCCCCCCCCGGGGTGCTCTTTTACAATGCACTAGTCACGATATATATATATATGTATTCTTACAGGTTAGATTAGATTATATAATATGTTTATTTATAGGTACACGGGCAATATAATATATGTACCTTTAACACACATACACACACACACACACACATAATATACCCGAATCGAACTTATCGGCAAATCGGTAATGACCTTAAATAATAATAAACACGCGCTCGAGCAGTATATATGGGCTTTAAGCGTGTTATGTATACCCCACAAATACGCAATAATATAATGATAATAATAATAATATATTTGTGTACAACCGTTCGGCATTGTCAATATGTATTATAAATAATTTATAATATTATACACCCTACATTCACGTAGGTACGTATACAGTAAAACTATGTATGCATTTTTACGATCGATTTTAACGATTTTACCAACTCGCGGTGTATAACATAATATAATATGTATATTGTACATAGCATATTATACTAGTAATAAGGATTATATATAAATTATGTTATATTATTCGTATTTTTATGAATAAAAATATTGATATAAATTTGAAGAACAAAAATGCTGTTTAAAAATAAAGAATAAAAATAGTTTTGAAAATTAATACTGTAAAATAAATGAAATGATTATTATTGATATGATGTTATGTATAAAATTACAGTATTGCTGTAGGTACCTAAGTTTATTTATTACTTAACTCATCGGTTGTACTTCTATCGCTGAAAGGTATGTGATGAGAATATCGGTAGTTTCTCTATAGGATTATGATTTTAGTTCAGAAACCCAGACAGAATATAATACCTGTATCAAATTATATTTCTTATTACCTTTGTACGAAAGCCGTTATAACGTCCGAGTCGGACCGATTTTAATGATTTTACAAACACGCGGTGTGTGTTATATACGTATCCATATCATCACATAGGTATATCAAATTGAAATAGAAGTATTTTGTAATGAATAAAAAAATATGGAAATAAATTTAAAGAACGAAAATATGGTCAAATTTTGAGTTGTGAAAACATAATAATTATATTGATATGATAATATATTATATATATTATATACAATTTTACTGTTGTACCTAACTTGGTTTATTATTCAACTCATCACTTGTACCTAACCTAACCGCTGCCTTAATAATACGCCATATATTTTCGGGGGACGAGAATATCGAATGTTATGCCATATAGTATAGTATAGAGAAACTCTGTCAATATATTATTCTCATATAGACTCAATTATGGATTATGATTTTAGTTCGAAAACCCAGAAAGAAGATGTCCAACGATGGATATTTCTTATTAGCAATAAGTATAAGTTATTTATATTAAAGTCGTTATGACGTCCGAGTCGGACCGATTTTAACGATTTTACAAACACGCGGCGTATATTATACTACGCGTGTACCTTTACAAATTATTACCGCTGCGTATTATTATACGAGTAAAAGCGTTGTACACAGATATATATATTGCGATATTATATAAATTGTATATATTTAACGGGTAAAAACGCGCTGCTGTCCCGCGGTCGCGGTCGAACCCGGGAAACGTCGTCGTCGTCCTCGGCGGCGGCGCTCGGGGATGCGCGCGAAATTGACGAGCGCGGGGTGTAGGGGGGGAGTGGAGGCGGAGGCGGCGGCGGCGGGCGCCCGGGCGAAAGAAAAAGCAACACTCGCACACACTACAGAGCTGGCATTCGCACGGCGGCGTAAAAACGGTCTGTTGCGCTCCTAGTTTTCCGTTTCCACCCCGTCGGCGACGCACGTACCCCGCGCGAGTCACTGCACATTATTACGCCGTCCGTGTGCACGACAACACGCCGCGCGATCGGCTTTCTCTCTCTCTCTCTCTCTATCTATCTCTATCTCTCTCTTGCTGACGACCGGTCGATAATAATCATAACAATAATATCGATCAACGGTCGGCCTGCACTCGTGAAAACGTGTTGTCCGTCGCGTTTATCGCGAAATCGGCGGTGTTCGCGCGCGAGAGAGACTGCTGACAGGTCCGAAGATTATTGTGTCCCGAGCGAGCGTCTCGTGGCCGAGAAACAAATAGTATTTCCGCAGGAAGTATCCACGAGACCATTCCGGGGGCCGATAAGGTGACAACGGCACTCGAATAAATATATATAATATATTACACTATACCGCCGACGCAATATCATCATGCCAGCCATCGTAGCCAACGAGTTGCAAGACATGCAATTGCGGTCGGCCCACGTAACGGACGAGGTAAGCGATGCACCCGATCTCATACTGTAGTATTAGGTACCTGTGTGGTATTGCACACATCACACTTGTGCCATTATGAGACGTCATGTGACATGTTTGATATTATACGTATCGTTTTCGACTTATTTGTATAGCTGATTTCGTATATATTACATGTCTTGTTGGTGTTTTTTGTTTGCAGTCTCTGGAGAGCACCCGTCGGATGATCGAACTCTGCGAAGGGGTACGTAACATGATAGTATATATACTGTGCGTTATAGGCACATACCTGCAGCTGTACGTGTCAGTATACTTGTATACGAAAATGTTTATTTTTGTAATTGTTTTTTCCCCTCCGAGACCAAAGCACAACTCCCCCGCCTACAAAACCCCGATCCAATATATTATGTATTTTTCAAACCATGTAATACTATATTCGTCCATTTTTTTGTTTACCCACGACGCCGGAGCGATTTTTTTCCATCGTCTGTAGGTAGTTGTTTGGGGTATTAAATTATTATTATTATTATTATTATTATTATTATTATTATTATTATTATTATTGTTATTGCCGTTGTTATTGCCGTGTTCTGATTTCGTCTCGCAGCGCTCCCAATCACTGCGCTCTCCAAACGATAATCAATCGCAAACAAAATCTCATATTACCTTCCAATATTATATACAAAATACCTATGGGCTATGACCGACATTATCAAATACATATAAATGTATACTTATCGACTTCTCGTTCAAAGCGCGTTAGCTCTACGCCGCCGTCTGACACGTGCGTTCATTCATATAAATAATATTATACGAGAAAGGCGCGCATATTAATTTCGAAAAATTAATTAATTACACGGTTGACGGATTTTTTAATAGAAAAAAGTTTTATTTAATTAAACTACAGTGCTCAGATTGGGTTCGCGTTATAATTATGTTGTGCTTAAGTGATCCGGATAACGTTGTTCCTTCGCTTATTTTATGTTTAGGGTACTATACCATTAATCTAGAAATTTAATTTACACACATTTTTTTTATGAACAGTACATACTGCAAAAACATTTTAACATAGTTACAAAATAATAAAATTGAATGCCATTAACAGTTTACAAGACTTTAATAAACTGTGACAATATATCAGTAAAACGAACCTATGTATGCATTTACAAAATAAACTAACTATTGGAAATCAATAGTTTTATTTCAATCAATTAATAAATTGTAAGTTTTATTGATTTGTTAATTGTTTTTATGAGGAAACTTGATGGTTTTAAAAAAAAAAAATTTTTTTTATTTTAAAATAAATTATATCAAATTTCGTACCTTTTTAGACTAATATATTACCTATAATAAACCTAAATGTTATTTAATATCAAATAATATTTCTCCCATTAAATTAATTACCCATCTTCAGATTCATGTCACAAGTAATTCCAAATAAAACGTGTTCGATTTTTGCTAACTTGTACATGCTACAATTATAATTCATTGAAGTTTAATTATTTATAAATTCATTAAACTGTGTAGAGTGATATAAATTCTAAATTAAATATTTTATTTTTAATTTGCAACAATTTGTTGTCTATTGCATTATATAGATATTTTACATATTTTATAACATATTATTGACACAATAAACTAATTAATATTGATTATTCAATAATAATAAATAAATATTAAGTTACAATTAATTATACAATTTAAAATATTGAATTTAGTGTTAACAATGTAAAATATTTATTGTATTTTATTGAAGCAATAATTCATTTTCCTATAATAGCTTTAAACAAAGATCCAACATTAATATTCCATATGTTTAATATATTTATATAAGTATCCATAATTTAGTATTGCATGTGTCGACATGTTTTTTTTGAAAAATAAAATTTTTAAATTATGTTCTATAAATTTACTGTCTTCAATTTATTTTTTATTTTTTGCAGTAACTACCTATATGAACAAACTTCAGTATAATTCAATTGTATCATTAAACTTCGATAATTATATAATTTGGTATTTTTTTTTTATAATTTTCACATAATTTTTAATTGTTTTAAATTTGTTAAATTGGATGTAGGTATAATAATATACAATATATTCATTATATTGAATAATTATTAAATTTACGTGGAATAAAATAGTTATGAAATTATAAAAATAAATACAATTTCGAGTAAACATTTAGCCTTTGAGCCTACTAAAAATGTGCTATTTGTGTTTTATTAACGAATAAAAAAATTGTCTATAACACTGCATATATATAAGACAAACAATTATTGGTAAACTCAATAAAAATTTAAAAATGAGTTACTTAAATATATAGTATACAAACGAATATGAATTGTACAAAAGTTAGCAATAATTAATTGAATTAGTTTATAACTAAAAATAAATACGTAGCTAGATGTTATATCTTATAAATTATAAATAATATATTTTTTAATTATTTTAATGACATAGACTATCGGTTATCTGAGATGAAGGGTTGGTATTATTATGCAATATACCTAGTGTGAAGTTTCGTTTCATTATACAATGTCAGACACGGATATTGTCCAATTTTATACGGTATAGGTATTCAATATAATATATGTAGGACGTAGGTATTCATCATAACTCGACAAAAGACGCATTTAGGTGATGACTATAAACCATCGGATGTTCATTAATGGTGTCGAGATTATTTTGACAGTGACGGTTAGATATATATATATATAAGTATAATATAATCGCTAAACGATTTATTATTAAACCTATATATATGTAGCATAGAGCTTTTGAACGTGTATACCAATTCGTTAAAGATATATTTAAGGTAAATACGATTGATAGAAGAACTTCAGGTACCCTTTTAAAAACGGCTGTGAAGCGTGTATAAAAATGTACAATGTACATATTATATACAATATACAATATGTAAATATATTTGTATCATAAAATAAACTTGTATATTGTATATATTATTATGTGTAGTTTTTCTTCGAAACTATAATAGTGTGTTATTTCTTAAGCGATAGTGAATATATAAGTATATAGTCACTTGAGAACCACTTAAAAAGTTTATTTCAAAGTTAAATCGCATTTAATGGAAACGATTTTTTTTTTTTTTTAATTATTTATTATAACGTTTACTCATAGTCATGAATGGCCATTAGTCAGGTAAATTAAATTGCACTTTAAATAATAACGTCTCATAAGTTTCTCAAGCAATTTTCGCAATCGTCGAGTTCTACGCCACCAGTCTCTTTTTACAAACAGTAGTATAAGACAATAGAGCTGTTCATCTGAGTAATTAAATAATTATAATTTAAAGTCTAGAAAGAATGATGAAATACATTCTCACGTATTTTTGTTGATTTAATTTTACAAATTCATCCAGAAGCAAACAGACCTTTTTTAATTCGAGTTTAAAAAGTAAATAAATCGCTATACCTATACAGGCATATTATGGTGTGTACCTAAAAAAATATATTAATATAATATAATATAAGTAGTAATTTAGTATTTTCATTGAGTGTGTGTGTGGGGGGGGGGGTCGTAAATTGTCTGATTTTAAGTACAAATTTAATAATAATTTACATGAAATGAATGAACCAGCCAAACAATTTTTCAATGATAAACCATCAGAATGTTTAATATAGTATGATTGATTATGAAAAACTTGTATATAGATGTTACATTTTTAGTTTTAACAAGAAAAGTTTTCATTTAGTATTGTAGTTAAGATAACTTTTAGAGGAGTTTGAATTCTATTAACTGTCAAATAATAATAACATAATAATAATTAACATATTATAATGAATAATCAAAAAGCAAATAAAATAAAATATTATTCTTTAAATTAAACAATTTATCGTAATTTATTACATTTCACAGTAATAGAAAAATATAACTTTTTATACCTAAATTGAATAATAAGCATATTGTACCATTTTTATTTTTATTTCATTTACATTTTTTTTTATAAAAATCTGATAGCATATTATATTACATACTTTTAATCCACTATACCAACTGGATAAATAATAATGGTATGAATTTAATTTTTGTTAATCCGGTATAGGTATGGGTACTGGGAACACAGCGTAACGGGATTTTCTGAAAATGTGAGAGAGAATTCAAGTGAACTATACAAAAAATATTGTGGAAACGAATTATAGTTTACTTATCATATGATTAAATATTGGCAAGTTCTAATTACATTTTAAGTTTTTCACTCAATATCTATTTAAAAAGCATATATTCTGCTTACACACATTAAAAACCGAGCATTAAGTTTCATTCACATATCCCAATGTTTATTATGTAGGTACCTGTACCGGCAAAACTGATGTTAAATTGGCGAACGCCATTACAATCCTCTGATTTGTTAAAACAAAAGAAAAAATAATATATTAAAAATTAACATTGTAGGGAGGTACTAAACGACAATTCTTAATACAATTTTTAAAATATTTCAGTCATTTGTATTCTTTTAATATTTTAAACAATTTTAAACACTCAACTCTGTTAAATAAATATGAAAACGGGAGATACTACAATTTGCTTTCAAACAATGGGGATTTTTCGCATAAATTAATGTGCAATCAATACATAATATAATGGGTAGATTTGTACATATTATGACATTAGTACGTTTAAATATCTAAGAATAAAAATACCACTTAAAAGTGCCTTAAAAATATTTGTATACCAATCATTATTTCCAGAATAAATCCACAAAAAAAACCTCTTACTGTATAAAAACAGAGGAAACGTTCTTCTTTTAGTTTTTTATAAAATATTACGCCGACGAGCAAAGTTGTCAATTCGTCTTGAAAAAACTGTTATAATTGAGTTCCGTATCACTGTATAATCAAATTTTAAATGTTGTATCAAAAGAATACTAACAGCGATGAATCCAACCCGCAAACGTAATTACGGACTATGGTGCATTATATGATCATTAATATTATTATATTATATTTGTGAGCATAAAAATGACTAACTTGAAATTTTTGCAGACAAAGGAAGCAGCCATTAAAGCTCTAGTTGAGTTAGATGATCAAGGCGGTAAGGATGAATTAATTAATATTAAATAATTTGCATTATAGTATTTAGTGTATACCCGAAAGTTTGAGATGTACTATGCGGCAGGCGTACTTATATATTATACAACATTCAAGCTCTCGAATCCACTGATAATCCTAATAGGTATCTGAATTAATAATATAACAAAATATCGTTGATTAAATACGAACCCTAAACCAATATTGAAAATTACTGAGAGACCTATTATCGGTGGCGAACACAGCGGTAGGAAAGTGTTTAGGGTATATGACACCCCATCTGTCATATGTTTAGTTAATTTTAATACGATATTGTAAAATCCGAGCATGCTGCAAGTTCCAAATATATTTGGTGAAAAATGTTTGGATAATATACAATGATAGTAGGCGTGCTATTTGTAGATCTACGTTTTAATAGCACGTCACATGATTTCTCAACGAATAAATACATATATACTATATAAATGCTCGATGAAAATAGGCATGAAAAAATTCTGAATTCACCGCTGCTTTAGTATGATATTTATTTTTGTTTTGTCGGTACCTACACCTGCTGCAGGTATAATAATACTTACAACGACTCACCGAAAAAAATATTTACAGGATCTACATACTTATAAAAATATATATTTATATAGTTAGGTATAATCGTTTAACAAGTCTTTATGCCCAAAGCACATAAACCGCAGACGACTTTATTCTGCGATTGGTATTTTTATCTCAACCTTTATCCGAGTATACCTGCTGCAGCGGTTCTATCGAAATGGTTTTTGTAATCGGTTTAAGCACGCGTTGCGTGGCTGACATAAGCATATTGACCAAAGACGCATACATATATATTATATAGAGAGAGATACGTACAATATAAAGAAAATATATATGCATCATGGTTTATGCGATTTCCAGAGAAAATGGACAGGATCGAGGAGGGGATGGATCAAATAAACGCGGACATGAAGGAAGCGGAAAAGAACCTTACCGGCATGGAGAAATGTTGTGGTATTTGCGTGGTGCCTTGCAACAAGTAAGTTCCTAGCTATACTTCACCGTAACAACACTATTGGCTCGTTATCAAATAAACACTTGTATACGTGGTGTCTTGATGGAAACTGACAAACGGAGTATAAAAAAAAATTTAAAAAATAATAAATACGAACCCCTCTCGGCGACTAATGCGTTTTATCTTTTGTACATTCAGGGAAAAATATCATAAATCGAACGGTTCGGCACTTCGACCTACAAGACGAAATCCTATTTCGAATTCGATTCCGAAAAAAATACACTCGAGTGAATTTTATCACTAATTTATATTTGATTTCAAACGAAGTAATACAATTTTCCGGTAAAAGTACAAATGTTTCCATTATAGATTTTTATATATTTTTTATTTTAATTATTGAAAACATTTAGTAGTTAAAAGTTGATAACGAACACGTAGTAACATAATTATTATGTAACGAGTCGTTGTTATGACGTATTAGCTTGAAATAAAATGCAAATAGGTATTTAACTTTACAAAAAAAATTCGATCTAATATGATAATATTGATTTACACTCCAGGTTATTATATACGTAGTAGGTATATGTTTATTTTTTAATAATATATTCCTTACTATATAATTTTTTTTCATAATAATTAGTACATTTGAATTTCTGACAAAATTCTCAAAATCAATATACATATACAGACATACAGTATACATTTTAATGCTATGTATTGATAAAATTAAACACAAACATGTGTAAAATATACCATATAATATGAAAGTTGAAAACTGCAAGTAAGCTTAAGTGATTTTCAAACTTTTCGGACACGCAGTGCGCAATTTTATATATATTCAAAATACAAATAATTGAGTTACAGATAAACACTTCACCACGCATATGTATAGGTTTATCATCGACTGGAAACCTCGACGAGAGTGAAATGATGATTGACGGAGAGTTTCAATCAATCAGGCGGATGTCACTGATCATTATTGCATGTCCACGGTCCTGCGACTAAATTGAAATGATGTGAAAAGTACGATATGACGACTCTATATAGATTTAATTCATCACAAATTGCGATAACCCACAGCAGAAACTTTTTTTTAGCCTCCATTCTATAATATTATTATATACTCTGTATAGGATAATAATAATTTTGTTTTTTATTTCATCGGCCCGATTTATCGTATTTACCTACCTTCAGTATTACAGATTTTTCAGGTCACGTAATTTTCTAATTTTAATTTTTGCATTTTTTACGATAATATGCTTTTATGCGCATATTTAAATATTTGTATATATATATACTATAGGAACACCTGCCATTATTAATTTGAGCTTTCATTAGTTATTATGATCGAACTAAAAAAAGCACAACCACTTTAGCAATTTGAAAAAAAACTTTTAGTAGGCACCTAAATATAATTAATTTTAAAAACGTTTCGATTAAAAAAAAATTTAATCTTTTTGTTTGAAACTGTTATTGTGTATAATACTGAAGAAAGATTTTAAATAAATCTGCAATTTTGTTATAATGCTATAATTGAAGAAGACGTTATACCCACGGCACATACATTATCTCCGTCTTACAAACGCATAACACAGCAAATTGTATACGTTCCGAGTTATCCATTTAAAGTTAATAAACCCTTAATAATGTTATGCGTTGTATTTTCTTACAAACACATTAGATTAAGGCAGATTTTATGTTTTAAATAATCCATTTAACACGTACGTCCATGAACTCTGTTATTTTTATTATTAAAGTGATTTGAAGTAATATCAAATTTAGTAGTAACAATAGTATCTATAGTGAACGTCTAATTTCAAAATTGTAAATAACTCGCTTAAAAAGGAAAGCATACAAAATACCTTTGAGATTTGCTATAGATAATATTTTACTCCTAAATTTGATAATAGGTAAATTTACTCTAACATTAAACATAACAGAACCTACCTTTAACCTAACCTAACCTATGAAGAACGGAAAATTTGGTATGTCATCATGCGTTTATAAGATAAGTCAACGCATAACGTGAGTGTCGCGAGTGTTGCGTCTTCTTAAGTTAACTATTAAGATTTATGAAGAGACGTCTCACCCACGTTTATGGTCTCCTTGTTAAAAACGTACAACACAGCAAATATGGTTTCAGATGATCCAATTTCATGTTGTTAGTTTTAATATTATAATGAATTTATCTATCGACTATCATTAAACTTAAAGCTATAACAACGACATTATCTATGTTTGAACTTTGGGTTTTTACGATATTTTTAAGTGAATTGTGAGTAGGTATGTCAAGTATTTAAAACAACATAATAACTAACTTAAAAATTTAAATGACTCTAAAAGCTCAGCCTACAAAGACATATAATGTGCTTAGCTCTATTAAATAAAAATAAGTTAATTAATTATTCTAATACATTAAACCTAATGAAACGGAGACAACACATGCGGATGTGACCTCCTCTAAAGTTATATATCAACTAAAAACATTTTGAAAAATATTTCACTAATACTTTGATCATACTCCTTTTTGTTATTTTACAAAATTTAATAATTAACCACACCATTATAATATTACATTATTTATTTTTATATCCTGGGAACGTTGTATGGTATTTGATCGAGTTTGATAGGTAGGTATTTTGTTTATGGAATTTAGCTGTATATTCTGTGTATGACACTATCATATTGGCATATATAGCTGTCCAAAACATATAATTCAATTCTAAATAACATTTTATCATGTTAATGCATCCACCCAAACTGTTGCTGTGTTTGTTTTTTACGATTGACGTTCATTAAAATGATTTAAAAATAAAGTTAATGTTTATAACATGGTTTTAATGTATTTTATTTTAATTACACCTTTACTGCAGTTTGCCAGTTTACACTTGCAGTATTTAACATAAAACCTTTGTCAGATGCCTATCATTTTTTTTTCAACATTACATCAAACATAAATGACCTACCAGGACACTGTTGTTTCCAAATATATATAAACATACATTCTATAGTGGCTGGCGACCAAACTAACCCCTCCTCCTCTAAACACCGTCAATTGATGCGATTTTAGGTCGTTATAATTCGTCTTAATAAACGCTGTTATTTTTCCACCTGACCAGTGACCACTCACTCTCGTCGAGGACTCCAATCAACGATGGTGCTGGTACCTACCATAAGGTAACAAATCATCTTACCGTTCGTTATTAAATTAATTATGTATAAATCATAATTACATTTAATTTAAAAAAAAAAAACGATACTCACATCAAAACGCGTGTAACTCGAAAATCCTTCGTTATTAATTTTTCGATTCACAAGAAACGTTCTTTTCTTTTACTTACTTCGAATATGACAAATCTTTATATCTTAATATTATTTTTATATTTTATCGGGAGTATTTCTTTGAAGTCGCTTATTGAATTTCAAATTGTGTTTATAAATTATCATACAATAATCAAACGATAAATATTATTCAGCCATTATAAACGCTGAAATCTGTATGCAACTTTTAATTAGTTCTTTCTGTAGTACTTAGATAGACAATAAAAATACAAAAATAGACACTATGGTAAATGTGTAAATAAAAAATACTAAAAATAACACGTCATTATTTTTTTAAACAATAATCGAGTATTATTTGTATGGATTTTATACATCTTATACAATAATTGAGTATTGTCTGTATATAGATTTTAAAAATTATTTTATTGTATTTTAAGATATATAATATATATGTATAATTCGTTTATAATCATCAAAATGTAAATTCTTGTTTGTTGTTGTTGTTTTTTTTTAATAGTTTTATAATTATTATGGTGATTTAATAATAACTTTACAAGTTTTGATTAGTTTATTGGTACTTTAGCGCCAGTACTTGTCTGTTATCTCAACTACCAATTTTTATATTTAAATAAATTTAACGTATTTTCGAAGGCTGACGCTCGACTTAGGATATTCCTTCTATACGAGATACAAATATTCCAATATGACCTATGACCTTTAACATAGGCAGGTACTTATATAGCAGTACTCATTTTACATATTATCTTTCGTTATTACATATTATTCCGATGTCATAATTATTACATTCATCTCGGATCAGTACCTATATTAAATGTATTTTTATCGTTAGACAATGAATTACGTAAATACGTGCGAGTTCATCAATACGAGGGTACTCAGTTAAAACATTAAATATTACGTACGTCATAATTTCATTTCATTGGTTCAATGTGCGTATAGCAACTTTCATATATTTTATATGCTACATTTGCGAAACATGCTGCATTGAAAAAACTCCCCACGTAGTTTAAAAATCCTATAGTCAGTGGTTGTATTGAGGGGGTAGCACCGTGCGAAAAAGGAGTCCCTCATCATTTTTTTAAAAATATTTATGCATAGTGCCTACCCATTCTAATTATATCGTAATCAATAAGACATTTTTTAAATATTCATTTACTCACGTTTTTTTCCGCTTTTGCATACTCCTTCTCATTTTTTCGCTGTTCAGGCTCTAACACTGTAGCCTATAGTTGTATAGACACTTGTATAATGATATAATGGTTATCAATGTATAAGTAAATAATTATGAGATGGATAATTGACCTGATTTTATATAATATACCTATAGGTACGCACGCAGTGGTCGAAGTGGAGAGATATGGTGGAATAATGGCATCCCTCCATTTATTTTTTTTGAAAATAATCAACCCCCTATTAATTATATACACATATTATCGATTTATATTGGTGTCTTTCATAACATATTTATTTTTACGAAGGTTTTTTTTAAATTAAAGTTACAATTACACAATGAACAATGATGTCTGTTAGCAACATAACATTATTAATTATTTTAGATAAGAAACAAGTATTTACCTATTTACTTGCTCTTTAAATTAGGCAATATGATAATTAGATTAATAAACGTAAACATGATTTCTTACAATTTTAGATGATAATAAGATGATATATTAATTATGAATTATAAGAAGCCATACACGAGTTAAACTCACCCCCCTCCCTCAAAAAAGGAAAAGAAAAGAAAAGAAAAGAAAAATTAAAAGTGTATAATTGTTTAAGCTATATAAATCAAAACGATATGAACTATATGATAACCATATAAATTAAGGGCATCCTTCCACTTATTTTGAGCCACTTTAACCACAGCGGGGTAACGGTTTCGGTTACTGCAATATCAAACATGGACAACGATTATTTTCCCCTAGATTCACTGTTATATAGATCAAGTAGATTCACAATATTTTACTATCTGTTACGCACATACTATACAGTAAACATAATTAAACAGGTATCGTGTAATAGATACCTACCTAACTTGTACCATACAAGTCGGCGAGCCGCAGTTTTGATAGTCGAGATAACGATCAAGTAATTTTATTTCGTATTTCAGTTATGCAAACGTCGAATAATACCTCTGTACACCTAAACTGTTTATAGTTTATTTATTTATGTTTATAATACATACCATATCGTTATTATTTTAATATACTGGTAAACTCGATATATATAGGCTTGTCGGTAATTATATTTTAACTACTGAATTGCATGTAAAACTGTAGTACCATTTGTTTGAAGTGTTTTGTATACACTGTGTTATACAACTATATAAAGTAACATGTACATATTCATTTTATGCATTTTTAGATTTCTAGATTTGTTTCGACTTTCGAGACACATACATTTTTGTGTTTTGCCATCAGCATTGTCCTCTTACAAGAAATTACTATACGTATAAATTATAATAATACTTGCGAGTTGCGACTCCTGGTATATTATATGCTTTTATAGAAAATCAAAATGTAAAATACTTACACGGTTATACGTTGTACTCGGTCATCACGTGACAATATTGTCATAATATCATCAGGAAATAAATATCCTTTGAATATTTCTTTAACTGTAATATATTTATGCAAGCCAAATTTTCGTGCATAATATGAATACAAGATTAAAAGAAATTTAACTTGGAGTTATATTCCTAATAAATAAATATGCAGCCTAAATGTATTTAAAAATTACACACCTAAGAAATAGAAATAAAATATGATTATGTATCTCTCTTCTTGACAGCTCATCTACAATAATTTTAAAAAAACATAAAATTTAAGAACCTACAGAGGTTTGGGAGAGAAAATTATTAATGTGATATCGAACAATAACAAAAACTAAAACATGACAGATTTGATTAAACTTTTATCTAAAAAAAAAACAATTTTTAAAAATTTGAACTTTGAACTTTAGAAGTTTGCTGGTACTATATTATAAATTATTCGTGAAACAGATGAGCAAAAAATACATAGGTACATACAAATTTAATACTATTTATATAATAAATCAAATTATTATATTTGAACAGCAGTTCTTAAATTTTAATTTTTTGCACAATTTTTATTCTTTAAAAATAAATTGATGATAAAAAGATAGCATAAAATGTATTTTAATTATTTTTAAATAAGTTAGCAATTGATGAATTGTTTCTTCTTAAATCTTCTCGTTTCTTCTACAAAACAAAGAATATAATATACAGTGAATATAAATATTAAATTAAAACGATAAAAATTGTGTTCGCAGAAAATATGATAAGTATAGTAATAAAATACTAAAATTTTTCATGTTTTTTACAAAACCATTATTAAAAATTACTGAATTTGGGGTTCACCGGAAACAATATGTAATCCAAAGTGGCAATGCTGCAGCGTTACTGCTTTAAGAAATATTCTCACATAAAAAAAATCTATTGTCAACAAGTTCAAATCCAGATGTTTTTTTTTCCCGAAAACACTTATTCCCTGATTTGCCTAAACAAATTATATATAGTGTTACGCTATTATGTTTAGGTCGACATCATTCAAAGAGGACGAAGGTACGTGGAAGGGAAACGAAGATGGCAAAGTAATAAACAAACAACCGCAGCGTGTGATCGAAGGGCCGAACATTACGCCGCAGGGTGGATACATAGCGAAGTAAATTGCTATTTAATTGAGAATTAATTAACAGAACAAAATACTATAAAGTGGTACAAACGAAAGTATGCATTCGTGTAGGATTACAAACGACGCCCGAGAAACGGAAATGGATGAAAACTTGGGACAAGTGAACACGATGATTGGTAACTTGAGAAACATGGCGTTAGATATGGGTTCCGAGCTTGAAAATCAAAACCAGCAGATCGAAAAAATCAGCACAAAGGTATGAATGCATTTTTTCGCACTAATTTCGATTTCGACAACGATTTTGTAATATAGGGAGAGTAAAGTAAAAATCATAAATATATACATACCTAACAGCTAATAATTATATGCAACATAGCTGTATTATAATAAAATATAAATTTCAAATATTTTTGAATATTATTATAACAACGCAAATAAAATGTAAAATTCCATATTTAATTTTAGACAAAATCAAATGATCTGCGGATTTCAGCGGCCAACCAAAGGACCAGAAATCTTCTTAAATAAATTACTAAAACGTTAACCTTCTTACGTGCATGCTATTTGTGGTTGTCAAAAGCGAACATAATGTATGGATTTTTTTTTACATACTCAAATTTCATGAGTAAATATCGTGTCTTCCCTGCATGTCATGTTATTCTATACAGCATTAAATAATATTATAGAAATAGGTTTATAAAATAATAATAATTTATAGATGTATTACATGTGGTTTGCAGTAGGTACCTACCTATATATATTATAACAAAATATATACTATCCGCTTCTGACCAATGGGCAGTGACTCATGTAGATAGGTACATACAAAATATCTAATAATAATATCGGTATTCATAAAATTCTCATTCGCAACTTTCACCCACTTGTGACAAGTTTTCGTATTAGCAAGTGTCAAAATTAATTTTTTTGACGGACAGTTTTGGATTTTTTCGTATAAACCCTATGAAGGTTTCAAGTTTGTACCATTTGTATGTATAGCATTTGCTGTCCATCAACAAGTTGAAAAATACATCCCTTCATTTTTTACATGATGTATAATGTACGTCATGAAAAAAAATAAAAAATACAAATAACAATGTCGTTGAAATTCCAATTTAAACTTGCCACCATAAATTGAACTAACGTGATTATTATTTACTTTTACTTCGGTGACTTAGTATTTATATTTGACACTTGCATTTATGTACGAACGAGTGTATACAGTAAAATACATAACCTTAATATTATACGGATCCGTCCACTTCATAATTAAAAACAAAGTTCATTATTTTTGCTATATACAAACTCTGAACTCAATAAATACGAGTGTGTTGGAATCCTTCTTTTAAAATGTAATTAATCAGTCTCAACAAATATTAAAGCTAAAATACAATGATCAAATATATAAATAGATATATTTAAACACATTTATACTATATTTTGTCTCATTTTATATTATATTCTATTTGTAAAATATTCATTATATATTATACTTAATGCGAAACTGTTAAGCTCAAATAATTCAACACAGTATATATTCTTAACCAATTAAAAACTAATTGTATTTAAATGTGGTGGATATAGGTACCTATATCTGTATTTGCTGGCTGTAATAGGGTACTCGTTAAAAATACGCCAAAAATATTGATTATTCATTTATCAATTATATAATATACCTACTCAAATTAGGTCACTCGTGCGAGTAATTGAATAGATTACTAATTGAAACAGTTTTTTAGTTTTTATTAATAGCATTGTCGTAAATTTCTAAAATGTGTCAAACGCGTTAAGTTTAACTACATCACATCGTGGGTAAAACTATATACATTTAAAAGTCTTTCGTACAATTTACTATGTAACTAATGTATGCAGCTATCAATCCATGAATATTAGTAACCACTTATGCACTGCAGGGTTAATGCGATTTCAAAAATTACTCTGAATTCTAATATCGACGTTTTCTCTATTTATTTGAAAAATAATTATTGATTATAGAGACAACATTTATGATATGATTTTAATTAGGATAACTGACGTAGGTGTGTTATGAATTATTTAAAAAGAAAATTTCCAACTCCTTTTCTTTCTGATTAGTTCTATCGTTCTATGTATTAAACACGTAGGTACCTACGAAAATAACAAAAGGGTTACACTGGTGTTCGAACCTATCAGCCTGTCTACGCGTGGTTATTTCGAATAGATATAACCTTGGCTGTGGCAAATTTGTTTAGATAATAACTGGTGATCGTAATCCATTTAAAATCAAAAATTTTAGTCAAGCTCATATTTGTAGTCGTGTTAAGTAAAAAGGTCCTGCACGCCTAATAGATTTCAAAATTTAAAGATTTTTAAATGTTAAAATATATTAATGACTTTAAACGATATAATTAATGCAAATATTGCAAATTGTGATTGTATGATTTTCAAAACGAATACACGCATATTACTTCTATTTTGTTCAGAAATAAAATTATTTTTAACAGGTTTACAATAACCACATTTTCAAATTTTTAAAAATTTGTTTTTTCATTAATATCATTTACAAATGTATTGTTAGAATATAATTAGTTTATTTAAGATATCTATAAATGATAGAAGTCGCATATTGTTCTCAAAATTTAGTATTTATTTTGCATCGATCCGGTACGTTTGAAATCGGTATATTACCTACTTTTCGACCTCTACATACCTAGTTTAATAAATGTCTGAAATCCTATATTGCAACTATTGTATAGTTGTATGTTACTTGCATATAGATAAGTCTATACGTAACAAAGATATATTATTGAATATTGTTACATTAGATGATAAGTATTATATTTAATATAATATAGCTATAGCTGAGTATTTCGCTAAAACCATAGATGATTAAAATATATCTGAGCGTTTTTAAGCTCACTATAATTATAAATTATATATTGTATTAATGTTTTATATTATATCGGCATTTTTTTTTTTAATTCATAAAAGTATTCAAAGGCGACAGCAATCACTCAACCCTCTGTGATGTTTTGTATATCCTGTCCGTAAAAATATTGTTAAACGGAATAATCACACGAAAACCATTCCATATATTATGTACCAGATATTATACTATATTATTTTTTATTTTATGTAACCATTATTTTTCAGTTTTATCAATGTCAAAGCTTTTTTCTCATCAGTTGTAAGTGTCCTTCCAGACTGTTTATTTTCAATTATTATCTGTAAAATGAATAAATGTCAATTAGAAAGTGAATTGTGTTTTTTCTATACATAGGTACCTAGGCAATTATAATTTGTAATTATAAAATTTGTACTTTGTACCTATAGTTAGGTGCATCTATGTCCTATTAATATGGACTAATCATTTTTCTAACGTTTTCCAGAATTGTCTAGATATGAATCGAGAGACTAATTTCCTAAACCTAAAAGTGCTCAAATATAAAATTGATGATTTCATTTTTAATTATTTAATTTTTAAATTTTAGAAACTCCGGCAAATGCCTTACAATACTTGGTAGTAGAAGTGGCTGCAGTGTTAAAGCTTATAAAGGAATATATAGAGTTTCAGAAAAAATCTGAAATCGACGGATTTACATTAGGAACAAAAGGGTTTTTGATATTCGACCACTTTAACTGTCACTTTTAAGCCCCATTCAAAAATATACTATAACAGCCGTTTTAGTAGACCGATTATATCTAAGTCAAGGGTCACCAAATGGCGGCCCGTGGACGAACTTTATTCGGCCCACAGACAAGACGTATAATTTTTTATTTTTTTTTTTTTTTTGATGATGAATTAAAAAGGTTTTCATGAATCTCCATTTTATTTTCATATTTTGTCTTTACTTTATAGTGAATTTGAATAAACATAGGCATACATTAAATTTTCATGACCGCAGAAACATCCTGAATTCCTAATAATGGCCCTCTGAAAATCTTAATTGGTGTTCCCTGATATATGTAGTATAAATATTAACAAAATCAACTAGACACTGAGGTAAATTTAAAAAATATACGCATTCAAACATGGGCAGCTTTTTTGGGTGCACTGCGTCCACTGGTATTATTCACGAGGCAAAACCATAAAACAGAATGTGAGGTAAAAAAAAAAAAAATAATTGATTCAAGACTGTACTTTATATTGCAAAACAATTTCGTTTTATCGATGTCGTGTTTTCAATTTCTATTTCTATTTTTTGAATATTTAAATCATACCATGAGTATTAATCTAATATTTTGGCAGTGTAATGCATTGATTTATTTGAGACAAAGTTTTTCAGTAATTGAATTAAAATAAAGTTAGATTTTAACTGTTTGTAACATTGATATTCATCAAATATATAATTTAAATCGTGTTTGTATTAAAAATTTAATTTCGATTTGTACACATTTAAATAGATGGCTTTTGTGAGACTTGAAAATAACTGAATTATTGTGAATGTTTTACACATTTTCAGATATTTGGTTGTTTAACTCTAAAAATTAATTTTAAAATGTGGAATGATTAATAAATTATTATTTAAGTTTATGCACGGACAAAATACCATCACATGTTATTATAAACAGTGGTGAATTTCTGCACCCCTATAGTTGGTACCTATCTTGGCCAAGTGCCACTTATGCATACACATAAATACGAGTACTCATACAAGTGCGTATATTATGTACCTGTACGGCTGTATAGTACCGTTCCCCATATATTATATCCAATATATTTTATATAGAGGAATTGAGGATATATATTGTTTATGATATGAGTATAGGATTTACAGGGTGTTCAACAAGTTTGGAAACGGTCATTAAGCCAATTAGGACTGATAAACGATGATATGGCATAGGTAATTAATGAGGGGATCAAATATTTTACCTAATAAATATACAGCAGTGTTTGTTATTTGTTATATATATTTATGTGTGTAGGTATAAAAAAGCAGGTAAACGGGTAACGTTCTACTGTACATTAAAGTCTAGACATCTAAAAACAACAAATCTAGGCTAAGATGGGTTTTCGGCCTATAATTTTACTAAGTATATTTAATGATATTTTTATGATTAAAGTAATTTATTTTACTATAAGATATTAAGAGAACTGATGTCTGATAGTATGTTGCATTAAATTTGCCTAAAGAATTGCATTTAAAAATATCATTGTATGTATAAAATATAATTATATACTTTATACGTTTCAAGTACCCAAGAACAATATTTTTTTTTATATTTTAATTACAACAAAATATGAAATTAATTAAATCGTCTTGGTTTTAATATGTAATTTCCTCCAAATTTGAACTTAAAATATTTGTAAAAAAGAACTGTGTTTACATATTTTTGGTTACAATTTAATATTTATGAACTATTATCGGAATCCTTGTTTGAAATATTCAATCCTTAGCTATAAAAATTGAAAATTTTTTAATTTTAAGCTAAAAAATGATTTGAAAATTTGAATTTTCAATGCCATTATACAAAAAATCGTGCATATTGATCTTTAATATTTCTCAACTGCAGTTAAAACTACTTATGAGGCGAACCTTGTATTAAATTTTCAAACTTTTTTCCTCGACGGATACAATTTTATTGACATTTATAAAAAAAAATTTTGTTTGAATTGTATTCAAAATTTTAATGTAGGTATAGAAAATGATAAAATAAACATTTCAAGGTTATTAGTAGTATTTACGGCTATTCGTTTTTTAATAATAATAAAATAAGAAAACCGTTCCATGTGAAATAAAATGAATATCAAATGTTGTACAAATTTAATTTGACTTTCCAGGAGAAATTTTTTAATGGTAGATAAACTTATGAGGAATCTTGTAGACATTTTCAAATCTTAGGTATGAAAAGAAATATTTTTATGAATTTCTAATTCAAGATGATGATTATCAAATTTTCGTGATTTTTACGAATTTTGTCAAATTTCTAACTTCAGACCCTCATAAAAAAATTGTTATGGTTTTAAGCTAAACTTCTTTTTTAAAGAATACAAAATACTATTATAAATATTCAGTGAAAATGCATGTATTTGTGGTAATCTTTTTAGAGTTTCAATAAAAACCAAAATCGATTTTGTGTAAATGCTCAATTTTCTGTAAAAATTCCTGTTTTTCTTTAATTTTTTTGTTTTCCCGGCACTTTTGAAAGCAACTGTAAACTAAGAATTTAACCTCCCGAATGGAACACCTAAATTCGCTTTCCCGCCTGAAAAAATACTGAAAATCAAAGCATTACTTCGACCACCTACTTTTCGTTTATACATACACAAACAATACTCATCGCTGCACTAAGAATCTAGAGCGTTCTTAATTATTAACATTTTGTTGCTTGTAAGCAGCAGCTGCCTGCTGGAGGCGCCAAAAAATTCAAAAACTGTCGTCGCGCCTCGTGAACACGATTAAAGATATACCGTAAAATCGTGCTCTTGAATCGCGTTTAAACAGGTGCAACAACCCGAGATACCTTTCGCTCCACAATTTTTGTTTTTGTTTTCGCATCATGCCGCCAGCTACGAATATAATAATATGGAAATCTCACTATTTATTGTCATCGTTTGTCGAATATTGTTCATTTAGTATTGAGGAAAAAAAAACATAACTGAAAACCCGAAACCCTTAAACCGTTTAGTGATTAGTACCTCCGTGTGTATCTTCCCGGCCCGCCGCCGTGTCTGGGAACACTGCGAACACACAATAATCATAGCAAATATTATTAATATTACAAGTTCTAACGGACTCTAGTCAGCTTCGAACCACCTGCAGCACGACGCACTGAGGTCAGACAGTCGATGTCGTACTTTGTTTGTGGCTCACCTCACCACCCTCACACGAGTGAAGCAGTGACAGTCGTAGGTACTGAACTCAGCGAGTTGCAATAGGATATAAATACTTCGCAGTTTAATGTTGCCGTGTTCGATCGTTCCAGCTTGCCCAGTCGAGTCCATAGATATCAGCTGACGCCAGGCGCTAACCGGTCAACCGGATTCGTTTCTATTTCGGTATGCAGTTATAGTTCGGTTGCAATTGTGGCCTCAGTGGGTTGGTTCGACTTCCGTCACATCGCACAGTATTGTCGGGCTTACGATTAGTAATTACTAACGCCCGAGATGTATTAATATTTAAATAGACTTAAATAAAAGTACGAATAGGTACCTCATAGACAGGGGCTCCCGCAGAAAATCAGCTCAGTATGTGCAAAGTTAAATTTTTGTGATACATACATGGGTAACCACATATTTGCATTACTACACACTGATTTTTTGGTTCGTTTAAAAAATCCCATTGAGTGCAACGGCACCCACTGGCCCCTCTCTGCGGGCGCCCCTGCTCATAGATAATGTCTCGGATTTCTACAACCTTCGCCATGGAGCATTTATACTATTCTGATTAACCCTGATTGTTCGTGATCGTAGTGATTTATATTTATGTAACTTTTACAATTGTTTTAAGCGAATTACGATACGAGGAATACCAACGAGAACAACAATAACTCATGAGCTTTACCTTGTAATAGAATTTGATGTAGTGACAAGAGGTGACCGCAGGACATAGCATCAATAGTTATTCTGTGGCAGTACCCGTCTACTCTGACAACTGAAAGTATAGTGCCATAAATTTAATTTCAACTATTATTCACTCCTTCAGATGAATGTTTAACCATTTTTCCTTACTGTAGATTTTTATATAACGAGTCAGCACTCAGCAAATTGTGCCACGGGACACTGATAGTCCAGCCTGCGACCGACCCATGCCGCTTGTGACTGAAAACTAGTAAGTACTTATATCTTACTAGACAACAGATTGTATTAATAAGAGAAAACTATCTTAGCAGTTTGTCAAAGTGCCAATTTTATTAGTTACATAGGATGACCAGATGTATCAAATAAAAAAGATCATATTTCTATACACCTTTGATCAATGATAGACAAACCGTATGTACTACTGTTTACAAATGTATGTTCTAGAGGTATTTAAAAATTAACACCCAGTCCTTTAGCCCCTTTCCCTCGGCATTGTCCATGTTAAAATATATAAATATATTAAATATTCAACACTAAAAATATATAGTATTGAGAATCTCCCAAGTAATTTGAGTTCCATTCTTAAGCTGGACATTTAGAAATGCCGATGAAAAAATTAGTAAATAAAATCCAAATTTGGCAATTGATGCATTTCTTCATTGTGAAAATGTTTTTCCGAGTATTGAAAAACTCTTACCATTGTTTGCAACATTCCCAGTTATTTTTGCCATATTTGAACATTTTTTTCAATAATGAAGCGATTTGACAAAAAATGGTTATAAAAAAAAAACCCTGTTAAAAACAACTTCATAGATAGGCTTTAGCTTAATATTAATAAAAAAAGAAAACTTAGTAAGGTTGAAGTAATAAAACTATTTTCTTAAAAGGCACAGAAGATTGGACGAAATAATAAAATAATATTCTAAAGTAATATGAATATTAAGTTATCATATATATTTTTCATTACTAACATTAAACAGTGTACAATTCTATGTAGTGTGCTGTATTAAATATCAAGTATACGACAAATAATAATCATATTATAATATTGTACTATAATGACAGTGCCAATCTAACTTTCATTGGTACCTCTACTAAACATATATATTTAATCATTTTTGACTCTTTTAAAAGTTACAACTTTTGCTGCCCAAGAGACTTGTCCCATTCCCCCCCCCCCCCTTGGCACTATGTATAATGAAAAAAATGTTTTATGGTGCCTAATTTTTATTTATCTTCCCTCACCCATTAAAAAATTCTAGGTATAGGACTAACTTAGACAGTTGGAATATTAAATTAAGAAGTATAATATATGATATGTTTAAGTATATCTTAATTGTGCAATTAGATAATTATACCATAAATATAGGTTACTAAATATTAGTGCAGCTCAAACTGGCTACTTAATGGAATAAAGTATATGCAATACACAATAATACCTAATTGTATTGTTTAAATTAATTACTAATTTCATTTTAGTTGTTACTTATACTCTTATTTATTGATAATAATAAATTAGAATTGTTTACGACTAATTAAAATTCCTTATATTATTATATGATATCTTTTGATGGTTGATTATCATTGTTTAATTGAATATTGTTTATTATCAAATTTTTTCTTATTATTCTAGGAATTCGTTGGTCCAAACTGGGTGTAAAATTATCCCTCACTGGTGAGGTTAGGTGCTAAACATTATTGTAATTTTTTTTATACACTAAATTGTGTGAAAGAATTTCTAGCTAATTTTGCTTCTAATGGTTATTTAGTTACTAATTTATGCTCATAAGTGAAATCAGTTTAATAATATTAATTTGTGATAATCATTGATAATTCAAAAATTCCAATAAATTGTTGGTTGACATATAAAGAAAAACATTGTAATTAAATAATTAATATATTTATCTTATAATTTTAAACGAATTAAACTATCATAGTTCTTTTAGTTTTATAAAATTTGTATGAAAATACAGTTAAAGTTGGTTTTCAAGAATAGTTATGATAAATATTCAAACATATTTAAAGTAAGATGGACTATAAATTTTGAATTACTAGAATTTTATTCCTCAAAATATGGTATGCATAAATTTATTTTCAAATTATTTTTTGTACTTAGCCAATAACTATTAATTGATAATTATACTGTTGGAAGTATTTGACAATTGTTATTATATAAATATAATATTATTTAATGAATTCTTGGAATTAAAATATATATGAATACCTAACATCATATTTGAACGGTTTTTCATTATAATAATTGTATCAATAATATTATAATATTCAACTTATTATGAGTATAAAAATTAATCCTTGATCAGATTTTTAAAAAAAACCAGTCATAATAAATATTAATACAATGTCTATACATAAATCATAATTTTTTCTTCTCAATATGATACATTATATTTACATACATTGTAAATCATACTTTTTTTAATTTTTAAAATGTACCCATAATAACAAACATCTTAACAACCTAATCAGTGTTAGAACATTTAGTTATGGATTTCTATTTTTTTTTTTTTTAAATTTGTATATGTATGTTTAGTATTTCTATAACAATTTATTTTCTTTCCCTTTTATGCATGTAGGTTAAATATTGTATTTCAGTCAAAATTCAATTTTTTTTATATATTAATTCAACAAAGTTGAAGTATGAAAATTCATTAATTTGTCAAAACACTGTTAATTTGTGGATTTCTTTATTCCAGATATTATAATAATTAACAATAGTTGAAATGATGAATATTGATGTATCGATTAAATTGCCTCCACTATTGCTGCGAGCATTTTGTATCAATATTAACAAAGCCAAATGTATCAAATGTAATATATCATGTGCATCTAAAGAGGAAGATATTCTTTTCCATCTGTCTATTTGTAATGGGACTCTTATTGAAGAAAATATTCAAACAGCATTTAAATTCAATTGCCTGAAGTGTTATTTTTTAACTAATAGTATTGATCAATGGAAATGTCATTTGTTCAAATTTGATCATATTTCCAATAGTTTTGATTCAGATGAAATGAAATTTTCGTACAGTTGCAATTTGTGTAGTACTCATTTTTACGGTCTTAGTGAAAGTATACTAAAACATCATTGCAAACCTCAATTTATTCCATCATTATCACATTTAATGGCCTTTGTTTATGAAAAATGCAACATTATGGATAAACACGCCATGCTTCATTATTGTACTGACTGCTCTTATTTCACTTATGACTTAACAGAATTGCATATTAAAAAACATAGAGAAGTTGCCAACACTTCTGTTTGCAATTCATGCCTGATAACATTTTATAGTTCTAGTAATGAGGAATTTTTAAACCACAAAGTTTCATTTGAACATATGGTTCTGTGGTGTTCAAACGGTGCTCGAAGTGTACCAAAAATGTCAACTACAACGTTTCAGAAATTGCCTTACTACATAACAAAATATGTTGTTATTAGTTCATTGTTAAAAAAATTTTGTTGTATTGTCTGCAATACAATAGACATACTAACATATGAATGTATTTATGAACATTTTAATAAATGTATTTCTTCCAAAAAAATTTCGGAGACTAACAGCTGCATGCCGTTGCTAAAAGTAAATTGTAATTTGTGTGATTATTCATGTTCTGCAGTAGATAAAAACTTGTACAAATGTTGGGTGGATCATGTAATAAGTTTTGATCATTTGAGTAAAACAGTGGTTGGAAAAAAAGACAAACAGAAATTGATTTCATATTACTGCTATGTAAGTGAAACTGTATTTTATGGAACAGATTCTTTTATTAAAAACTTAATTCTGAAAACAAATAATGATATCGGACGTCTCTTATTTGTATCAGATTTAATGGCTAAGGTGTATAATTGTGTCACAAATACACATTTCAGCTGTAATATTTTATTTTGTTGTGGAATTTGTCAAAATCATACAGACGACCACTCGTTTAATTGTGTACATAAAAATAATGATTCAAGTCTATCACTTTATTGTTCCACTTGTTTAGTAATGTTCAATGTTGAATCTGACTTCAATGAACATCTTCTAAGTAGTGAGCATATTATTTTGAGATATTTTAAGTCTAATCAATTAGGCGAGCTTAAAATTCTTGATCGTTCGATGGAAACAATGAAGATGTATTTAACTAATTTAAATAAAAGTGACGATGACGATGATAATGATGACGATAGCGATGATTATAACGATGACAACCCTCGTGATACCATACGTCAGGACAATAATGAAATAATTACTTCTACAAAAAACATAACATCCTGTGATCCAAAAGAAAACATTACTAATTTAATAGAAAAACTATCTGCACAGCCAATAAAATCTGCTTTTAACAATTACCTAAGAATGAATTTTGATTTGTTAATCCAAAAGCCGCAAGCAAGTAATGATATTATTAAATCAAGGGTGTTTGTTTGTGACATTTGTAATTTAGTTCTCCGTAATCGTGATGATTGGATTAAACATGACACAGAGCATCATACCAAAAATATAAACCCTAAGGTTTTATTCTGTAATATCTGTTGCATTTACCTCGTGAGTACTTACGATTCTATTGACCATCATTTAAAGACAATGGAACATAAAGTAATGGAAGTATTTCAAGAATACCCGAATAAAAATGTCATCAAACCCTCTTTAAATAATACCCATGATTGTAATAAAAACTTGAATCCTACTAAAGATGACATGGGTTCTGATTTCAATGTTGAAATTAAAAAAATCGAAAATTCAGATGAATATACAAAGAATAAATCTATTTATATAGAAATTCAAAGTGAATATTTTATTATACTCTACACTTATTCCATTTTAAACTTATAACTTAAAATTTTATATTTTTGATTTTCTAGACGTGGCTAATAATTTAAAAAAAAATAATTATTATATATTGAACAAAATAATTCTAGAAATATATGGGGACTTCAAACAAGTCGAAAATGTAAACAATTCATTTCTGATTCTTTTCGAAAATAAGTAAGTTTACTATTTCATTTGTCTATTTTAGTAATCATTGTTGTTTGTTTTTGTATATAACAACCATTCAGGGACCAAATCAAATGTATACGTGAAGATGCAACAAAATTGAAAGACCAGTATGGGTTTACATTACATGTTATAGAAAAATATACAGGTATAAATTTAAAACAAACTATAAAAAAAAAAAATATTAATTTTTTAAATGTTTATTTTTTTAGAAAAAGTATTGTCATTGGAGACAATAGACTTATTTAAAGATTGGGGCTTGTTGTGTGCCAGAATTCTCCGCGATTTAGAAACAATGGATTTGACATTAACCAGCGCCAAAATTCAATCCCGTATTCAACAGTTGTGTGACTCTATATGTAGCCTTCAAATTGTAACAGATTTAAAACAAATTTACATTTTTGGCTCTCGAGTTTATGGACTAGCAACAAACGCAACTGATATAGATATATATTTGGAAATCGGTAAAGCAAAATAACTTACAATTACTATTTTCAGACTTAAAAGTATATATTTTCAATACAATTTTTTTGATTTTTAGCATTTATAAAATGCCAGCATAAAATTAAAATTAACGTTAATATGATAAAATCTCAGTAGTTTATAGACTTATATGTTGTAGTCAGTGGCGCAACTTAATAACAAGGGGCCCATGTAAAAATGTCCTGACTGAGGCCCTAACTTTCAAATAAAAATTAACAGCCATACTTTATTATAAATCTATAATAAATTGTTCTCATAAGTTATAGTTAATAATTATAAATTATATATATTTTTGTAAGAAGAAACATAAAAATTAGTTTTTCAATATTCAATAGACTTATTACGTTGGAAAAGTGATCTTGTCCTATCGAGTTTTGCAGGTAATTAATTTTGAGTAGGATCTCTGCCAAAGCAAGTGTTACGAGTGGGGTTAAATAAATAAGGCATGCACTTAATACATCAACTTTATTTAGTGCTAAGGTCATTTTTTCAAATAAATATGACACAATTTGTTATGCTTTATATTTTTGAATGAAATGTTTGCAAGCAACTCTTTTATGATTAGTAATTGACATGTTAAGTCTGAATATACCTCATCATAATACAACTGTATATAAAATCATAAGAAACTGTCTCTACCCGAAAACTTATTTGGATGGATGTAAAAAATATTTATTATCATTAACTTTTTTTAAGCCTTCAAATCTTGAATTATGTTGAATTAATACTATATCTATAATTGGTAAAGTACCTTCATTTTTAAATTTTCTTCTGTAATATTCAGTCAGTGAACTTATCAACTCGACCAACTTCATTGAAAATCTTATTCGTCCTTTTAGATAATTAGTTGGTACAATAGTATTAAATAAATACAAAGTTCAAACAATTTGTAATAAAATATAATACAACCAACATAACGTAGAACGGTGTGAATTCATGGTAAAAGTATAAATATAAATTAGTCTCTATATTTTGTAAATTTCATATTTTCTAATTTTTTAATCTGTAGTTACTCCAATCTTATAGCGCTTATGCTTTAATAATACATTTCATTTCGTGTAAATAATAAAAATGTATGTAGAGGCAAAAAGTGGCAAGTCCCTGTGATAAATATATATTGAATCTCAACAATTTGTACATTTTATACAATTTTTACTGCATAACAAATTAATTAAATATTAGAACTGTTGATATTTGATTAATTCAGTATTTAAAGTTGCATTCTTAGTTCTTTAAAATTTGTGATGGCCTGAAAATTGTGTATAGTGTGTTGTCGAGTAATATTAATGACGACAATGATTTTAATTTACAGATGGCACGTTTGACGGAGAAATAGCGAATGATGAAGACATTCAAGTGGAATTGGTAAAAACATTCGCTGAACGTTGTCTATCAAAACCCAAAGTCTTTCAAAATGTTGAATCAATCTGCCATTGCCGTGTACCTATTGTTACATTTTATCACGTACCATCAAAGCTCATCTGCGATGTATCGTTTAAAAGTGGTCTTAGCACGTATAACACTAAACTAATCAAGTATGTAACACCATTAAATATTTGGCCAGAAGTTTGGTTATAATTTTATTTTTCCAACTTTGTTGCAGATTTTATTTGTCAATGGACACTACTGTAAAATGGCTGGTCTGCGTCATCGTGAAAAATTGGGCTCTTCAAAATGGTTTAAAGGACAGACATTTATTCACCAGTTATGCCTTAATATGGCTAGTACTATTTTACTTGATGACAGAAAAAGTGGTTCCATCGTTGATCGAACTCAGGAAAAATGCAACTAAAGATGATCATAAAGTCATTGAAGGTACTTATCTCAACATATCCTCTTCTATTGAAATCATACTTCAATTTGTATATTTTTTGCTAACCAGGATGGGACTGTACTTTTGGAAAATGTTTGCGCAATATCAGTGAGGCTAAACGCCCTAAACTGCTAATGGGTTTTTTTCAATACTATGCAAATAAGAGAGCATTAAAGGACAATGTACTGTCTACTTGCACCGGTCAGTTAATAAAAAAGCAGGCATTTTATGAAAAGTTCAGCCAACTATCTGGACTAAGTAAAATACAGAGAACAAACTTTAAGAACTTTAAATCCAAGGTTGATTCAAATTTTGAAAAAAATTACGGACTGGTTCTGCAGGATCCATTTGAACTGTCCTTCAACTTAACAAGAAATTTACATAAAAAAGCTTTGACAGACTTTTGTGATCTGTGTCATCAAAGTTCAACCCTCTTAATAAATATGAAGGGTTACAATATGTTTTCTAATACCTAATATTTTATTTTATTTTACTATTTTTATGACTCAAATTAATAATAGTACATTTATACAAAATGTCTCAAATTTTTATAAATCTTCGAAATTGCATTGATAAATAAATATATAAAATTTATATGATAAGAGTTTTTTTAGTATGGAATTTTGAAAACAGTCATGTCAATAGATCATTTTATAGCAAAATAAAAGTATTTGTCCTTTGATATATTATGTTATCTGATTACAATAATTTCAATTTTTTCCACGAGCTCAGCTTTAGATGCTTATGATTAGAGCTAGGATTTTAATGACCTAAAAAATACACTAAAATGCACCAACAAAAATGCAAAAATGTCCTTAAGACTCTAAAAAATGAACTGAATAGTATATAAGTTAATAACTTAACTAATATTATTAATTATTATTTATTCATTTTTTAAATTACACAAAAAAAGGTAAAAATTTGTTTTAAGAAGTAAACTAAACAAAAATATTCAAATTTGAGTTTACTTATGAGTTTAATTAATTATACTACCTTTTCAATTCATACCCACTTTGCCGAATCTCGACTCACCGACAAATATACCAGTTTTAAAATATTCTTTATATTATTTTATTAATACAGTTTCAATTTTCCTGATTCGCCGACCGGTGACAGTAATTTTATCAAAAACGTGTATAACCGATAATATTATGGTATGTTGTTAATATAAGCTCAAAGGTACTATTTTTATAAGGATACTAATATACTATAGATAATAATTGAGATTACTTATACAACACATATTAAATAAACAAAAATTAGTTTAAATACACAAAATGAACAAAAATTTGTGAAAATGAGCTTATAAATACAAAATAAAAAATACACATTCTAAATTGTTATACCACAAAACAAATTTAGTTGTTGGTTAGAACTGTATAGCACTTAAAGAAAAAAAAATTGCGAAAGTCACCAAAATCCTAGCTCTACTTTTGATAAATTACACGTTTATTTGGATTTAAACATTCAAAGTAAAAAACCTTGTTCAATATTCATCTTTTTGTATATTATATTTCATTATCCTATTATTACTTAAGTGTATTTACACTGTGTAGCCAGTTCATAATGGGGTAAAACAAGTATTAACCTTTAAATTATTTATTTAAATAAATGACATGTTTTAGAATACAAATATATTATTAAGTACAATATAGTATTCAACTTAAAACAAACTGATTCATATAAATTAATTTAGTTATTACTTATTGAAAAAAGTAGAGAAAAGAATAATAATAATAATAGAAGTTGAAGCTTACCAAATCAAAATAAATATTACTAATAGTATAATTTATAATGATTAATCAATTAATGTTAATATGGGTAAAGGCAGTCGAAGTGCAAGGTATAACATTTATTTGACTCAAAACTTACTAGTGTGACGTTTTCATACTTTTCACTCCCCAACGTATTTCATAACATAATTTGATTATCAATCAAGTTTCATTATTCACCAGAACTTGCACACCAGATATGTTCGTTGTAGCTTTGCTCTCAACTGGCAACTGTAGTCTGTACCCCTTATAAGATTTTTAATATCACTTGCAAATATTTACGATTGCAAATATACTATGATTAAAGACTGGATTTATATGCATTTTAAACTGTTAAAATGCACGAAAGCATACACAAAAAAAAAACAAAATATGCATAATATGCACATTAAAATTTTATATTTAATTTTAATTTTACAGTGTTAAATATCTATTGATTTTATTAACGTTTTTATAAACAAAAAGGAAAATGTATTATATAACACAGATATGCAGTACAAAAATGTAATTTTTTAAATCGTAATTTAATTTTTAATCATTAAAATTTAAACATTACCAACCAAGTAAATAACATTTTAGTAAGTACGATAAATTAAGTTCTTTGAAATGTAAAATATTTTATGTATAAATGTGATTTTATCTTTTTTTTTGCTCAAGGCTTTTTTGGATTATTAATTGGTGTTTATTTGAACACTTTTTTGTTAAAATGTGCAGACTAATGACGAAGGTCGAAGATGTAGTAAACAATTTTGATATTTAATGAATCAAGTTATGATTTACGACACTCATAGACTGCATGTATTTATTAGAAATAGTAACATGCATTATATGCAAAATCCGGTCTTCAACTATAATGGTATAACTATAACTATGATTATTATCATTATTCATTACTAAATGTATTATTATTACTCTATGGACTACCCTAGAGCGTGTTTTGAACATAACAAGTTGGTATAAGCTCATGGATATGCTTATAAGACAGCTAAATCAAAAGTTAATTATATTTCTTGAGAGATCTGAATCCTATGGGCTATGAACTGAAACTAGAACCTTTGATCTGATGACTCTGTGTCCTTTAATTTTTGGAATGAAATGTTATTATTATCTCTGAATGTCAATTTTACCACCGACAAATATTTAGTTTTATTTTCCATACAACATATATTATTCTATAATCTATATAACAACAATATCTCATTTACGGTACTGACCCAAGATACAAACAAAATTTGGAGCACAACAATAATCAAAAACACAGACCATGTCATTTGAATTAAAAACTAAATATATTTATTAGAATGCTATTTGGAGCCATTGTCTGTAAACATGTACAAAAGCTCAATATAAAAAAAGTAAAATTAAACAATATTATCAGCCTTGTTAAAATGTAGAACTCACAAAAAAGTTAGAAGCATCTTGTTAGCGTTGAATAGACTACATAAAAAAATAAATAATTTGTCACAAAAAATTTAGATGGTTATTATTTAAGTAAAGTACATAATATAAGAGTGCTATTTGAAAGTTGCATTTTGGTTAAGCTGTTCCACATAGAATAAAACAAAAATATCTATAAGATTGAACTCGTGGATGAAGATTGGAATACAGCACAATTATTTGGTTACACTGATACTTTTGGTTACCACAGAGAGTTGTGATGAAATTTAAGATCTCGCTTCACAGAGTTTCCATCCTGGTCAGTTTTGAATACATTACTATTTTCAGGATGTGGATTCGTTTCTTTGAACTGGCTATCCACACTAAATTAATTAAAAACATTTAAAATTAAAATTAATGAAATCTAAAGATCATTATAAATTTGAATACTAACAACTCTGTATCGTGGTTGTACTTAAACTTCACAGACGCAGCATCACCATCACCTTGAACTATCTATAAATAATAATGGTGTTATATGACTTCTATAAATAATATAATATAGAAGTCATTGAATCAATACTTACCTCGCCCATTGTATCATGATGTTTATGAGCTCCATGCCGTCCAAACATTGGCTGCCGCTTATATGCTACTGCTCTATAACAGTAAAATAGTAATTTAAGATAATATTTTTTTTTTTTAATTCACCTTTTAAGTGAAAACTTACCTATGTCCACTATTGTCATGATTCTTATCATCAACTATAAATTGTTCACAAAATTTATTAATAATAGCATTTAGTAAAGTAAAAGTATATTCTGAATTTTTATGTTTATGCATATATTTTTGTCAAGCTGGCTAAGTTAGTTGTTTTTTTTCAACTGGCTAAAGTTAAGTTACTCAGTTAGAATATAAGTTAATTTGGTGAATTAGTGAATTATGTTACAGTAGAAGTTGGTTCTTTTTTATAGTTAAAAATATAAATTTAAAAACATGTTTGTTCAAAATATTTAAAATATTTCACAAATTAATTACTCGGTATCTAAAATAAATTATTGGTGGCGTTAAAAAAAATTATATTGTAGTGATAATTTAATCAAATGTTTCAAGTAATTAAGGTAATAACAAATAACCATAATTTCTTAGGAGTGAAAAAAATCAACAAACTAGTTACATATTGTTTTTATGAATTAGATTAGACATTTTACGCATTTAATTCAACTCATTAAGTTATAAAATTAATTAAAAATAATTTGAAAATAATAATTTTTTAAAAATTTAAAATGTAGGTACCTACATCAAAAAGTATATTTTATGGTTGAGAGAATATTTTGATACATATTTTAGTACGTAATTGTATTACATTTTTTTTTTAATATAGAAGTCCAGGCTATGTGTATAAGTAGGTATTATACAACTTACGTGCATCATCAAAAAATTCCTCATATATTACAAAATTGTTTCCTTGGTTAACCAATTTGGATAGTTGATAATGCTTCCACATAAACTGCAATAATTTTTTAGTTGGCTTGTCAATAGCCAAATGTTTGGCTTCTAAATTTATATCCTAAAAATAGGCACACATTTAAGTTAAGAAAAACTAAGTATTTGATTTTGTTCTTGAAATTATATTCTTTTGTGTTTGAAACACTCTGAGTTAATTTAAATTGCGATTATTAGACTGTTACCTGTAACATGCATTCGATCAAACGTTTTCCGTAACCTTTACGCTGTTTGGACTCATGTATGTAGAAATCTAACAAACAGTAGACCATTGCTTCTGACCGAGAGCCTTCTTTGTTATAGAGGTATAATTTTTTCCATCCCATCTTCAAAATCCCAACAACGCTAAAATGCCTATACAAAAAATACAAACAATGAACAAACCTCACTGAAATATAAATGTAAGTATTTTAATGTGAGTGATTTTTTAAGACAGATTAATAAAGTAAAATAAAAGGCCCATTCTATCAAAAAGTAGAATAAACTGAGCACAATTAAAAATCAACAAAATATATTATGTATTTACTCAGGTTTATCGTGTTCTGTCATCATGTAGAGAATGTGATCAGAATTGGCTAGCTTGTCACCGCTGGTGATGGGCATCTTCAATTCTTGAGCAATAGCCGAAGCTTTTCCCATTTCATCAATGATCAATTTCATTTTGCTTTTCAACCTATACATAAAAATCAACAATAAGTACAAACACAGCAATATCAATTCCCCTTCAGATGCAATCCAAATTTCCCCGGAATAATTTGTTATTCACTACACTCCTGCCCAGTGCCATAGACAGGCATTTACTATGGGAGGGGTTTGAAGTATATACTAAATACATTTAGGTATATATTTTCCGTGTCGTAAGGGTGAGGGGGGGGGGGGGTTTGCACCCCAAAATAGCCTTATGTCTACTGCCCTGCCCATCCCAACACACAAAATAAACTTTCACACAAGCCATACACTAACTTCACTCACCCCAAGTTAGCATAAAATTAAATTTCGAATACACTATCATCGCCCTTGCCCTCACACCCCTCGGACACAAAACCCATCATAGTGACTTAATAATAATAATAATTAGGCACTTACTCTTCATTTTGCTCGTGCCCAATGGGAGTCAGCGTATTGTCTATCTTCATCACCTCTTCGGTGGCCACATTCTTAATGCTAAACTGGAACTCCATGACTCAAAACGACGACTATTTTATTACTCAGCGGAAGGAGAGACGGCGTTACCGGAATACTAGAACGATTATTGTCGGTAACCAAGTACACCTAATATTAATAGTTATTAGTTTCGTTTACGTCTACAATGTCTAGAATGTAAACATGTGATACACTAATACATACCTATTGACAATGATATCGTTTGCGGAGGCGTGAATCGAATCAGGTAACAGTTAACACAAAAAGGGGAAATGACAAATAAGGAGAGCAACCGTCAACGGCGAACCTTGGAAATAAAGTGCCGCACTGCCACAGACCACAGTAGGCGGTCGGGCAGGCTGACGAAGTGGCTGATAAATAAAATCGACCGTGAACGATTCGGTTTAGTTTTAGGTAGGTACCAGTGTCTGTGTCAAGGCAGCAGCTGCTGCAACTGCAGCTGCATTGCAGGTCGGGTAGGAAAAGGACGTAAAAAATGAGTGATAAGGACTTTTGCCGCCAATTATTGTTGTTTTGTCTACGGGCACAGTGATAACGCTATAACGCGCAACCTGGTCGAAGGCCAGAGCGCCCACAGCCCCACACCCGTCATAATTATTCTATGATAACCATACTAATACAATGAAACCTCTAAATACCGGACACACTCGATCACTGAAAACCGTTAGGGTAGGTTCCACTGTACTTGGCACAGACCTTATGCGGTACTCGCGGTAGTGTGCCGCATTGTGTAATCAATATTATATTATTATGCATTCATAAGTCGTAGTCTACTGCTCTTCTAGTTGACTAGGTGCATCATTTTACACTACTTTTTAGAAAAGTAATTCTTGATCGGCTCTTTAATAAGCCTTTTTCGTATTCAAGTACATTGCATTGATTAATTTTATTAGGTCTAAAATAGTAAACAATAATAATAAAAAACCAAGATTCGTTTCTTTGGTGGCCAGTTATGCACTTAACCAGTATGTGCATCAATAACTTTATCAATATTTATATCTATTGTTATTTTTTAATGGAATGCAATCAACTGCAGTTAACTAGATGGGTACCTCGTGCCTATTACAAATCAACGATTTTGTCACGTGGGGTAGTATGGGACATGGGCATTGGGCAAGCACTATATTATTTAGTGTAGACAATGGTTTTTTTTAATGACTTCTACTACAACCTTCAAAATAACAGTAATCTGATCTGTATATGTTGGACATCTTAAAAACTAGCTTTGTATTTTGATAATCCTGATTAATAGTTAGGCTTAGGGCACAGACAATGTTGTATCTATGTACCTATATGAATATTATATGGATAAGGATCCAATAATTGCTCCAAGTAACAATGGTAGGTAAAATATATTTTCAACGTCGCGTAATTGACTCGTAAACTCAAGGTTCTCGAACTTGTCGGTTTGAATATTACCGACACTTTCTGAACGACACTAAAGAGTCGTATAAAACCGAAATGTTCATAAACATTTTTTAAAAAGTACTGCATTAGTACTCGGTAGTTTAAGTTGATGTTAACCGTTAATATTGTCATAGTATGATTATACTTACAAATATCAGCAATCGCCTTCTCTTCGTACAATCTAAAAATAAATATTAACAACACTAACTAGGTATATATTTTTTATCATATCCATATTTTAAATCGTCGAATTGACCAACTTCGACTATCGTACAGTGATGTGCAGTTATGTCCATCATCGACTACATCCAGGATCCAGTCCACGTGAAATGTTCAATTCTAGGTTTGTTACAAATATGAAATAGATTTATATTATAAAAAAACTTCGTGTAAATAATTTTCTTAAAATGTAAAATATAATGTCTGTTGAGTATTTTCATAAGCTTATAATTGTGAAAAATTGAATGATTCAGTTGCCTACAATAATAATTCATCTGCCAAATGTCTGTGTACAAAAATAGATGCATAATTATTAATTATTATAAAATACAATTAATAGAATTTAATTCGTTTGAAAAATATTCTATTCCAGTGATTTTCCTAAGTACCTATACTCCGTTCCATATAAGAGCGCACCAATTTTCGTCCGCCGCCCGGTGCGCTCTTATTTGGAACAGTGGTTTATGTACAATTTTACTTGTATATTTTACATTTGTAACACTAATACTGTCTACTCGATTAGATGATCGATTTATATGAGAACGAACTCAAGATAATATCATGCATGCGTTCCCTCACTCTTAAAAACGTACAACTACAAGGTATAAAGTACGGCAGACCGCAGACTTATGACCATCAGTTCTAATTTTGTGTAGTAACCTTAATAAAAGAGTGAATTAACTTATTATCTGCAAACAGCAAACGTAAGGTAATAACATTATTTGTGTTTTTGCTTGGATTTTTTTAAGTTATCAGTATATAAAATATTATAATTTAAAAATGTTATAACGTTTTAAAAATAAATTAAAATATCGTGAAAAAACTCAAGTGAAAATACAAATAATGTTCTTACCTTTTCATTCGATAATAGGTAGGAAAATTTACTCTATAGTATATTATTAAAGGTTACTAAACAAAACTGGATCTACGAAACTCAAATTTGCTAAGTTTGTAACTAGTAAGACAGATACAACATCATGTTACTCGTACTGGTAACCTCTGTGCTAGATGATGTAGATGTAGGTTATTCTTATAAAATAGAGCGTTATAACGCTGCGAACGTTTTACATTTTTTCTTGGCCAATTTTTAATTATTTTAATAGCCGTTAACAAATGTTTATGCTATAAAGTATAAATTGCTCGTATAAATATGCCGGTATAACGTATAAGTATAATAATATACCAATAACTCATATTGAACGCCAATGAGGAGGAATAAACAATAATTATCTATAAATATATCCTGCAGTTCAGAAAATCTCGTACATTTTTTTAATAGAATCCGAACGATAGAAATAGTATGTGCCAAAATACATTTGATATTTTTTTATTACTTATAATATACATTATAGTATTATACATATATACTATATTATGTATAAGTATGTTTTTTGTGACATGGTGTAATGTTTTTATAATTTAAGCACAACATTTTTTACACTTAAAATAATGTAAAAAGGATTTACGGTAGATAAGTACATAATAATATAATTATATAGTATATTAATAAGTTGCCTATGTATAATATCTTATAGTGGCTATTATAATAATTATAAACTAAGAAGATTAAGAAGTGTATAAGTCAACTGCAAATGATTATTATAAGCGTTAAATTATTGTTAACATGTAGGATGTATATTGTATAGGTATAATAATTAATAGGACATCAATTATTGCAATTACCAATTTGAATTAAAAAGATTTTTTATTCATATTTGCAGTTTTCCTAAAATAATATATATATTGGTATTTTATAAATACCTTAGTTTTCTAAACTGTAATACTAATTATTATACTATAAATTTAAATTACACTATCTTCTTCAACTTGGAAAATAAAATATAAAGTAGGTACCGGTAATATATTACCTATGTACTTTGTACAAAAGATTATGTGAACTTGTGAAAATGTTTAAACACCCAAGTATTCAATAAGGTACCTACTTGTTTTACTGGGTGGGTTACCGCCATTTACTAAATATATAATACAATTAATGTAAAATTATGTCAAAATAATTTACGACTACGAAAAAATGACTAGTAACCCACCCACAATTGCTTCAAACAATGTTTTTATACATGGCAGTGCCGTGGACCGTGGTGACGTAATTACACTGTGTCGTTCGCACTTAAGTCTGTGAACTATACCTACGCTTTGTCAAATTATAAAAATTATAGTAATGAAACTACTAGTTATTCATTACAAATAAGCTCTCAAAAATAACCATTTACTTCTAATATTAATTTTTAGACTTGTATTTATATATTATTTTTAAAACAATATGGATTACGTGAAAGTGATTAAAATTATTAAATATAAGCTGTTGATTATTTCTATATTGTGTATTTATTAGTTATTACCATAGAGTGCTGTGATGGAATTTGAGATCCCGTTTTACAGAATTCCCATACCTATCAGTTTGAAGTTCACCAACAACTTCAGGATGTGGGATCAATTCTTTGAACCGGCTATCAACGCTAGACATAAGTTAAAAAAATTCCAATTAAAATAAAACCAATTGACTACAAATTATGATTGGTATACTTACAAATCATTGTCGTGATTGTATTTAAACTTCGAAGTTTCAGTACCACTTTGTACAATCTACAAATAATAATAATAATAGTAACAATAACAATATAATAATTATGCATTATACCTAGCTGCACAAGAATATATTAATTTGAATATTTAACGGTTCATTCCCTAATATTTAATGGACCAATCATAGACCACTAAATTATGTTTGGTTAACCACTAACTCACTGTCAATTCATTTAACGTTTACTGATTTTTTTATGCAACCCTGAACCCGGCATTAGTATAATAACATTTTTATTAAGTCGTTAAATAACTCACTTCACCCATGGTATTTTGACGTTTGTGAGCGTCGTGCCGTCCAAATCTTGGTTTATACGCCGATGTACTATACAATTTTAAAACATATATTTTTTTAAAGAACAAACATTTTTGATTTCACACTTAAAATATTTTTCCAACAAATATAATATACTTCGGGGACGTATAAGTATAAGAACATCTAAGTCGGGCACATAATCAAAGAACAAGGTGGTAATGTAACAAACTGACGAAAATAAAAATTATGCACACCTATTAATTGTAAAAATAAGTTTAATTATAAATTAATATAGTTGTACAAATTATAATTATGATATCGGGAAATCAGGATAAAAGTCGGAAAACTCACTAACGGTTAGGTTAGTGCAACGGCAATTGTAATAATGGCCGCCGCATAACGAAAAATGCCAAAAATGCTACATTAAAAACAGTAAAAGGGGGATTATTGTCAATGTCGTTTGGTGGTGTTGGACGAACAAAACAAACAATTATTTTTTTCCTGCTACTGTAAATGGAAGTTATTATTTTTTCGTGGATCGGGTGAAACAACCCGTACTTTCAGAATTTTGAAAATTATATTTCAAATCGCATTGATTCGTGCAAATAAATCAAGACAATTTGATCGATTTCTCTACCCAAAACCATCACGATAATTATTGATTTATTATCGATTAGATTTGATTTATTATCGATTAAATTGCATTACTTGAAATTCGACTAAAAAATCATTATTAGGAACGCGTTATTATAATATGATGAGTAACTCACTCGCCGACATCCACGCGTCCCTCGGCCGTTGGCGGCGCGTCACGGTCGGTCTTCTGCACCTCGTCGTGGTAGTTGAACTCCATTATAATAATATGATAGGTACAATTATATCAATACAACCTTCAAGTACTCTTTGAATGTTTTTACTATTATTGTCTGTGATCAAATGACGGTGAAAACAAAAATTGAAGAGTATAATAGGCTGGTACCTAATAAAAACAAAACTGTTAAAATAATTATATTCAAGTCCGCGGGGGTATGTACGTATGCAACTAGTGTGCGCGTTCACTGCTGTTTAACCTTCGGCGTTGTTACTTGTTCTTATGAAATTTGTGTAGTCTACTTTCGTTCGAGGTATATTGCGTATATTAAAGAATGGTTTAGTCGGTTGTAAGTTGTTTTGAGGGGTGGTGGTAGACGGCAGTGGTGTGATGTTGGCGTAAACATGACCTTGAATGAGTCCTTACGTTTGTCCCATGCACTCACAGCGTTCCTGCGGGAAACTCACAAAGATCGACACGCAGTATGGTACACACGTCCTACCTATATTAACTGCTAGCAGGCTGGCTGTTATGAATACGGAAAAGAAAAATAAACCTGACGGTGACAGAACAAGAAGCAAATAATTATTGTATAAGATGGAGTGATTTCCAATAAGTACAATTTGGATTAGTTTATTTGGATTAGAGTACAATTTCAATAAGTAAATTCTCAGTTACCTACTATACTCTCCAGCGATAGTACTCACCGATTCTGGTCATCACCAGGTGACACCCTGATACCAAGACCAATTCTATTATGATTTATCGCAGGGAGTTGAGTGAGGTAGGTAATTTGGCAGAAGAACTTGTTATCGGTCTGTGACGTATAATGAGTAGTGTGTTCTCTCGCTGGACAGAGTATAGGTAGTCACCAGTCACACATATTGATTTTACAATGATATTCTTTCTTTGTGTCTGTCTGTTTACACGATTAATTTTAGTAGAACTAATGGTTAGGTCATTTTCAATTGCAGTATCTTTTCTGATGAGAAAGGGAATCTAGGTGGTGTATTTGAGAGGTCAAAAATTAAAACTATTATAGAATTACACTAAAACGTCGATAAAAAAATTTTGATTGAAAATATAATTTTATTTACTCTTTAGTCTTTCAAGTCTTTGCTACTTCATCATCAGTGTGTGTTGTATCATCCAACTATTTAAGTTTCCCGTATTCAGTATTGCTGCTTTATAACATGTGGTTGAGGTTTGGTATTAATAGTAATTATAATAGATATGTAACGTATTAAAATCAAAATTTCGCTAATTTTTGGAAAAATAAAACCTATTATCAATTATCATGTCTAAAATATTACCTTATGATACATTCGAACACTTGTTCTTCTAAAAAATAGTAAAGGTAAGTAACAATAGAAATGTTATCAAATTATGTCCTGATTTACTAAAAATAAAGCAGTTATCAATTTTATTTTATAAATAAATGTAGGAGATTCAATTGCCTTAATTTCAAAACAAATATGTTATATTTTGATTTACATATAACATTCTAGAAAGCGTTGTCGATTCGATCCGAAAGATGGACTCATAACTTGTTTGTTATCATCACAAATATATGTTTCCAATACTTTTTATTAAAAATACTGATTAAAAATAGATATTTTATCACATTAGATGTTGAAAAAATATATATATTAAGTACTGTAAGTGTAAAAATTACACCAGTTTTAGACACACCAAAGACTTTGTATGGTAACCCAAAATTCTTAAAAATAAGTTTTAAATGTTCATAAGTATCAATTTGTAGATAACTGCGATATTTAATACGAGTAAACGATAACAATAATATTCAAATTCAGTAATTTAAAATCTGGACTTCAAAATTAATAATTTCATTGCTATTATTCAGTTTTTTTATTTTTATATAAAGGTATACTTTGTCACATCCAACACTCAGTAGTTATACCTATAGTATCTATGAAATACTATGAATAGGTACATTATACATATATTTCTACAGAAACCCCACCATCACTTTATATTAGCTATGCTAACAAAATTATACAGCCCAGTTTCATTCTCAAAATTACAATACATTAATATGGTTTATATAGATACTAAACACCAATATACCAGCACTGACTAGGTACTTAATCTTAACATTTTAGAATTTGGTGGAGTAATAATACAATACTTTGATTGCAATAATATATAATTATCAAAAATGTTTATTAAAATAAATGTTTGAACTCTTTACTATGCATTTTACAAAATAAATGTCACAATACAAAAATAAAAATAAAATAAGCCCTGTTAAAAATGAATAAATATATAACACTTCATAAGTGGGACAACTTAATTTTGTAGACAATTGCAAAATTATACTATGTATTTTAAACAAAAAAAATATTTTAGTTTTAGTTCATACTAATACAATTTTAAATATGGAGATGGAGTTGATTGTGATTTGAGCGCATTAGGAGAAAGTATAATTGTATGGATATGTTGTCATTTTATGTTACCACAGAGAGTTGTGATGGAATTTCAGGTCTCGTTTAACTGAGTATCCATCGTTGTCAGTCTTAAACGCACCTTTACTATCAGGATTTGGATTAACTTCCTTGAACTGGTTATCAACACTACAAAATCAAAAGAAATTTGATTAAAAAACTTTATGATATAAAATAACTTGTCAAAATACTCACAAATCGGTGTCATGGTTGTACTTGAACTTAACAAATGCAGCATTGCCTTCACCTTGTACAATCTATAGAGTATAAACAATAACAATGTTTAAGTATTGTAAATTACTTAACTATAATTAAAATTAAAACTTACTTCAGCCATTGAATCGTGATGTTTATGAGCTCCATGGCGTCCAAACATTGGTTGACTCTTATATGCTTCAGCTCTAAGAAAATAATACATTGGATTTTTTAAAAATATTTTAAGTTCATTAATTTAACTATTTAAACTATATTTATACCGATTTCCAGTATTGTCGTGATTATTTTTTTCTTCTACTTTTGCTATAAATTAAAATGTAAATAGTAAAAAAGTTACAGTTTTAAAACATTTAAAATTCTTACATGAATTGTGAAAAAATTCTTCAAAGATAACGAAGTTGTTTCCCTGGTTTACCAATTTAGATAGTTGAAAATGCTTCCACATAAATTGCAGTAGTTTTTTAGTTGGCTGATCAATAGCTAAATGTTTGGCTTCTAAACCAGTATCCTAAAAATGTTGAATTGTAACTTTTAAATAGCCAGTATTAAGATCAAAATATTCAGAATCATGTTAGAATAATACTTATAAGAAAAGTTATTATACCTGTAGCATGCATTGAATCAAACGAATTCCATAACCTTTACGCTGTCTGCATTCATGGATGTAAAAATCCAACAAACAGTAAACCCTGGCTTCTGACCGGGCAGCTTGTTTATCATAGAGAAACAATTTTTTCCATCCCATCTTCAAAAACCCAACAACAGCAAAATGACTAGGTATATAGTTAACAAAATAGAAAATATACAGTAATTTTTGTTGGAAACAAATAAATTAACCAAAAAGAAACATTGGTAATATTATATGTATGACTTACCCTGGCTTGTCATGTTCGGTAATCATATAAATTACATGATCAGAATTGACAAGTCTGTTGGCGCTGGTGATTGGCACCTTCAACTCTTGAGATACAGCTGATGCTTTACCCATTTCGTCAATGATCAATCTCATTATGTTTTTCAAACTATAAAAACACAAATGCATACCTACAATATTATGGTAGACGGGGAAAAAACCCAAAAAAAATCTAACGGAAATAAAGCCCAGAAAAAATAAACACACCACGGAAATATAAGTCCACGCGAGTGCCATACTATTGTACCATTTTATATTTTTAAAATATTTGTTAATAATAATATACGAAAGATTCATAATACAATAATAATTATATAGTTTAAGGGTATAGGTAATTTTAGATTCTGAGAGGAGCGATGAATGCATTGATTTCACAATGATGTGTGTTTTATATTTACTTTTTATTTTTTTGTGTCTCATCACGGTTTCTTGCAGTAAAAGTGCTTCGATTTCCTTAAATAGCAGCTTTTCTGGTGCATTCGGGAGGTCATAATTTAAAATTCCCAATAGTTTTCAAAAGCAACAGGAAAAATAAACAATCAATTAAGGAAAAATAGGAATTAACCAATTTTGGTTTTTAGTGTAACTCTAACAAAAATGACCGTAGATACATGAAATTTTCACTGAATATTTGTGTTAGCATTTTCTATACACCATAACATTTTAAAAATATTGATTTGCGTTAAACTATTTATAGGCATATATGAAATGTTTGATTATTATTTGTGTTTTTTAAACTAAAGTCGATAAAAAAATTTTCGCTCTGTTAAAAAACTGGTAAATGTAATACAAGGTTAGGTTAAACAAAAAATTTGAGCTTAAATCCACAGTAATTTTTTATGAACATTTAGTCAGAAATTTGACAAAATTCGTTAAATCACGAAAATTAGCAAATTATATTTAGTTAGAAATCCATAAAAATTTTTCTTTTTATATCTAAGGACTAAGATTTAAAAATTTTATACAAGATTCTTTACCAAATTGTTTACCTATATTTCTAACGGAAAGTCAAATTAAATTTTTATGAGCGTTTGAAATTGAAATTTTTACAACATTGGATATTCATTCGATTTCTCTCGTAGCGATTTTCTTATTTTGCTGTAATTCTAATACTAATTACAGTAGACACTTTAAATTTACACCAAATGTTTATCAATTCATTTACTTGATAACATTTTCAAATTTCGACTCGTTTTAAGCTGTTGACGGACATTTTCAATTTTCATTTTATTTTTTATAAATGTCAATACAATTTTATTGATTGGGTCAAAAAGCATGCAAATTTAATACAAGACTCTTGATCAATTGTTACAATATCAGTTGAAAAATATTGAAAATACATAGGCAAGATTTTTTTTATAAGCATTTAAAGTTCAAATGTTGACAATATTTATCAAATTGAAAATGACTTGTAGTTAAAAATGTATAAAATTTGAAAATTTTATAGCTAAGAATTGAAAATTTAAAACGAAGTTCCACTTAAGTAGTTTTTTTCCTTTAAATAAAAAAAAATCTAAAAAATATACGAATGCAGTTATTTTTTACAGACATTTTAAGTTCAAATTTGGAAAAGATTGCATATTAACACTATAAGTATAACGATTATCATTTTATTGTAATTCGGTTCAAAATAGTCCGATCTTATATAAGTAATAAGTATATTTAATATTTTTCCAGAATCATTGATAATTTAAGAATAATATTAATTCAACTTATCGGCTAGCGGCTACCATATTATTAATAAGTAATAACAATATAAAATATCCTAGACTTACATACCATCTCCGCTCAGAATCGTTTTTCGTATACAATTCATTGAATTTGAATTTAATACCATCCATTACACCGACCTCCTAGATACCTAATGTACAGCAGAGCGACATCTACTTACTCGCTTTTTTTATTATTTTCTTTAATACTTTATATCATTTTGTATTAATCAAATAATAAATTTAAAAAAAATAAACATATCTAAACGATAATAGTAACATTTGAATAATCTGCTGTAGCTTGGTTACATTTTCGTACTTCAAATAGGAACATCTGTTAATGACTGTTGTAATAATATATTACAAGAACTCTACATGAGGCGGAAAAAATTAATCGAAAAAATTTGATTTTTTTTCTTAAAAATATATCCTCAATACAAGTTCCAAACAATTAATTTTTATTTTTTCTAAGCACTTCTAGTTTTATCCGAAGCCCTCTCCAATTTTTTTTATCATATTTAAGTTTAAAACATCAAGCCCTTCCTTAAAAAAATATGTCCATAGTTGTGCCCATCATGACGTAGGTAGGTACTCACCCATCGTTTTCCTCGTGTCCCTGGACCGTTAGTGTGTTGTTTATCTTCAAAACCTCATCGGTGACTACACCCCCGATGTTGAAATTGAACTCCATCGTCGTCTGGCGAGCGGTCTATAAGGTAAATAAAACCTTAATGCTGGAATACAATTTAAATAGACAGAATAATCGTTCGGGACTCGAAAAAGGGCACGAAATATTTCTCTTATTGGGTGTTGTTCGATATTTTGAAATCCTGCTGGCTTCGAGACGGGCAGAGAAGTGAAACTGACAACTGTGAAGTACCCGGGAAAAATGTGAAATACTGAATGATCATACAACGAATAAATATTGCTCAATGGCGGTTGCGCTGTTGCTGTGGCCGAGCGGGCAGGCTGTTGACGGGACCGACAAGAAAATATCAGGTAACCGCCACTCCGGATTGAGTACGCCCAAACCCACCAAGTACCAACGTCCTACGCGCGCAGGCCTCACTCCCGAATTATTGAGCTCCGATTATTTAGGCGTTTTCATGAGGAGAAACTGGAATATTGCGTAGAACAAGGAAACGTTTTTTCCATGAAAATGTCATCCCGTTTTCCGAGTAGGTACCTAATACGTTCTGCGATTCGTCTCGGGCGAGAGAGGCGGGACGGCTCCAGAGTCCAGGTGCAGACGCAGACGCGTAATGAGCGTGGGCAACAATAAAACGGCTTTCTAAGACCTATCGAAAATATTATTTATTAAAATATGAGATTATATCGAAGTATTAGTGCATTGGAAATTCTCATTTTTCCGACAGCTGCGGGCTACAATGGTAAAATCGCGTACCTACTCGTAATTCTGTAACACAGAAATGTTACCTGCTGGTTGATTGTTTTGCAAAATATGTAAAAGAATAAAGTACATTTAATCAGAACTTGTGCTCGCGTTAACAATTACAATTTACAACAGTTCCATTATTATGTCTATATAGCCACATATAGGTCGTAGTTCTAACATACACGTCACACGAGTACCCATAATTATTAAAACACTAGGTAAAAATAGGTACCAATGAAATTCTGAAATTTCAGTTTATTTATTTTGTTTAGACCTTGCGCGGAGTAGGTGCTGTAATCATAGTTTCTAATTTTTGTGACCTACGGTGGCTATGAGATACGAGACCAGCTACGGTTATTGCCTCGGGGAACCCTCAACGGATCTCGAGACTCGAAAAAATAATTCGAAAATTAGACGCTACGAAATGAAAACTTCTGACGCCGCGGGCTATTCACCGGGTGGGTCGGTGAGGTAGGTCGGAAACGCGTTCAAGGTCACCGCGCGTCGTCGTTTCCCTCCGCGCTCGGCTCTCGTCGTAAACAAGACTCGCTGACGTGAAGACAACAAAGTGCAAACCAAAAACAACAAACGTCGTCGGTTAAATTTGGAAAACATAGATACAACGACAAATCAGACGCTCGTTGATCATTGCCGTATCACACACTCACACGGCCGCTATAACGTCGACATTACGACATAAAATCCAACCGTCGTAGTAATAATATTTGAATTTTTCGGAAAAGACAACGAGAAACATCGCAACATGAATTTCGACGGGAAAAATGACGAGTGAGTTGTTTGAAATGTCCCATTTATATGATTCGTTACGTGATGGTTGTTTTTCGTACGACCGTTGCAGTCAGTCATCTGTCCGTGTGGTTAGCCGGCGGCCATTTTTTGTCGAAGTTTTATTGGTTTTATTAATATTGTTAAGTTTAGTACAACTATCCATTTACACCATACAGTAGCTTATGACGTCAACTTATCCAGTAGGCTTGTGAGAAATTTCAAAAAATGAGTGCAATACTTTTTAAACCTAATAGATTTCAAAAATTATTTGGACATTTCACACTGTGGAATCCTAATTTTGTTCTAGGTATTAAAATATATGTACATATTTTTTTTTTGATATCGTCACCACTAGACTTGAACCCAATATTTATGCAATTAAATCCCAATAATATATTATTATATCCATTTTTTTAGATCTCCATTGAGTATTACTGGTTGATTTCCTATTTTTTTCTTTTTTTATATGATTCCTTTGACATTTGAGGATTGCTTCAACTGAATAAATAGTTTAGATGGTTTTTTTTTAAATTTTTTGTTTTAAACAAAATTTTGTATAAGTTGTAATATTTTTTAATTTTAATTAATAATTTTTACAGATCAGCACCAAACAAAGATGAGGCAAAGCATGGACGGCATGATGCTCATAAACATCATGACACAATGGGTGAAGTGAGTTTAGCTTAATAATTTATAAATTTGAAATATTTATGAAAATTAATTGTATGATTTTTAGATTTTACTAGGCCAAGGAATACCTAGTAATAAGAAGGACAATCTTGGAGTTGATTTGTTAGTAACTATTAAATTTGTATACCTACTTTTTTTGTTTACTGTGTATGTACATCTAGCAATGGTTGGGGTTTTAATGTACACTCATTGCAGTGCTAATATTGTTTTTTTTAATAAGCTACATTTTGTATAAGTTGTTATAGATATTCATAATTTTTACAGATCAGCACAAGACAAAGATGAGGCAAAGCATGGACGTCATGATGCTCATAAACAACACGACACAATGGGTGAAGTGAGTTTAGTTTAATAATTTATAAATTAAAAATATTTATAAAAATAAATTGTATTATTTCTATTAGATTTTACTAGGCCAAGGAATGCCTGATAATGTGAAGAACAATCATGGAGTTGAATTGTTAGTAACCATTAAGTTTGTATACCTACATTTTTTGTTCACTGTTCACCATATTGTTATAAAATGTGCATGCGTGAGGACTCGTTACTAACTACTTATAATTTACTAGTTAAAGGTTAAAACTTTAATTTAATTATTAATGTTTTATATGGTTGTCACTCACCGAGATGTCAGTAAGCATAGAGTATTGTCGTAGCTATTAATTGTGGCAATTGTGTCTAGTATTCCTTATAATAAAGCTAATAAATTGAGAGAAATTTGGCTAACTTATACTTTGTTCAAATTGAGATCAATACCAGATGGTCAAGTTCTGCTCATGGGAGTGGCTTAGTCATGCGACAGAACTCTAAGCACCGTTGTAGTGGACACGGAATCTGATCATTGCAAATGAAAACAGGTCGCCACACAGAACTAATCTCATTTTGAACATATAGTATAGATACTTTAACAACATATGCCATTCAAAAATGTTATTGGCTGATAACAGTTTTGTTTTTAAGTATATTTTTCTTAATTTCGATAAGAATATCAGTTTTACCATTATAGCCTCACATAGCTTCAGCGGTTCTTTAAATATTACCTGGGATTTATAATAATATCAAAATAAAAATAGCACTCAAGCAAAAAATGAATGTAGTACTTTTTGGCCGTATGTACAGACCCTTTTTTAAATAGCCGGATGCACGTGGGGTAAATATCATGTATTATTTATATTCATCACTATTTTCAATTATTTTTTTTGGGATGTTTATGTTCAGTACTATTTTTTTGACTGTCCTTCTAACCAAACATACTTCAGAGCTACAAAATAGGTACAAATAGCTGTTTAAAAAAATTCAAAATATTTGAAAAACAAGGTGTAACCTAGTTCAATTTAGAATTGAAACTTTCAAGCCTATTAATAGCTGTATTTAAGGTTATCACTTTGAGATGTTAAACCTATTCTCTGTGGATATCATGTCAATTGTTCACAAATTACATTTCAATTGTATGTGGACTTGACTTAAAAAAATTGTATGCATCTCGTAATATCATTTTTCAGTTTTGCAGTAGCATAACTGCTCAATACACTGTTTACTATTATCTTGTTTATTTGGCATATGCCTTATTTGTCTCAGGTAATTTCCCTATTGAATGTGCTCTCAGCGTTTGGAATAGGCAAATGACCATATGAGATTGTGTGAAGTGGAAATAATGGAGGTCAACTGAGCACCATATCAGTCTAGCCTATTAAATACAAATTATGATTATTTTATTTTCATTTTTATAATAATAAACTGGTATGAAACCCTTTTGAATATTTTTACAAATTACATAATTAATAAGTACAAGCAGAACACCCATAACAGATAATTCAATTTAATCTTGAGATTATGATACATATAAACAATTTGGAATAATTTATTGATGTAAATATTGCCATGCATTTATTAACCGTCACAGTTGCTTCAATTCAGTATACCTAATTAATTATTAATATAGGTATATAATATGAATCCTGTATTTTTTAACAAGTTCAATGCATGTGCATTTGATAACAATATGATCGCGTGAAATGTATACATCATCAGCCTGACCATGGTCATACAACGTTTTTTTTTTTTTAATTTAGGGTTGATGACAAAATGAAAGAAGTAAATCCACATGATGAAAAATCGTGCATATATCAATTTGATGAGTATGGCAACTGCGTGGAACAAGATCTTAATATCATCACAGCTCCACTTAATATTTAACAACCTACATATATTAAAATGTTTATTATCCACATTGCTACTGCACTGCTGCAAAATATTTAATTGCACAATTTCATACTTAAGCTATATTTTTTTTTTTTGGTATACCTACTGGAATAGGCGTAATAATCGTACATTTTAATTTTATTGAATACATACTTTTGGCATTAAAAATGTGTTATAGTTCTTTATTGTTATATGCTAACATTACCTAAACAGTTTAAAGTGGCCTAACTACAAATTAAACATGTAAATCAAAAATAGAAGACTAAAACCAGTGCTTGATCTAAACTTAGATTAACATTTTTTTAATTGTATATTCTTGCTTTCATAATATATCCATGGTAAATTTGCTGTAAGAACAATAATCCTTTATAGAAATCAACAATAATATTACAATTTTAAATAGGTATCTGTATTTTATTTATACATTTTACTCCAAATGGTAACTGACGAAAACAAACTGTATGATAAGTAAATTTAGGACTTCATCAAATTATTTAAAATATACCTAAATTAGAGAACCCTGTCCACAATTTGTTTTCTCTCGCACACAACAGGCAAATTTGTATTCAACATTACCAATCTTGTACTGTCAGCTTAAATATAAGAGCGAACTATAACATTTTGATGTTTCAACTTAGTTATCTTTCCTTTTTGAAAACCACTACGTTTTTCATTTCATTTAGGTAACGAAGCAGGAAACTATAAAGTTCTATAAAGATTAAATTTCAGATAAGTAGTTCGTTAGTTAGAATTAGATAGATATAATGTTGATGACTTGCACTATTCCTTTGATTCTAAAAATGCTATCTTCGCTAAAAATTTGTTTTGTGCTCCCTTGATTCAGATTATATTAATTTTATTTTGCATTTTTAACCATAAATGCTTTTTATGTTTTAACATCATTTTTTTTCATATTGGAAATTTATGTGATTTTTATACACTGTCAGACTTTTTTTCAAATTTTAGATTTGTGAGTTTTTATTTTATTAATATATTTTATTTTGATTATACTTTTAAATTTATTTTCAATCATATCATACGTTTTTTTTCTGTAAATTAAACTTAAAATTTAAATGTGTATTATTTGTCTATCAATTTTACGATTTATATTTTTAATCGAATTTTTTTCACTTATTAAAGTAGATTAGATATTTTGGAGTTTCTATAAGAGTTTTGCTTATTTTTAGCACATAAACATCCTATCTCTAGTTATAAGCATTAAAGTTTAGATGAACGGAGTAGTGGTACAGGGGTTACCCCCAAAATGTAGATTACCTACTCCGTTAATCAAAATTTTAAATATCTACATATTACAAGCAAACTTCTTCTACACCACTTTTATTTTAATACATTGAAATACTCTGAATAGTATTATGCTTACCTGCTAATTAAAAAATGTATGGTGTCATTTATAAAAGTAAAAAACTTAAAAATTTTAAGTATAGAAAATAGTGAACAATATATTTTTTTTCAGAAATGTTGTTTTAAAAATACATAAAATAATATAAAAAGAATATTTTCAAAATAATGGGTCATGATTTCTTAAGTGTAGACCATGGGCTTATTATTATATGGACTGTGCGGCTTCCATACCATACTATAGGTTCCCAAATGCCAACATTGTTAGAAAGAGATAGTCTATGCCCATTACCGATGTAATAGAATGGGACGTAACTTCTCAAGGTGTATACTATATTTTTCTAAATATGTTGTTGAACTTTTCTTTTTCTCTATTTAATTGTGGATATAAATGATACCAATGTAGTGTGCATTATCAGTCCATTCCTTTATAGGTCTATGGTGTAAACTAGGCATCCCCAACCTGTGCCAGTATAAATATTAATGTTGAATGTGGCCCGCATGTTGAAGACGGTTGGACATGCCTGTTGTAGACCCTTTAAAAACATATTGTACAATTGAATAATATTGAATAATAATTGGTTACCTACCTCCTGTAAGCTTATGCAGCTTGTGTTGGAGATAGGGAGTTATGATAACTGCTAAATATAACAATGGCTACTAATTACTTGTAATAGTAGATCCGGGGGGCAGGGAAGCATCCCTCTAAGCACCGCAGTTGCCAGTTACCTCGTTTTCTACTGTAGTACAATAGTGGATATCTGATGTATTGTTGTATATTGTTTAGTACTTTCTCCCTTCCTCACAAACAAAAATTAAGGACTAGTTATACTGAGGTTTCTTAAAGTTAAGCTCATTAGTATCTAATGAGAAAATTCACAATATAATTACAATTATTGTCATGTAGTTACATTTCAAAATGTCAAGTTCATAAAGTTTTTTATTTAAATATTATTACTTTTTTTTATTCTGTCATACTTAATTAAGTATTTAAATTATAAATACTTTTTATAGTCTACACTTTGTGAAGTTAATGTTGATTGTGTAATCATGTTTGTCTGTTCTTGTATTCATTGTCAATTATATTTAATCATATAGGTATTCAAAAGGCTTTAGCACATTAAAATTATTATAAATAAATAATAATTACAGAGTATGTGAATGTATCTAGATTCCAGACAGTAATTTTCTACTTCGGAATTTTCATTAATATACAGCACTGGGTTGAGCTATGTATGTATTTTTTCAGTTTTCGCCTAATATACATTGTGCATATATTTTAAAATGTAACAGGAAGCGACAAAAAATTATAAACTATAAGTTCCAATACTTTTTACTGCCAAAAGGTTATGATAAATACTTAAAGTTGTGGTATATAAAAAAATAATACTATATTTAAAAAAATTAGTTATAAAATAAAAAAATTAGCAAAGCATGTTGACTTCAATATTTTAAATAATATTTTCTAGTAAAAACAGGTATTTGTTTGGTATGTGATTTACTGGACCACATGACCGTATTAGATTTTCATTTATTATTTTTGGTCAAATTAAAAATCATAAAACTATGTTATTTTATTGTTATTATTATTAATACAAATATAAAGTAATAGAGGATTAAATTTAATCATGTCAAAATCAGTAAAAATAATTAGTGCAAACAATATTTTGTTTTTAAGGTGCATATGCTTTTTTCTATTCTCTCTTTGGAATAATAATATTAAAATATGGTTAAGTTGCTAAGATATTATGTAGAGCTGTGATGATATTTAAGATCTCTTTCCACACAATTTCCATACATATCAATTTGATATGTACCCAAGCTTTCAGAATGTGGATTCACTTCTTTCACATGATTATCAACCCTAAATTAAAAAAGAAGAAATTAAAAAAAAATCTTGGCAAACACATAGAAATGTAATAGTTACTAACAAATCAACATGCTTGTTCTTCACATTATCAGGAAGCCCTTGGCCTTGGGCTTGTACAATCTAATGGAAATAATACAATGTATTTTCATAAACATTTAAAGTTTGTAAATTATTAAACTAAACTGACTTCTCCCATTGTGTCATGATGTTTGTGAGCGTCATGCCGTCCGTGCTTTGCCTCATCTTTGTTTGGTGATGCTCTGTAAAAATTATAAATAACAATCAAAAAATAGTATATAATATATTTAAAAAATAAATTAAAAGTATTTGATTTCTGAGAGTCAAAACTAGATATAAGCCTTGCTCTATAGGGGTTGAAAAAATATCTTAATTTTTTCAGTGTTTTTACTAATATATTGATAACTTTTATTGAAAACAGTCCAGTACTTTCCGAGCTTACAGAGAACAAAACAACAGAAAATCAGAAAATCAGACAAACTGAATGTCTATATGTTATATAGAATATGTATAGAACATGATGGTTTGAATTAAATATGTTTAAACACCAATCAGCTATGTAGGTCAAACTTTAATGTACTCAATTTATTTTGTTCAAAAAATACCATAAAAATATCTATGCTACTGTATTAGGCATGTTGGAAAATTGCAGTTGGCTCATGAATTCATATTTTTGTTTTCGCCATTACCGTGAAAAGTCGTTGGTAATAAGTACCTACTCCATGTTGAGTTCCAATTAAATAAAAGTAGGTCAATACATCTGCAAAAAAGTTTTCGTAATAGTCACCGGACTTTCAGGATTTATCGAAAACAATCCAAACAGGAAAATGGCCGCAGATGGTCGATTAGGTAGGTCTGGTGGGCGTCCGATAATAACATAATAATAATATAAATATAGGACTTGATGAAAGTATTTAACTCACTCGCTCTTCTGCCCAGCAAAGTCCATGATGTGATACTGGTTATGGATTTTTGCAGTGAATATTATATAGGCTTGAAGAAGTAATTACTTCAATTTTAAACAGTGGGAAAAGCGAACTGCAAAATATGACTACTGATCACTGAAGTACTGACTGTTGAGTACTGACCATGATAGAAATAACCATTACTTCTATCTTGTCATGGAAAATATAATCAGGACGTCGATCATGCAGATCCATGAATTAAGATAACCTATCTTAATTCATGTGCAGATCCAATGCGCATGACGCTGACGTCACGTACGCAAAAAATCTATAGAAGTTCCCGATTATAATGTTGCACAGCCCAGCCGTAGAGTGATATTATTCTATGAGCCTACCTCACTTGCCACCGCGATTCAAGAGCATACCTACTACTTTTAATCGTGCTTAAACACGTCATGTGCGATGTGCGGCGCGCGAAACATGCCATAAAACCATGTTCGATGTGATCACACACGGTGATTTCTTTTATGGTCAGTGGCGGTTTTTGGATTTTTTTCTGGGGGGGGGGGGTCCTTTAACATTATCTTATAATACATAATGACAAAAAAGTATAACCCATTAATAATAACTAAATATAATTTAATTCTTACATAAACGAAAAACTATAACATAGCATTTTAGTTACAATACAAAATCAACTTTTCGTTTTTTTTTTATCAATTTGTCCAAAACTTCGTCAGTTGTTAATTTCAAATCTTTATGAATACACATCATAGCTAGACCATTTAATCTTTTCAGAAATGTTAATTAAATTATGTTTAATATTTTAAAATATGAATTATGATTTCCTTAATTACTTACTTATCCAATGGTGTTCCTCAAGTAGGTTTTGATTCTCTTAATATTTGAAAAAGTACGTTCATTCGATGAAGTTGAAACTGGTAATGTGGCTAGTATTTGAAGCAGTTTGTATATATTAGGATAAATATCATTATTACAAAGTGATAAAGCTTGAAGTGCATTAGTTGGCTCTTCGCTCAAATTTTTTAAACACCTTTGCCACAATTTGTATTTAGCCTATAAAATTGCAGGTTTTCCATTTTCCAGATCATCTTGGTAATTATTGACTAATGTCATAAAATCATTATCTAATTCTTCTTTCGAAAATAATGAATGAAAAGAGTTTAATGTAGTTTCGTGGTCAATAAATCTTTCTTTTAGTTCATTAGCGAATGATTCAAGATATGGTATAAATACAGATACACGATAATATTCCTCTGCTGATGTTGTATTTATATTAACTCTTAGTGTCTGTCTACTTGATGTTCTTGGAATCTTAATTTCAACTTGAAAGTTATCGGCAATCTTAGAGGCTTCTTTAAAAATTTTTTCAAATTTGTTTTCTGCATCATTTCTATACGCTTGTATTTCTTTATATGTCTCATGAGCTAACTTTACAGCTAATCTTAAATCTATATTAATTTTTTGAAGCTGTTTTGATAACGGTAATCCAAATCCAAATCTTTTTGTTAAAACTATCAAAGAAACAATAAATTCTCCATTCAAAATTTAATTTCGTAGACACTGTGCTTTTCCACTTGTATCGTACGTCTTCCCACGTTGAAATATCATCTAAAGACTCTACAACAAAATCGTAGAGTTCTAAAAAATCATTAACTGAGTGATAACTTTCGATCCATCGAGTTTCACAACAACGCTTTAGTGTTTTTTTCGAGGGATTGTCTGGAGAATTTTCAATTTTTTGTGTGAGAACTGATTTTCTTTTTGGATACACAAAAAAATCCCGCGTTTTACTTATTACCCCAAGACAATTTCTTATAGGTTGGAGAGAACATGATTTAGATACGACAAGATTTAATAAGTGGGCAGAACAGTGTACATATATGGCAGAAGGATACAATTTTTTTATGTGCGCTTGTACACCTTTATATCTTCCCGACATTGCTGCTGCGCCATCATATCCTTGGCCACGAAGATATTTTAGCTCTACACCAAACGTACTAAGATTTTCTAAAATTAAATTTGCTTGTCCTTTTCCCGTAGTATCATTTGTTGGAATAAATTGTAGAAAATCTTCATGGAGTTCTAATTTGTCCAAGTCAACATATCTGACGCATAAAGAAACTTGTTCTACTCCGGAAATATCAGATGTCTCGTCAGCAAGTACTGCGAAACATTTTGCCTTATTTACCGATGCTACAATTTTACTGAGTAAAACTGAGTTGCAAGAATCTATGATAGCGTTTTGGCTTGTGTTACTTAGGTATTTTATTGTTTTTTCACTGTCTAGAACTGTCCTTAATACATCGTCTCCCTGTGCTCGATAACGAATAATTTCACGAAAATTGCCTTGATTATTTTTTAGAGTATCATCAACATGTATACGTCCCCAGTCACGGTGTCCTCTTAAAGGCATATTTTGACGCCCACACAACATTATGGCTTCAATTATGGGTTTAATATTTTGTCGATTTTCTAATACTTGTTTCATTCTTTCGGTTTGTATCATGTTGATAATAGATGTTTCAGGGTTTTTTAATACGTTAGAAAAATTGCTCGCATCAGATAAACATTGTTTGTGATATTCAAGGGAAGAATGCTTATTAAAATTTTCAACTGCATGTTTCCAATTATCAAATTTTTTTAATACTAAGCTGCCTAATAATTGAGAATTTTTTTCACCTTCGTTAATATGCACCATTTTCTATAGCCGAGTATGCCAACCAAGAAAATCGCATCAACCAAGAATACTGAAATTTAAGATTTTTTTCCTTTTTTTCCTTTCCACAAATATAAGTTTTTGTTGGAAAGTTAAATTGAATGTCGGGTTTCCAGAGGTTATTTAAAACATTTAGTATATCATTTTGATCAAGTTTTTTATTTTTGTAGAAAGAAATATCAAATGAAGACGTAGAGATCAGTGCAGGAAAATCCAATTGTGATTTTTTAGGATTATTAGAAGCATTTGATGATGGAGAAGCAGATCTTTTATTTGTTGATGGTTTCTCTTTCTCGTTAATGTTTGACGAATTTGCCAAATTAAGAGCTTTAAAATTACCAGATGTTGATGTGGTTTTGAAAAAATGTGTTAACGATTTTTGCTTTTTATGTGACATACTTCAATCGAGTTTAAACTCTAGTCTATAACCATAAATATAGGTAATCTATAAGTAATCTTATATAAATATTGATCTAACAAAATATTCTATAGGTATACCTACAATTATTAATAACAACCATTACACGGTGACTAATTATTTGTGTATTATTCAATATACCAATTAGTGGCGTAGCGTGAGTTTCAATATAATGTATACGTTAAAAATGGTAAGTCAAATGTTTTTTTTTTTTTTTTTTTAATTGATTGAAACGAGAAAAAACCAAATTTCTGTCTTTATAATATATAATATTGGCTAAATATCAGATCAAATACTAATTGAGTACACATTCATTTTAAATTACCTGATGATGCATAACTGACCAATTTTTTTTTATGCATTTCGCATGGTGTTTCTATTCCTGTGACTTTATTAAGACCATCAGTTTCACTGGTTATGACAATAAAAAGGGAGAGTAGTATACTTCTTATATCATTAAGACTTTGACACTTTATCATTTGACCCATGGTTCTCAAAATAACTTCTTTGACGCGTCTTGAAACGGTTTTTAAAGGAACCCATCTTGCTGCCATTTTCATGAAATGTGCAACATCAACTCGAACGAAACACCTATTTCAATTTACATATATAACCTTTACAAATTATTGCACAATAAACATATACAATAAGAGCTATAAATAACATGATTACTTGAATAAGAAGACACCCATTAGTGGTACTTAGCTTAGTGTTTTATTTTGGTAATTGAGGAGAGATATTTTTAATTGAAATGGTCACGACTCATGACACCATTTCTTTTTATAATCTGAGTTTTAGATTGCCAGGAAGTGTAAAAGTATGTTAATCTTTTATTGGTCGGTTTTGAGTTTTTTTTTTTAGTTTGACTTATTTTATTATTAATCTAATATATTATTTACAATTATTAAATGTATAATTTATATATTTTTTCCTGATTATCCATAGCAGAGGAGGCTCTGTGTGACACATACAAAGTACAAATATAATACCTTCAAGGAGTCAATTCGGGAAGTATAGAAAAATAATCTTTGTTTTTGTTCTGTTTGATCTACTAAAAATACTTAGTCGTTGAATAATTTTAAGAGCCATATATGGCCAATCAATTTAAACCCTTTGTTCTAAGTCATAAGTATATATTTTTCCAACCCACCTTATTTAATAGTTAATGATAAGTAAAAAATATATGGTCTTACCTTGGTAATAGATGAGACTCATGACGTGGTAATTCATTTATTACTAAATCAGCGCAAACATTTATGTAGTCAGTCAACGAAGAGTATTGTGTGAAACATCGTGTAATAGCCGACAATAGAGCCAAAGACATGTCGCATACAGTTTCTTTTGGTGGTTGAACATTACTATTTAACCACTCGGATAACCAATTAAAAATCATTATGTTAGTATGTTTTTCACTCAACATATTTGTTACAATAAATCCGTATTTTTTTTTTTGATCATAGGCCATGGCTTGATACAGAAAAATCGGTTTTGTCTTCTCATTTCCAAACTTTTTAAAACTTTTAACTACTGATCCTGTTGCATCGATAACAAGTAATGGGTGACTAACATTCTTAGTATAGTTTCTATATAGATGAATTTGTTCACTACTGTTATAATGTATGAAGAATGGATGTATGCCCATATTACGAAGCGTACCCTTATAATCTTCTTCTTGCCTCATCAATGATAAAGCAATTAATACATCCCTGTGCCTTTTTTTCATCTCATTACTGCGGAACTTAAGATTTCTCAATGCATTTCCCGAGGGCAAGATTGCAGGAATGGGTCCTCCTGTTTTAAAAATAAACTACTATAGTATATTATAGTTTTGGAGATAATATGTATTATATTTTTATAAAAGATATATCTTATAAATTTTAAACTTAACCAAATTTAATGAATAATGATATGAAGTAGGTACCTTCTTTTATTAATCGTTCTGCTTCTTTTTCTCTGTGAGTCTCGCAGGATAATCCTTCTTCAAAAATTGAAGTAATAGCTCTTTCTTTGGCTGGTCCAATCATACGGCGTTTTTTAAATGCATTATGGATTTCATTAAAATTACCAATGTACTCACACTGCATCAGTACTCTGTTGATAAATTGATTTTTTTAAATTGTATAATNTTAATGATAACAATATTTCATTTATTGGAGTTCGTACAGATGGGTCTAACCACGGTGCTGTGAAAATTTTTTCGACTGAAAAATTCGAAGTAGTAATAAATATTAAATTCTTAAACATACCTATATTATATTAATCAAATACCCGTGTACCTAATTAAAATTATTAATAAAAACTAATTTTTTACCAAATGTATCATATACCTATGATAATATTATGCATTTCTGTATTAAGTATTCATACATAGTTTAGTATATAAAATGTCTTGTTAATTAAATAAATATTAACTATGTAATCTGAGTTTTTATATTATGTACTCTTTTCTAAAAGACACAGGGTGGTAACCCTAGACAGGCGCGATGCACGACGGCTGAAAAGTGATTGACAGACGACAGTTTATCGCCGTGGCTGCAGTGACATTTTTCGAACGGCCAAACTCTATTATTATTACAGATAATAGATATCGTAAACATCATAATTTCAGGGCAAATATAAATAACTATATATAGCTGTAGCAAACATTCAAATACACGGAATAATAATGATGAAATCACCAGAATTATGTATAAGCGTGTAACCGCATATAAAAGTTGCAATAGCTAGTCAAAACCCGAGATCCTAGAACCCATAATCATTGATTATAAATCAATATAATAAATGCCATAATGTATCACAGCCTAAACACGGGGTCTAGGGGGGGGGTCCAGACCCCCTAGACCCCCTCCTCCCCGTAAAACCGCCACTGTTTATGATACAGACTGCAGAGGGTCCGAGTCTCCAAGTCAGTCTGGACTCAGGGTAAGTGGCCCATACACGGTCAATATTCGATATTGACAATATTGTTGACCGTGTATTGGTCATATTGAATATATCAATACACAATATTTATCGTGGATGGGTGTCATCCAATGGGCGACTGGCGTCTTTGACCTTGAAATGTTTTCCAGGTGAACCTTGGGCTTGGTGGTTGGTACTTCGTGGTCATCGCCTGTTGGCTGTTTACGACGAGGGCCGCCAACCTACAATGCGTTCCGTCTGTGCGAACTACAAATGCCCGATCCGCAGAGTTCTCCGGAGTCGAGTCGTCAATTAGTGATGGGAGGGACCGAGCTCCATGACAGGTTGTCGAAGAGCCCGAAAATAAAATGAGCAGTGGACGATCAGGTCACTCTGAAGTTCAAACCCAAAACTGCAATACAATTATATTTTTTCGTCGAAATATTAAATAGTAAAATGTACCTTTTGTTAGTTATCGCTGCACCCAACCGCCTTTAGGACGTCTTTTGGAGATATCTGCGATAAATTTAGACCTCGCAAACCGAGAGGATTGCATTTGGAGAACAATTTGACTGAAGTGTAGTCGTACAGACGACTTGTAGAGTATCGAGTTTATTGATGCAAATAATATAATACATTTGATGCTAACTCGTTTTTAGGGGCAGTGAGATGCAACCATTGTGGCTGGTTGAATAAAATGACAAAAATGCATAGTTAGATTGTAAAATTTAAATTGCCTGCCGCCTAGCCGCCCGGTGTATTGTGTTTGACTATATGAGTGATTAATTATTTCAAATGGTTCCCAGACCAATATATTTNTAAAATTTAAATTGCCTGCCGCCTAGCCGCCCGGTGTATTGTGTTTGACTATATGAGTGATTAATTATTTCAAATGGTTCCCAGACCAATATATTTGGTTCAAGAATTTATTATATTTCCATTTGTTCTAATATTTCTTATGCCTCTCAAGTCCTGTTTCATAGTGTTTACATCCATACTACATAATAAGTTATAAATTTATTGTTTCAATTGTTATAATCATTGCAACTGTTATTAATTATTACTCATTACTAATAGAAAACAAAACCATAAGGGTACATAGATAGAGTGGAGCAACTGGGCAAACTGGGGACATAGGGCCAATTTCAATAGTATTCCTATTTATTTTTTTTTTATACTTATCCTTGTGAACAAAATTTGAGGTTTATAAATGGTTGATTAAAAAAAAAAACATAGTAGCCAAGTGTTAAATTTAAATTTGAATTAAACAAGTAAGTTACACATATTATTAAGATTATTATTATTAACTTTGTGTAATAAGCATAATATTTTATCATGGTAATGGGTTAAACAGATAGGCGCTTAGACAATTTAAAAAAGTTAGTAATTACTATTGATTTATCAATAAAAATAATTTGTAAAAATGATCCAAGTATGATAAATACTACAACCAATATTAGATAAAGGTTTTAAGAATTATTATCCACAGTAGTCAGTATAAACATTTTTATAACTCAGTAATTACTTGTTAAAATTTTAATTTAAATAAAACAAAATTTTAAAAGAATCTTCCACTAAATAATTTGCAGTAAAAAAGGGTTTCTCATTTGAAAAATAGAAGTTTGTTTCATCACAGGACACTCCTTAAGTAGTACGAAAAATATTAGAAATTTAAAAAGATGATCCTTGGGTGTATTTAAGAATTCTAAAAATCAGAATTTGAATAAATTTACTATTACAGAGAACAATGGATATGTGCATGCATAACAAATCACCCTGTTATACACTTACAATTTGTTTAGTAATTATTCACCGACTGTCTGTTAATTATAGAACAACAGTTCTATAACACATTAATGCCAATTTCAGATAAAATATAATGTATAATATAGTCCTATTTTTTTAATATTTTTTTTCTACATTGCATAATTCATACCATATTTTTGATTTTTTTTCTATTACACAGATATGATTTTTATATTTGTTATGAAATTAGTGATCAAATGTGAAAATAAGTTATTATTGGTTTAAAGTTTGAGCATGACTCCTTCAAGATATATTAGCAGACCCAGTCATCAACACTTCCAACCCTCCTGATGGTTGTGCCACTCCCTGAATCAAAATAAAGACTAAAAAGGATTAATCAAAATTAAAATATGTTAAGATAATTGTAAAAGTCCATATAATTATCAAGTGTAAATATATATTAAAGTAAAACTTATAAACTCGTCATAATAATTAATAGTGCATTAAAAAAGATTTGAAAGAAAAATATGAATTAAAAAATTATGTAAGTTGAATTAGAATGACATAAATTCAATTAATATTTTAGAAAAACAAAAATAATGAATATTTTAGCCATTACCTATAGTAATTATTTAAATACAATATGTCAATATGCCTATTATGTATAGAGTACAATTGTGTGAATCTATAATTGTATACTAATGTGGATTAAGTTTAAGATTCTAAACTTTAATTAATAGTTGTTTGCATTATGTAGAGCTGTGATGGTATTTAAGATCTCTCTCTACATAGTCACCATACTTATTGATTTGAAGTGAGCCTAAAGCTTGTTCAGTATGCGGTTTCACTTCTTTGAACTGGTGATGAGCACTAAAGTACAGATACAATTATACATTTCATTAATAAATTATTATAGATTTTAAAATAAACATACAAGTTGTTATGGTTGACATTGTTATAGTCGTGCATCACAGAAGAAGAAGGCCCTGTACTTTGTATGATCTGTAAATAATATCAATACATTAATTATTTTCATGATTATTTAAAAATTGTTATGTTAGTACTCACTTCACCCATTGAATCATGATGTTTATGAGCTCCATGACGTCCAAATGTTGGTAGACGATTATATCCTGATGTTCTATATAAACACATAAAAATAATTAATTTCTATTTAAAATTTATATCGAATACAATTTTACCTGTTTCCAGTATTGTCATGGTTTTCGTCCACTATAAATTAACATTTTATGATTAAATATTACATTTTTAGTCAATTAAGTTGAGCAAAATATGTATACGCAAATATAGAACACTTACATTCATCAAAGAAATCCTCGTAGACAGCAAAATTGTTTTCCTGGGTTACCAATTTTGATAGTTGAAAATGTTTCCACATGAACTGCAATAGATTTGTGGTTGGCTTGTCAATAACCAAATGCTTGGGATGTAATTTTATATCCTATATAATATTATATTAATATAAGATTACAATTTTAGTTTGATAACAACCAAAAAAATTGTGACTGAATAATTATTTTAATTTTTAATAACACATCAAGTTAGGATTATTTTACCTGTAACATGTATCCAATTAGTTGTTTTCCGTAACCTTGACGCTGTTTAGATGCATGGATGTAAAAATCCAACAAACAATAAACCGAAGTTTCCGAACGGGTACCTTGTTTGTTGTTGTGAAGGAACAACTTTTTCCAACCCATCTTCAAATATCCAATAACAGCAAAATTTCTACACAAACACAATTAAGTCAATCATACTGAAATATTGGAGCTTAATTACCAAAGTAACCCCAATTATCATGTATAACAAAAATGTATCTTACGCCGGTGTATTTTGTTCGGTCATCATGTAAATAACATGATCAGAATTAATAAGCTTTTCAGCACTGGTGATTGGTGACTCCAAATGTTGAGTCATGGCCGACACTTTTCCCATATCGTCAATTATCAATCGTAAATTGTTTCTTAAACTGTCAAAACATAAAAAAACCATACGAGTTTAAAATATATTATAATATTAAACATACTTCAAGTGATATGGCGTTGTCGGACAGTTTAGACAATTAGGAAAACGCCTTTTCACTAACTACAGGAAAATTGAAGAAAGTTATACATTATACCTATGGCATAATTTGGTTGATACAATGAGGGACAAGAGAGTGCATTTGCCATTTACTCCACGGTTTTAGATGTTCTTCATATTTCATAGATTTATTATTGGAAATGAGACATGGCAAAGTGGATAACTTTAGTTTCTGAATGGAGCATTGTGCATGAATATTTATTTTACTAGGTGTATTTATATTTTGTGTGTGTGTATTGTGTACACAATTAACAGGGGGAAAAAAAATTTGGTGGTGATTTCCGATAGAAAAATTGGATCTAGTTAGTATTTTTGAGAGGTCAAAATTGAAAATTTCCAGTATTTTACAAAATACTTAAACAAAAAGGGGCTTGAAAAATGTGAATTTTTACTCAAAACTTGTTTGTAACTGAATTAATTTTATTTTCTGTTTAAATTAAAAACAAATAAACAAACAAACGTAGAAGGTACTTTAAATGTTCACCAAATGTTTGTATCAGCATTTTCTATACATGATATTAGGATAACATTTTCAAAATCTATGACTTTCTGAGAAACTATTAAAACAGTCATTTAATATTTACGATTTGTTTGATCTGGTAAAAAACTCAATACAAGGTTCCTTAAAAGTTGTTCATATAGGCATCAATTAAAAAAACTTAAAATACATTGTCACAATGAATGGCGGACAGTTTCCTCCCGATTGTTTTTGGCGTAGTAGGACATTTTCCCCCCAATATATATTCGATGCGGACATTTCCCCCCCATTTTTTTTTAAGTTTATTATTTATTATTTAATAAGAAATTATTTATTTTCAGCAAAAGATAATTTTAAAAAAAAAATGACATTTTTAACCTATTTTACTTATATACAATTTTTTTGTCTTATTATATTTATGAAAAAATGGGGGGAAATTGTCCGGATACCGTCACAATATTATCAGTGTTAAAGTGTTTAAAGTTGAATTTTGACAATATTCGTAAACATTTCAAACATTTACAAATTAAGTATTTAAAAATTCATAAAATTGTAATATCTTTACACGGAGTTCAAGCGTAACTGAAAAATCTAAAAATATATCGTAATTTTTTTGTAATGAGTTCTTTGCAAAGGTTACGAAAAATAAAAAATTATCGGCCGTCATTACACTATGGTTTCTTTAGTAATAAACGGTAATAAATAATAATCTTTGTCTTGTCTTTGTATAATAATAATCAATTAATTTCAATTTCAATTTTTATTTTTCCTATACAAACCCAATATTCGACGGTGATGCCGGTCGTGACGCGGGGTAATCTTTTTTATTTCATAGTTTTATACCCTCATTTAAGAATAATAATTAAAGTTTCACGATTAATTGAACAGAGGACGTAAGTACACGCACTTGTTTGAAGACATTTTTAGTTAAAATTTCGTCAAAATTAGATATTTAAACAAACACGTGTACCGTGTTTACACTGTAAAGATGAAACTTTTAACGTATACTATTAAATGTGTAATCTACACACAATGACATTTTCCAAAGCAATCTTATCGGCAAAAGTGAATTCAACCTACCGTAATTTTAGAATAAATTTCTAAAACAGCAATATTAATTACTTAAATAATATCATTAAAATATATAATTTAGGTTGATAGACCCTCTCCACTCAGAATCATTTTTCGTATGTAATGATTTATGATTTAATTAAAATTGAATACTTACATCCATTACAGCGGACTACTCACTGATGAGGTACACTAGACACCTAAATTGTACAGCAAAGCTGTTAGGTACCTACTTTTCCCTTATTTTTAAATTGAATTTCTTGTAACTACAGGTATATTTATTTAACATTATAAATACACTACTATTAGATATCTAGTATAATCTTCTAAATTGTCTTTTTCGAAATCATTTTTTATTGAAAAAAATATTTATTGCTTATCATTTTGCATCAAGTATGTGATACGTACAATTTACCTACTGGTTTTCATCGTATTTAAGGAATATCAATCAATATTTAAAATTACTCAAATGTACCTAATATAATAGGACATCGTATGTGTTATTGTGTTGTGTTTGTCTGACTAACGCATAACATAGCAAATGGTACGTCGAGAAAAATCCATTAGACTGTTATTTTTATATTTATATGTTATAATTATTACCTATTATAAAATTTAAAAGTAAAAATTACTAAATACATCATTATTCCGTCGTAGAAGTTGGGTTTTATGATATTTCAATTTTGAAGCACCTTGATACAATGTACTTTTTAACTTTAAATTTGAAAAATAATTCACTGTAGTATTAAAAAAAAATGGTTATGTCTGAGCTTAAAATTTGCCATGTTATGCGTTAGTAAGACAAGTCAGAGACAACAATAATATTATAATATGCGATACCTACGCCCGTTCCATGGTCCGCCATACCATCAACATTTTTACTTACCGAGAGTATTTTTTCAGTATTTTACTACCGTTTACTCCAAGAGTAGTAAAAATTATATGGTTCAGCTCTTGTAGCTTACGGACTACGGTTATGGGTAGTTCTTTTTGCATTCGTCGAAATATTCCGGAATATTATTGATACTCACTCGTGGTTGTTCTCGTATCCATCGGCCGTCAACGTGTTGTCGATCTTCAGCACCTGCCCGACGTGATTGTTGCTGTTGAATTGAAACTGCATGGCGATTGTTCGACGTGATTTCCGGAAAAATTTCTAGACTCCGGTCGAACCACGAACAGACGACAATATGATATCGATAATGGCGTCTTCGGAGCAGTAGTGAAGTCGCGATCAGTTGTGCGCCCGGTCGTCGCGAGTTTTGGACGTTGACCTATGAGGACAATATAATATTTTATTAATATTAAATATTTATGTTGCACGAATAACGGGTACCTACTAGTGGGTAGTCGCAGCGGACGTTGGACCGTCGAAACAATCAACACGGCGCACAGCGTTCCTGTGGTCGACGCCGGCAGGGGACAGGACAGGCTGTAAAACGACCGACAATAATATAAATAAACTCCCGAACCAGACCAGCTCTGGATAATAATTACCAACACAATAATTCAATATTTGTTGTCTGTTCACCTTGTTTGTGCCTTTGTTGCTGCCAGTTGGCCGTTTCTTTCTGAGTCGTTGTCTGCACGGCTGCATTTGTTGATTGCCCCTGCAGACCGGGGGCGACTAGTTGATGTTTCGTATTTGGTCGCCACTCGTCGATGCAAATTAGTGTATACGTACAAATTATATCGTTTAAAACGGCTTAAGTATGCAAGACTCTACGAAAAAAAAAACCACACTAAAATTGAAATATTATCCCAAAACCTATTTGCAATTATTTCGCTTTACGTTACGTTTTTGGTTCCAAAAAGTTAATTTATGCATGGCTCAAGCATTATATTTTATAGATGTTTCAATGTTTGGTTGCTAAACACTCAAATTGGAACTAAGTTCTTAAATTTTACTTACAAATAGTTTTATCTAATAGGCCAGTAACTTAGCAGCTATAATACCTTGGGTTGGCCATGTCTCCATAATAGATACCTATTAACATAATGTTGACATCTATGAATACAGATTACACATTATTCATATACATATTATACATATTGGCGATTGTTTTAAATAATGCACTGAGACTTACTATTATTATTATGCAATATATGTATTATGCAATACTTATATATATATCATTTCTATATAAGTGTTTTCTTTTAATGTCAAAACATAATATTATACATATTATGTTCAAAACAATGAACTATGAAGTATGCAGATGGGCAAGTCGCAAGTAGCGTCACTTATATAAAAATTTGATCGTGAAGGTAAGCTATATGTTATATTAATCATTACATAAATAGGTATAATGCATGGATGTAGATAATATGCAGATTATTGACATAATGCTTACATAAAATATCTGAAACGGATATATATCTAACTGTTCAAGGGTAGGCATTGGATTAAGCAGTGTGATAATTTGGAGTGGTGTTGGACATACAATTATTATAAATTATCCTATTAGAATTACTAGTTAGCGATTCATTAATGAATAGACATGTTTCCATTTACAAAAAAAGTGATTTAGCTATAGAAGTTTGAATGTAAGATTTTTATTTCTGGATTTGAATCAAAACTTAAAAATATAAAACTGATACCTTTTGGGCGTATAGGCTCAATTTTGGTTTTTGACTTGTAGAGGCTTTACATATTTAAATTAACCAGACCCGTGGGGGGGGGGGGCATTTGCAAGAACTATAATGACAAATAAATACTATACAGTTGAATAGTGTGAAAAAAATACCTATGACAAATAAACCTAAATCTGATACAGATTCTATTTTCATTTAAAAATTTTAAGTTAGGACATTTTTTCATTTGTTTAAATTAGTATTTTTACTATTTTTAGCATACGCGATTTGTTAGTTTTTTGAGCAAATCTTATAGTAATAACGACATAGCGTTTTTTGAAAAGAAAAAAAGAAAAATGTAAACCAATCTATATCCTCTTTTTTATGTCTGTTATCACCTTTATCGAGGTAGTAAAAATGCTTCGATTTTATACTTCATCATCTTTTCTGGTAAGAAAGTGAATCTGATTGGTACTTCGGGTGGTCAAAAGTAAAAAATGCACAATAGTTTTCAAAAGCGTCAGGAAGAACAAACAACAAAGTAAGGAAAAAATGATAGATACTCCTTTGTTATGTACATATATTTAAGATTTGAAAATTTAATACAAGAATTCTTCCTAAGTTTTCCTATATTTCACAAAAAAACAAAAATTACCGGAAAGTCGAATACATTTTTGATGAGCATTTGAAGTTAGACATTGGATATTCACCCGCAAATATTAACAAATCCTCATGGAACGATATGTTAGTCTTACCACTCTTACCATAACAATTATATTCTCACATATTATAAGACTAACAATTTGACATTTTTTAGAACTTTTATTCGCGTTTTGAATATTTTGAATGGTTATTTCGACTCGACCACGCAGTTATAAATTGTGATGTAGTAAATTATATACGTACCTATCTATTATGTATACCTACAACGTATCCATCTACAGTGGAAAGTGGGATGTCTGCATGTCTTATTATGAACTGTTAAGGAATTTGGAAATTATTTTTTTTAAATGTTGATGTATAGAAATTGAAATTAAAATGAATATTTTCTGAGTTATTAAGCTTTAATAGTAGGTACCTACTGATAATAATAAGTTAGGTTAAGTTATTAAAATTGTATATAGTTAGTAAAAAAACTACCTGCGCATAATTAGTAGGTACTAGACTAATTTATTTTTATATCTATATTATATTTTACATATAAATATAATTAAGGACTATTATTATCTTTATTCTTTAGTACAGAAAGTTTAAAAACTCAATTTTAAATTCCGATTTAGATCCATCAAAATTTTCAATAAAATCATCTTCTTAAATGTACAGTAGAAAAAAGTTATTATCATTTGAAAAAAAAGAAATTTGAACCACCGTAGGACACTTCTTCAATGGTGTTTTAAACGTTGATCTGAAAGTAGGTATAGCCGTATAGGTATATCCATACTTAGAAATTCCAAAAATTAGAATTTGATTAAATTTGTTACTAGAGAAAAATGGGGTAGAGTGAGCTTGCTCAGTTGATATTTATAAGTACTTATATAAACATAAGTATGTAGTTTTTAGTTGTAGATTAATATTATTGAGTATTGACAAATTAACACAATTTTTTTTTATTTAGAAATAAAATATATAACAAGCAATATAATATACACCAATGCATATAAATAATAACAGTGAAAATCTAAAGGCTAATATCACCAAATCCATGATAAAACTCATTAATTTTGAGAAAATGAAATAAATAATTTTAATTCAAACAATAATATTATTTAATTTCAAAATTACCTACTTAATTGATATTCACACTATTGTATGTTTTTGGAATATCAATTTTCTGTGGGTAACATTTTAAACTGAATATGTGTGCAGTTAACATAAAACCTTCCGAGATAAGTACATTTATCGTACACAGTTTAATTAATTCTAATAACAAACCTTGAATCTATTTTATTGTTTTTCAAAATCAAATGTATGTTTATTAACATAAATTTGAATATGAAGTAAAAACAATAAATTAATATTAGGCATTAGTTATATTACATTAACCTAATATTACTATTGTTTGTTATTATCCATATAAATTTCAAAAATAATATCCATTACTATTATGTGTCAGTGTAACTGTAGACATAATTTAGAGCTGTATTATTGAATCCTGTATATTTTGCATGTTATTTACCTAAATGGCAGAAGATAGTCCGAAAAGTGACAGTAAGTGTAAGTCATTAAAAAGAGTAATTTATTCTATAGCTATTTATGGTTTGAAGAAGTTTTGGCATATTTACCAAACAGTTAATATAAATTCAAGTTGACAGCTTAAGATTATTTATTGAAATAATTTGTATAACTAAGGTTTTCTGAATATAAATTCTTTAAATGTTGATGATATTTAGAAAAAACGTAGTTTTAAAAATATACAGCTTATATTACAATTTACTTCCATTGTATGTACTTTTTGGCTACTACTGAAACAAAACTTTAATTAAAAATATAATTTACTGAATATACACAAGTGAAAAATATTACATTTATTAGATTCTGAAAGCTCATAAACAAGATACAACTAAAAGTGAAATTTGACCATTGTGTATTTGGTATGTTTTAAATTTTAATAGGATTTTACCGTATACATTAAAAATATGAACTAACTAGATAAAAATGTGTTTTGTTAATATTACTTGTCAACTAATATATTGTTTGCACTAATATTTGAATGATTTGATACAAACGAATCAAATTAAATAGTAAAATTGTAAAACCTGCGCTACACTGCACACACCCATTAATTAATCAGACGATTCAAGTATATTTAATTGAAATATTCCGCATGAACGGCAACCAATTATAATATATTTTAGCTACCGACTATATTATAATTTACCATTTTGCGACTTATGTGCAGAACTATAGCATTTTAAATAGTAAATACAGAATAAAGATATCTATACAATGGCCTTAGAATCAATAAATACTTTCACTCAAGGTAGAATTATTATGCCTATAGTAGGCAGGTAAATATAATATATATATATATATATATATGTATACAAATGCATTCCGTTCAAAACATCTGTCGACAAAACAGAATCATCTGAAATGATCAATTTAAATTAAAACTATTATTTAATCTCAGTAAACTGGTCATTATCCCCCCCCCCTATACACCTACGTTCATAAATTCCACAGGTAATTTTTCTTCGAAAATCTTCAGGATCGAATTTCCTATATCGGTACCACGGTATACTTGTGCCAGAAAACTTAACATAACAGTTATAACTCTGCAGAATCACTGTGTACCTATTTAGTCTTTCGAATGTGAGATACTATCTGGGGCCCACGTAAAAGTGTAAACCAATACGTTCAATGTCAATATTACCTGTGTGTAAATTATGAGGAATTTTTATTTTAGTTTAACCTATGCATTTAAATGTATAGTATTTTGTAAGTATGTGCACCATAAATGCGCCAAACAGAATACAAAAGCAGTGCGACGAAACGGTTTGCACTCAATTATCAGCTAAAGAATGAAAAATATTATGTTTCATTACCTCTACCCGCGTAAATATTATATGCACAGCTCGGGGCTGGATTGGCGATTATCGGGTCTATACAGCTATGTGTAAAATGATTTTCGGGTGTTGATGACTTGCAATGTCGTGTATAGGTTTGTAGCCTCGGCGGCATCCCGTCCGAGTATGAATACATATAAAAACAATGTATTCTAGCCAATAGTTAACCAATTAATATACATGGTATCATATAATAAATTTATTTAAAAACTGGCACTGTATCATAATATAGGTATTACCTATATGGCATTATGACATAATATTAGCTATAATTAATAAATAATAAGTACCTAATAACTGCAATACCGATTAATCGTTACGATATCAGCTTCAAAATATGTAACGACCGTCAATAAATGTCCTTTAGGTATATAGGTAGGTTAATTTCGCCAACTAACCTAACCTGTGCGATGGCCGATGGCACAGCTGGCACTGCCATCAAGCCGGCCTGGGCTTTACACCTTATACACATGATCGATTTATAAA